CCAGGTTTATGGCGCAGGTATTGATGAAGATGAATCTTACTTTTTTTTATTCTATATGCTGCAGCGGCGTATCTTGACCTCCTAAATCTAGTTCTAGGCTTGGGGTTAGGGGCTAGTACAGAGCGCTGTCATTGACACCAGCTGTCCCACCAGCACGGTCAGTAAATACCTAAACCCAGGCCGTCTTAGACCTCCCTCTATCTCTATCTCCTTGATGCTATACTATGTCGACCTCTCTTCTAGCATCATCTTAACCAAGCAAATCCCCCACCAAAGCAAGCCGGGTCGGGTCCTCTGCCAGCCGACCCACCTGTCTATCTAACCAACTATCTAGCCAATATCTTCCCAAAAACAATCATGCATTCATCCAATGTCTGCAGCACGCAGCCACACAGAAGAGAAAGAATCACTGATCCAACCCATTAAACTCGACCAACCGCTTCACGACCTCGATCACCTGGTCCGCCAGGGGCCCGCTCACCCCTCCAGAGCCCGCAGACCCAACCCCAGAGGCCGGCTGATCGATGCGGCCGGCAATCACCTCGTCCAGCATCATCCGCAACCGGGACACGAGGACGCCGATGCGCGCCCAGCCGCGCAGCCGCAGCCACCCGTCGACGATCAGCCCGCGGCCCGTGGTGTCGAGGTCGATGGATCCGCAGAAGAGGAGGAGGGAGAAGGCGTTGAATGCTGTGCACGGTTGTCAACAAAAGAAATTGATATACTGGGGGGGGGGGGGCAGGTTGCAGGCGGCAGAAAGGGGGAGGGGGGCAACTTACGAGTCAAATCCCGCACAAACACCTTACTCGTCGCCATCTTGGTGAAGTAGCTCAGGTACGCGGCGCCACCGGGGTAGTTCTGGGCGGAGAAGAGCAGCGAGCTCGGATGGATGAAGACGCGGCCGTTCTCCTGGTTGAAATACTTGATGGTGCGGGCGTCCGGGTCGATCTCGACGGTGCCGGTGATGGAGGCGGCGAATTTCTTGTCGGGGAAGGAGATCTGCGCGATTTGCGGTTGGAAGGCGCCCGCGATGAGGGCGCGGAGGAGGGGTTTGTTGGTTGTGTTGCGGTTCCAGTTGTTGGCGCCGCGTGAGGAGGATTGGGATTGGGGTTGAGGTTGGGAGGAGGAGGAGGAGGAGTAGTCAACCGGGAGGAGGCCGGCATCTTTGAGGGAGGTGAGGAGTTGCGCGCGATTGGAGGAGATGTCGCGCAGGGTTTGATGCGAGAGGAAATTGGCGCTGCACCAGCTCTGGGTTTGCCAGTAGCCGTGGGCTTGCACGCGGTCGGACCATTGTTGGTAGGCGAGCAGGTCGGTCAGCAGATCGCCGTCGTTGGCACCCTTGGTGAAGGCGGCTTTGGCGGCGGTGGCTTCCTCGCGTCTGTCGCGCGGGGAAACGAAGGGGCTCTTGACCGTCAGGATGGCGGAGATGGTCACGCAGGCGTCGATGCAGCCGAAGATCGAGCCGTAGACCATCAGTTTGGCGCACCGGAGGTCCGCCGGGATCATGGAGAGGTAGCGGCCCAGGGCTGTGAGCCGGTCGTGGTCGAGGGCCCCGACGCGGTGCAAGAAGTCCAGGGCGCCCTCGACGGCGGTGCTCTCGGGCGGCGTGATGGTGTTGGCGAGGAAGTGCGCGACGTCGCTGATGCCTTGCATGGCTTTCACGGACAGGCAGAGCTGCTCCAGCGGTACGCGCCGGATCTCTGGGTCGGGTCGGTGAGGCATGCTGGTCTCGGCCTTGCGTGTATAGAGCTTGTAGCATGTTCCTGCCCTGACACGACCGGCACGTCCGCGCCGTTGCTTGCAGGCTGCTTGCGAAGCCCACACCTCTTGTAGCCTGACAATGTTGTCCCGCGGGTCATAACTCGTCTCTTTCACGCGGCCGGTATCGATGACGGCCACAATGTCTTCGATGGTGATGGATGTCTCGGCGACGTTGGTGGCAGCGATGACTTTTCGCATGCCTTTGGGGGCACTTTGAAAGACACGACGCTGCTCGGCGGGCAGAAGAGAAGCATGGAGAGGTAGCGGGTGAGTATTCGGGATTCTTCTCACAGCGTTGAGGCATCTCTCGATCTCCATGGTACCGGGCAAGAAGATCAGGATGCCCCCAGGCTGGTCGCCCAGCTTGGCATCGATATATCGGACGGTAGAGGCAATTAGCTCGTAGTTGATACCCATTCCGAGGCTTCGGAGGACCTTGCCAAGGGGCTCATCGGACTGCTGCGAGGATGGAGCCTCTTCGTCGAAGTCCCGCTCGGTGAGCTCCGGGTAGAAGCCAGTGTCACGAATAACATCGTCCAAGTAGTAATCGTCGACAGGGAAAGTACGTCCCGGGATGTTGACCAGACCAACCGACTGCCGGCCGCCGAAATAGTTGATGAAGATTTCTGCGTCGAGGGTTGCACTCATCAGAATGACTTTGATATCCTTGCGGCGGCGCAGAACGTCTCGGAGAAGGGCTAGGAGGAAGTCGGTGTCGAGACTGCGCTCGTGCACTTCATCAACGACGACGTGAGTGACATCTGAGAGAGAGCTTGCAACATCGCCATCAGGGCCACCGCCCGACTGCATGCGACGGAGTAAAACACCCGTCGTGACGAATGTAATCTTTGTCCGCCCTGACTTAGCCTTCGACTCTCCTCGAATGATGTATCCAACCTCGTCGCCGACGGATGTGCATCGCTCATCGCTAACTCGATCCGCCAGGCCCAAAGCAGAGATCCTACGCGGCTGGGTACAGATGATGTTCGCAGCAGCGCCGAGGTCCCTCTTGATTAGGTCGTCGAGCACGAATTGAACGGATTGGGTACTCTTTCCACTACCGGTCTCTCCGGAGATGATCGTAACTTGATGTGTATTCACAGCATTGATGATGGCCTCCTGGGTGTTCCAGGCCGGGAGCGACTGGCGCTTTCGAAGCATTTCCTGCTGGTCTTTGGTTGATTGCCTCGCTTCCCAGGACTCGCGTAGTGAGACGCTTTGTGGTGCACCTGGTTGCCACTTGACCTCATATCCTCTCTTGCGCGACGAGCGTACGGGTAGATTCGAGATGGTTCCGGCTGGGGCTAGGGGAGCTGTCACCGTCGAGATGTCTCGCAGCTTCCCTGGATTCTCCATCACTGAGGGGAGATTGGTCTCCAGCCAATCCAGCATGTTATAGATCATAGGCTCTCCCACGAAATTCTTTTCGGAGTACTGAACCACCTGGCGTATCGCACTAAGACGTATATAGGCAGGAATACCTTTCGCCTGGATGGAGATGATGGGCGGAGAAGATGGGTAATGCCTCGAAGGTCGTTGGAACCGGAAAATCAACGACTCTGGCAAATCGGGGTTTTCACCCTTGATCTCACAGACCTTATCAGAAGCCCGAGAATACCTTTCCCCGAAAATGGCCTCAAGTGTTTCCTGCTCCTCTGCCCATAAATCCTCCTCACCAGATGAAGCAGGCTCAGCTGGGGCATTTCCGCCGTGAACCAATGTATTCTGGAGGATCTCTGCTGCCGCAAGCTCATCTCCCTGCTTGCTATCCAAAGTCCGCGTGCAGAGATCGGCGGGATATCCCATCGCAGTGAGGCGTTTGATCTTAGCCTCTCTGGCCAGGTCATCACTTGCAAGACTCACACCCGCCGAGTAGCCCTCGGGCAAACACCAGCGAGGCAAATCATCTTCCGGCACGTAGATGAGGAGCCATTCAAGAACCTCTTCGCGGTCTTTACAAGTACCGACAGCCTCCTCGACGTGACTGCGTCGAAAGCCGAGACGAGTGAGCTCGTCGACAATGGCACCACGTTCCTTTTGCGGAATCTCCACCCCGTAGGGGTTCCAGATCGCATGCTCTCTCAGCATACCCTCAATTTCACGACGGATCTTGCCGCCAAGATCAACCTTGGGCGCACGCGACCAGATATTCCGTCCCTTGCTCTGCCCACCACCGCTGGAACCCAGTCCCAGATCGACCGTCGTCTCCGCTGCCTTGGCTGCCTGAAGCTTCTCCCGTTCCTTGCGCTTCTTCTCCAAGTCCGCCGCGGCGCTTTCTCGTTCCAGCTTCGCCAGGAACGGGTCGGCTTCGTACATCCAGCCCTTCCCTTCCCTGGAATCCGCCGCCTTTAGATCCGTGAAATCCTCGCGCCAAAGCTTCTTATACGTGGGCGGCATCATCATGTGGAGATTCTTCATATTGCAGACTCGGTACAACGTATACGCTGCGGCGAAATGTCGAGCCTCGAGCGCGGTAGGCTGAGCGGCGAGATGCTTATGCGACGGGGGTAACTTCATCGGAGGAAGGACGATCGTTTCGCGAGTCTTAGGATCAACGCGCTTCAATATCACGCTGGAGACGAACCCTTCTGAGACTTTCATCTATTGCAACATTCGCAGTCAGACTTCATGTCCGTCGAATCGACTAAAAGTGAAAGGAAAGCGCGCCCGCTAACAGTACGCAAAGAGTGTGAGGGTATAGTTCCTGGGGGTCCCTAAAAAGAGAAACCAGATCCACAAAACTCACCATCGTGTATTCCGGCTTCTCCCACTTCTGCTTCTGACAATGCTCCGCGAGCATATTCACGGGCAGTTTCCCGGTCCATGATGCCCCTCCGATGACCTCCTTGACCGAAGGTTTCTTTTGCTCGTCGGTCGTGGTCTGCGCTTTCTTCGCCGTCTCAGCCGTGCGCTCGGCCGCGGCTTTGGCCTGCTTCGTGCCCGGTTTGGGAGCGCCTCCCCGGTTCTCGGACTTTTTCTTGGGGCCCATGTTGTTGGTATTACAATGGGGGAGGAGAGGGAGCAAGGGAATGCCCCTCTGGTAGCCAAAGAAAAGAACGAAGTCGTGGCACGGGGATTTACTTTTTGGCTAGCTGCTGGTTGATAATTAATGAATTGATTGACTTAATTGTTGTCCCGCACGTTGACCGCTTTGGCCGAGTTGGTGTCGCTGCGGGGAGCATTTTAGGTTAAGTTGGCTCGGGTTGTGCTCTCCGCATCTGAACTTTCCCTCTTTCTACTACTACGCTGCTTTATGATTTCAATGCGACCACAGTCACGCTCAAGCAATGGTGGCTTGCTCATGATACTATAACTCTGCTGGCATGTCCGAGTCATCGGGTTACAGAGCAGACAGTTCGGGAGATGGAAAGGAGAAGAAGAATCCGATCAAGCGAAATGCCTGTATGTCCGACTCGAGCGCTGCGCAAGCGATTGCGATTGCAATTGCGGCGTCTATGCGTTTGCCCTACGCTCACTCACTCACTCCCTCACTCACCCTTCTCCTCCTCACTCGCATTATATCCCGGCGCATACCGAGGAGACTCGATAAAACAATCACTAATAGTTCTAACCAAAAACTCCCACAGTCGCGGAGCTAATGTCCACGAAGAGCAAGCAGCGCAAATCCACATCCACATCCACCAAAACCGATACCACCACCACCACAATCACCTCAAAACGAAGAGCCATCGGGGGTCCCCGCGACGGACTCGGCGCCTACATCGCCAACCCAACCGCCTACCCCTCCAGCACCGTGATCTACCACAACGACGACTTCGTCGCGGTTCGCGACCTCTTCCCCAAATCCACGCTGCACCTGCTGCTGCTGCCCCGCGACCCCACCAAGACCCGCCTGCACCCGTTCAACGCCCTCTCTGACGAGGCGTTTTTGGACAAGGTGCGGGCGGAGACGCACCGGCTGCGCGCGCTGGCCGCGGGCGAGCTGCGCCGCCTGCACGGGCAGTTCTCGGCGCAGGAGGCGGCGCGGCGGGCGGCGCTGGACCGCAACCCCCCGCCGGAGGAGCTGCCGCGCGGGCGCGACTGGGAGCGCGAGCTCATGTGTGGAATCCACGCGCATCCGTCCATGAACCATCTGCACATCCATGTCATCTCCGTGGACCGGTACAGCGACCGGCTGAAGCATCGGAAGCACTACAATAGTTTCTCTACGCCATTCTTCGTGCCCATCGACGACTTTCCGCTGGCGGAGGATGATCCCCGGCGCAGGCCAGATGAGATGGGGTATCTGCGACGGGACTTTGTCTGTTGGCGCTGTGGGCAGGGGTTTGGGAATCGGTTCACGGAGCTCAAGGCGCACCTCGCGGAGGAGTTCGACGCTTGGAGGCAGTTATAATAGAAGGTCCACAGTGGACACGTGGAGATGGTAAAAGGTTTGGGTTCAAGGACCAAGGGCGTGGTACCCCTTGTGTAACTTCATTATTCGATCCTTGAGTGTTTCTAATGGAACCCTGAAGCCTAAATTGCAAAAGCTCCATTTGCCTAAGTCAAATGTGGACATAAATGTACACGCAAAATGAAAAAACAGGACCACCAGTCGGCTGACCACGTTTTCAGCAGTCGTACCTGTCGATTGGTCTTCCTGTCTTCAGCCATTTAGAAAGAACCACTCAAGGTCCCCTCCACGAGCATTGAATCCTTCCCGTATCTTCATCTTACACAGCCACCGTTCATGATGTCACCAATGACATTTAAGCACGGCTCTTAGAGCGGGAGCTGCTGCCCTTCACCTTGCGGGCCTCGGGGCGGTTGATGTGGTGAGCGGGGATCCAATCGGCGTTGTAGGTGGTGGCAGAAGTGACAGCGGGTCCCTCCACGGGAATCTCCTCCTTCTTGGGCACAGTCGACTTCTTGGTGGTCTCAGGGGCCTTGCCAGCGCGACGCTTCTGGGGGAAGTAGGGGGCGATCCAGACGGTGTAGAAGAAGTAGACGACACCAGAGAAGCAGGCCAGGAGGAAGAAATACAGGAAAAGACTGTGGCCAGTATTATTAGTGAATATTCCCTGGGTGGGTGGGTGGGTGTAGTGAAATCTTACATCTGGGGGTCGAAGATGCTGGTCTCAGGCTCAACCACACTGACGGTGCCGTTGTAGGTGTACAGAGTGTAGACGTTGCCCTCGATGTCAGAGATGACGGAAGCCAGCTCAAGTCTCAAATCCTGGGGGTGCATCTCGGTGGCGAAGTTGAAGTTCACGCTCTCCTGCTCACCGGCCGGGATCTCGAGGCTGTACCGGTGGGCGGTCAGGTTGCGAACGATGCGGTTCTCCTCCTCGCCAATAGACCACAGAGAACCTCCAATGAAGTTCACAGTCACCGGGTTGGGCTCATCGTTGGCAAAGGTGATCAGCGCCTGGGTCGGGTGGCCATTGACCAGCTTCACGCCAAAGAACTCAGAGGCAGGGAAAGCAGCCTGCGCGGTGACAGCAAGGTTGGGAGTCTGGGGGGCTTCCTCCTTCTCAACAGCGTCCTAGAGATATGAGAAAGGGCATCGAGTTAGTGACTCGAACATTGAGACACGTGAGTCATCTAATTGATTCAGATGAGGGTAAAACATACAGCCGCGAGACCGCCGCCGATCAGGGCCTGGACGGAAAGGAGAGCCAGAGACAAGAAACCAAGACGAGCCATTGTGGGACGGCTTTAGGTAGCGATGAAAGAACCGAAAGAGGAGAACGAAAGAAAGGGAAGGGGAAGGGGGGAGAAGAAGAGGTGGGGTGGGGGGAAGGAAAGAGGAAGATGAAGAAGAGGAGGATCGTAGATGATGATGTGAAGGGGAAATCGGCTGGGAGGGCGTTTGCTCCACGTAGGCGTTTCGGTTCGGTTGCTTTCCCCATGTTAACAGCTGACTCATCCGTTCCGGCAGTTACGGCAGTTTCCCCGGGCGGTCAGTCGCCAGCTTTAATCTGCCAGTTGCCATTCCGCGTTTATCAGGCCAGTCTCCGTACTTTGTACAGTACAGTAACTTACTGACTTACTGCACTAGTACTCCGTAGACTATTCACTATTTAGTGCAAGTGCCAGTGTCAAGTGTCAGTCCAGCTCCACGCCTTTTGACTCTTGATTGCAATCCTTGTAGAGCAACCTCTCTCTCCCTCTCTCCTCTCCTTCTTTCGTGTTGTAATTTCAGTCGCAGTGAATGTCTAATTATACTTAGTGTCTGAATTCATCTGCCTATATTTTCAGCTCGTCTGAAGTTCATTATATATAACAACACTTATCTTTGGCTCTTTCTTCCGAACTAACCTCCACACTTCGCTTTCTCGTTGTTGATTCGAATGATTAGCCAAAAGTACCAATACCGCGATTAAAATCTGACTTGACTGATCACCATGACGGCCACCACGTATCTGGATCGCTATAGAAACCTCGTTCTCACCGAACAGAAAAAGAACCTGCTGATTGAGGTACATAAGTTACACAGCTACTCAATCCGCGACAATCCATATATGTATACACTGCGTTGACATTACCCTTTCCGGCGTACAGGAACTCCTGCAGCGAGTGGCGCAGCTTGAAGATGCATTCGAACAGGAAAAGCTTGATCATGAGCGCGAGAAGCGCTTCAACCGAGATATTCAAGTACATGAGATGGAACTAATGGGACAGGTCTCTCGGTTCCAACTTTCCATGGTGGGTCTGACACTATATAGTTCCCGCGACGCAGTCTGTGCTGACCTCAACTTTCTCATTGTATTCCAGAACCGCCAACCCTACATAATTGTTCTCTTGGACGGGTCTGGGTTCATTTTCAAGGATGAGTACCTCCAAAAGGGGACGCAAGGCGGGAAACTCGCGGCCCAGAAGCTTCACGACGAGATTGAGGCTTTTAACACCGACCAGCTCCCCAGCGCCAAGGGCCCCAAATTGTTGACAAGAATGTATATCAATGTGAAAGCACTAAGCGAGACCTGTATTCGAGGCGGCATAACCACCGATCCCTCGTTGCTGCAGGACTTTATTCGTGGCTTTAATAGTTGCTATCCTTCGATTGACATCGTGGACACGGGCGCCGAAGCGGATAGTGCACACAATAAGATCGCTGGTAAGCTTCGTCAGTCTCCATCCTGCATTTAGTCCACGCTGGTTTGACAATCATCTATATGCAGAGGCCTTCAAACTCAATCTCTACAATTGCCACTGTCATCAAATTCTCCTGGGTTGTGCGGACGAGAATTCCTTCTTCCAGGTTCTGGGAGATCACCTTGACGACAAGGACCTGATGGGACGAGTGACCTTGCTCGAAGCATTGCCGTTTGGAGAGAACTTGAATGCCGTTAGCTTATCGTTCAGGACTCTGCAGTGGCCGGAGATCTTTCGCGACTCGAAAATCTTTCCCATCTGGTCTCCCTGGAAAGCGGCCGTGGCCACACAGCCCCGCTCTCAGCTCACTCCGTCACCTAAGCCGGAGACAAAGCTCCCACCACGGTCTGCGAACCAAGCGTCCACAACCCCCAGCGTATCACTATCGCTCGCCTCAACCAGACCATCCAGCCCAGAAGAGAAGTTTCAGGTGGTGCGCTCCAAAGCGGCCGCGCCCGCACAGCCTAAGGTCGTCGAGCGCAACAAATACGGACAACGAGTCGACAGGCTGGACATGAAGAGAATTAACCAGCAGGACATGAATCGCCTCAAGAAGCTGAAACTGTGCAATTACTACCATCTGCAGGGGGAGTGTCCCATGGATGATTGCCAGCATGATCACTCGCATAAATTAACAAGAAGCGAACATGTAATGTTGACAGCCATTGCTCGCATGATTCCCTGCCGCTATGGACTGGAATGCAACGACCCCGAATGTACGTTTGGACACCGGTGTCCCTATAGTGAGCCGGGTCAGAGAGAGTGCCATTGGGGCTCCAGTTGTCGGTTCGAACCAGCCTCGCATGGCATCGATACCACTGTTGTGAAGGTGACTAAGATTTAGCGTTCCTGACCACAAACATATATGGCACGGTGAAAAGCCTTTTGACCATTTGTTTTCCTTTATCTCTTATCATTCGGAGGGCTCCCTTGGAAGTGCTGGTTTCCTTGTAATGCTGCTCCCCTTCACTCGAGGTAGCCTTGAGTTGGTGCATTCAACATAGGTTTGAGCATACGGAGCGGTCTCATTTTATTCAGCTTCACAACGTAACGTATATCCAGAGTGAAGGTATTGCCCTATAGATATTAACCCCCCGGTTATCCCCGGGTTATACAAGATGGTTGGATGCAATGGGTTAAGACATGGAGACCAGAAAACCCAAACCAGACCCTGGGAAATGACCGTCAAAGGATGGTGCTAGGGGTATAGTAAAGGTAGAAGAAGATAAGAACCTTCATTTCAAGTTCCTTTTTAAGCGTCGATTGTGGTCATGAACATCGCATACCGCCTCTCCCAGCCCAAGCAGTCCTCATGGGTACATGCCGGGACATCATCGCCGTCGACCGTGCCAATGAGATGCCTGCACATGACCCCATATTCCTGAATGCAGCAATTGAACGGTTGCTGTGATAATACACCTAGACTATGTGGCGCTTCAGTGCCTTTCTCCCTGGCTGCTCGCTTGAGTTCCTCTAGGTTGCCCCAGATATGGAACAATTTTTCTCGCAGATTCTCAAGTTCGACCGGGTTTTTTCTGAGGCTGAGTGATGACGATTTGATACGGCGTTAGCCTATGGGATCTTTTTAGAGGTGAACGATTGTGACTTACTCTACTGCATCGATACCATAGAGGTACACTGCCTCGCTCCCAGAGACAAACAATCTCATTTGCTGCTTGGCTTGCCCTGCTGGGGGCGGGGGCACGCTCTCGACTAGGAGACAGAAGCGCCACTCCCAAGTCATGAAGTCGTTATTTTCTCTGTCACTGCCTCCGTTTGATGAGGCTCGGGGAACTGGAACTGAGAAGTCTTCCAGGTTATGAGGGAAATAATCAACCACGCGGACTTTCGAGCGATAGCAGAAGTTTTGGAAGGGAAAGCGGTATTCGATGTTGTCTGGTGACCGGTTGGTGTGCTCTTCAGAGGCGACTATAGCCTCGAGACTTCGGGTGGGAACTGACGGGTTGCCGGCGCGTACTATCATGGATCGTTAGTTCCTGCCTTCCTGGAACCTATTCATATGAGGTGACTGACCGTGAGGGTTTGCTTCGTAACGACCGCGGTTGGTGACGGGCGGGGCCAAAGGCTGTTGGCCTTCCGCGGGGGCGTCTTGCTTCCGAGTCTTTGCTTTGACCTTTTTGGGAGCCTTCTGGTTGTTTTCCTCAACGGGCTTTCGTTTTCGAGGGTGCGATTCCCAGTATGCGGTTTTCCGGTCGATCAACTGCTGGGCTCGCACGTCCTTGTGAGGTTGCACGACGACCACGTTTGCCGCCAGAGGGTTGGTTCGGTTGGTATGAATGGTAGCTTCCAATCTTCCATTGATACGATTCTTCTTGATGTGGACGTTGTACAGGAGAACGAGATCACCCTCCCCGACATTCTGACGGGCGTACGCTGCATGTGGCTCCCATAATGTAACAGGGAGAGACAACTGACCAGCGGGCCCTGTCCACTTCTTTCGAAATCGTCTCTGGTAGTTAAAGGCGTCTCCTTCACAGCCGTCGCCGTTGCCCTCGTCATTGTCAGGTGAATAGTCGTGCAGATCTTTATTGGAAGTGTAGTCAGTGAGATAAAGCAAGGCCTTCTCGCTGTCATTGGGGTATATCTTGATCACTTCCGCGACCAAGTCAACGAACGTCTGCTCCTCGATGTCTTTGATAAGCGAGAATTTCTTGCGGTTGTATGACCTAGAGTTCGGGGCGGAGGTCTGGACCACATAAGAAGGTGGAGGACGGGCTTCTACCGAAGCTTTGCGAAAGTCGTGGATGCTAGCGACTTTGTCCAGCAGAGACAGGGCCTTCCTTCTTTCGATTGCATCAGGCTCAAAGGGCTGGGGGCCACAGATCGGTGAGGATCTGGCCATTGGATTCGGGTCTGAACGGAAAATGGCCCATGGGATGCACCGATCCTGCGCGGCCACTCCCAGGGTTCCTCCTTGTAATGACCGGACCTGCAGCGAAAAGTGTGAGTGTCAATTGCTTGAGGAACACAGCCATGAATCGATCACGAACCCATAAGTTGCGCAGCAGAATTACATCATGCACTTTGACGGGTGGCAGACTATCCTCGTTATCCCTAAAATATTTGACCTTCAACCCGTCCCACGTATGGCCATTCTCCAAGTTGGTGTCTTTGATCGTGAAGGTAATGCAGGTAGAGGAGCCCCGAGACTTCCAAACGCCGGGCATCACGTCGACCACGACGCCGACGATGTTAGCATTGCCAGGAGACGCGAGCGCTTTGGATATGTCGACTAGTCTAGGAGTGAAGTTGACCGGCATTGCGACTGATAGTAGACATATTACAGGTGTCTGCGAAGGATACAAGAAAGTATTTCAAGCCATGAACGGAGCACTGATCATGGACTAGATTTCATTGATTGACTTCGACTCGACTGCCGAACTACTGCTTGAATCTTGAGCAGAAAGAGTCCAATTGATTGAAAGTATTGTGACTGATCAAAGCCAAGTACTGATCATCACATCAATCGAAACCAGTAAGGATTAAGAGAATCATTTTCTGGGAAGAAGGAAAGTGTTAGAAGATGAAGTTGGATGACAATCAACTTGTAAGACGCGTTCCGCGGTTTCTTCCTTCCGTTTCGCGCACTGTTAGGCCATCAAACAAAGGTAAACGCACAATACCAGCAATTAGCTCGCATGGCTTAGATGGTAAAGCGCAGCACTAGTAATGCTGAGATCCTCGGTTCGAGTCCGAGTGTGAGCAATTCTTCTTTTTTTGCGTTTGCATTCTTTGTTTGCACTTTCTCAAATGCACCGAGCTTTTTCTGCCCCGAAAAAAGATATTTGTTTTTGCCTCTTTCCCGTCCGACCAATCAACTTGTGCAACAGACAGCCCCTCCGCGGCAAAACCGCTTAGGCGGAAGTGGCGCTTGCAATCGGCGGCGACCGCAAGCAGCAAATCATAAGGCATCCCGTGACTGGAGCCAATCCCACCTCCGAGCATCAACACTTTTTTCCCCTCCTTCAACTTCACTTCTTTCTTTGCGCTCATCTCCCTCTTGCCCAAGGCTAGCTTTCCCTTGGTCTCCTTTCTCCAGAACCATCCCGCTCACTGGTCTTCTGTCTAATTTCTGAGATAAAATTTACTCGACTCTTCATTTTACCTCCCTTTCTTTTCTCTTCCCCTCTCTTTTAGCTAATCAGCCACCTGTGCGCTTTGTTTTCACCCCTCCTGTGTCCTAGCAACCATGGCCGAACGTTACATCCCCGAGCACCGTCGCACCCAGTTCAAGGCCCGAAACCAGTTCAAGCCTGATGAACTTCGTCGTCGCCGTGAGGAGCAGCAGGTTGAAATTCGCAAGCAGAAGAGAGAAGAGAACTTGGCCAAGAGAAGAGGTATCCAGACCCGTGATGGTGGAATTGGTGTAGGCGGCGGTGTTGCCGCTGAGAGTGATGATGAGGCCAGCGCCATCGAGAGTGAGGTATGCTTTCCTTCTCGCTTTTTTCCATCTTCTGCCTGGATTAGCGTGTAATCACCTTTTGTTTTGTCGCTCGTGTGCTTGGTTTTCTGCAAGCGGTAGCGGCGCAGCTTATTTTGCTTTTGCCAATGTGAAGCAATGGGCTTTTCACCGCTTTGCCGCCAAAGTGAGCTTGAGCTGGATAGGACTTTATCCCCCCACAACATCACCTTATGGTCCCTATGTTCACTCGCCTATTTTTGTTTTATCGCTTCGATGGCTAACTGTTTGCCTTTTAGCTTAACGTTGAGCTCCCGGAGATGGTTAAGGGCGTCTTCTCCGAGCAGATCGACCAGCAGATCCAGGCTACTACCAAGTTCCGGAAGCTGCTTTCCAAGGAGCGCAACCCTCCTATCGAGCGCGTCATTGAGACTGGAGTCGTGAGCCGCTTCGTCGAGTTCCTTCGCTCTCCTCACACTCTCGTTCAGTTCGAAGCTGCTTGGGCTTTGACCAATATTGCCTCTGGTTCCGCCCAGCAAACCCAGGTGGTCATCGAGGCTGGCGCTGTGCCCATCTTTGTCGAGCTCTTGAGCAGCCCCGAGCCCGATGTGCGGGAGCAGGCCGTCTGGGCCCTTGGTAACATTGCTGGTGACAGCCCTCAGTGCCGTGACTTCGTGCTGAACGCCGGTGCTCTCCGCCCCCTCCTTAACTTGATCAACGATGGTCGCAAGTTGAGCATGCTTCGCAACGCCACCTGGACCCTGAGCAACTTTTGCCGTGGCAAGACCCCCCAGCCTGACTGGAACACCGTATGTTGTCCCGCACTCAGATGAAGAAAAGCTTCGCGCTAACACCCACATTCCAACAGATTGCCCCCGCCCTTCCCGTCCTTGCCAAGCTTATCTACATGCTTGATGACGAAGTCTTGATCGATGCCTGCTGGGCTATCTCTTACCTGTCCGATGGCGCCAACGACAAGATTCAGGCTGTCATCGAGGCTGGCATCCCCCGCCGCCTTGTCGAGCTCCTTATGCACGCCTCGACCTCTGTTCAGACCCCCGCTCTTCGGTCAGTTGGAAACATTGTGACCGGTGATGACGTCCAGACCCAGGTCATCATCAACTGCGGTGCTCTACCCGCTCTTCTTTCTCTTCTGAGCTCCACCAAGGATGGTATTCGCAAGGAAGCTTGCTGGACCATTTCCAACATCACTGCTGGCAACTCCACCCAGATCCAGGCTGTTGTCGACGCTGGCATCATTCCTCCTCTCATCAATCTCCTCGCCAATGGCGACTTCAAGACCCGCAAGGAAGCTTGCTGGGCTATTTCCAACGCCACCTCCGGTGGTCTCCAGAAGCCTGAGCAGATCCGTTACCTCGTCACGCAGGGATGCATCAAGCCTCTGTGCGATCTCCTTGCTTGCCCTGACAACAAGATCATCCAGGTTGCGCTGGACGGCCTCGAGAACATCCTCAAGGTTGGTGACATGGACAAGGAAGCTGCTCAGGCTGGCGATGCTCGTGTCAACCGCTACGCCCTGTTCATCGAGGAGGCTGGTGGCATGGAGAAGATCCACGACTGCCAGAACAACGCCAACGAGGAGATCTACATGAAGGCGTACAACATTATCGAGAAGTACTTCTCTGACGAGGACGAGGCTGGTGATATCGATGAGGTCGCTCCCCAGCAAACACAGACCGGATTTGCCCTTGGCACGACGCAACAGCAGCCTGGCGGCTTCAACTTCGCCAACGGAGGTGGTGATTCCATGGATATGTAAAGAACGGATTGTCCGCACTTTTGATCTGAACCTCCAACGATCTGGTGTATTCATGTCAAGTCCATGCCTTATCGCTAGATCTGTCACATATGGCGGCTGGAGGAGGCTGCGCTGTGGACCCCAAAACCTCCGAGTACGTGGAGGCTCTGGGACTTTGAACCCTTTTGATCGCTCTTGATTCAAGTTCTTTGCTTCAAGAGTGCTTGAGGGAGAACTCGCTGCACCGCCACAAATGTCCTCTTCTCATTTCAAACCACCCTTTCTTTTGCTACTCGAGGTTTCGACATTTGCGTTCCGCCGTCCCCCACCCCCTCCTACTCACAATCCCGTTTTGATAAGTTCACGATAAACAAGATTCACCGTCATGTACTCTCCCCCAAAGTTCCTTCCTATTACCGTAGCATTCCTCATACACCGGCGCACCTGTTTCATTCTTCCCCCTTTCGGTCTCATGTTCATGTCTCTCCTGGATGGTTGTTCTTTTCTGCCCCTCGGTTGTCTTTTTGTGAGGGCCTAGAATGCGGGTGTCCGTCCATCCGCCTTTGCTTTTCTGGAGGGGAAGAGTGGTATATCGCTAGCTTTGCATGGTTCCCTCTTTTCCGCTGACGCAGTGGGGAGGATAGGGTGGATAGATGATCAACCGATCGCAGTCCAAGCGGTATATTTATCGTTGTATTCAGCGACGATGGCGGGGATGGTTTCCGCTCTAGGCCAGAAAATGGAAAGTTTTCCCTCTTCTTAAGCGCTAGGTCCTTGTAGTGCATGGTTGATCTTGTAGCTTGTAGATATACCTTGGGAGTAGCGTGTGGATGTCAGTATAATCAACGTCACATGACTGGGTGCCAAAGAGCATATTCCATACACACGGACTCTGAAATCCAGATTGGACTACCTGACCTAAATACTGTACAAAAGGGTTGTTAACTTGTCATATCACCTGACTCCTTACCGTGACCTGCTTTGACAGAACACACGCTTGCACTGTACATATATCAAAAGCTGAGAGACCTCCTAAAGATCTCCAAAAGAATGGCAGTCCTACGCCCCACGGTTAGGGGGATCAATCATCATGAACATAGTACTTGCGAACAAACACATTCGTTCAAGTCTTTTACTCGATGCAGCATAGAAAAAGAAACCAACAGAGAATACGTCCATCTAGCTTAATTCCCTACAAACAAAACTAAATCATCATACGAAGCAAAGCAAAGCAAAGCAAACAGAAGGAAAGATGATATAAAGTTACGCCTACCCTACTACCAAACAGTACACAGAGAGACACGAAAAAAAAAAAAAAAAAAAAAAAGAAAGGGAACCCAGGCTTGAATGAACAGAATGAACACATTCGAAAACGAAAAAGAAACACCGTGAAATTTTGCCTCTTAACTGTGCCATGTCTCCAAACAAGCAGATAAAATAAACAAATGGAATATGGACACACACGAAAGAGTAAGAAAAATAGAAATCAAACTACAGGAATTAAATCTCAATCACCCATGACTTCGTCCTCGTCATCCGGCGCAGGGGAGGCCGCGTTTTCATCCTCGTCTTGATCGATAATGTCAATGTTTCTTTCCTCGACGAGACCTCGGGCGCGGAGGTCCTCCTCGCCGTCTTCGGAGCCGTCGTCCTCGATTGCGTCCTCTTCTTCGTGCTCCTCCTCCTCTTCGTCGTCATCGTCGTCGTCCTCGATTCGTTCAGCGGATTTGTGAGATTCTTTACGCTGCTTGATCGTTGTGTTGACACCGCTCCTCGCGGCGCCGGGCTTGTCGGTCGTGGGCTGGGCGGGAGCAGCGGGCTGCTTCGCCCTGGCCTGGGCAGACGTGGCTCGTGATGCGGCGGTTCGGGGCTTGCGGTCCTCAAGGAAGGCCAGGACCTCGCGGTAATTGCGACCGAGCTTGGCCTTGTGGTGAAGGAGTCGCTTGCGTAGTTGTCCCTGGTCGGAGCCAGATGCGTCCAGGATGCGGCCTACGATGGCGAGGACGATCTTTCCGGTCAGCTCGCAGAGCCGTTGCTCCGCCACGATGCTGGACCGGAGGCGCTCGTCGTCGAGCGGTTGGTCGGCGTCTTCGTCGTCGTCTTCCTCCTCGTCTTCATCCACCGGCGCCTTCTGGATATCGTCATCGGACAACGGCTCGTCTTCATCGGCGGGTGCGAGCGCGACGCGGATATTCTTCGCATATGTCCGTTCTGCGATGCCATGGATCTTGGTGATCAGGGCCTTGGGCTCGTCCCCGATCTCGTGGACCAAGCTTTGGGTCTGGAAAATGGTGTCCTCGTCGTTGCCCACGCCGAGCCCCGCATGGCGGAGGGTGCCGAATAGAGTCTGTAGGTCTAGGAGAGTCGTGGCGGCGCAGAAGCGGATATCATCGAGACCAGAGCGACTCTTCATAATAGCAGTCAGCGCTGCAACGAACATCTCGCGGCCTTTGGTCAGGGCTTCAAAGAAAGCGGTATTGAAGGACGCCTTGCCGGCTTTTAGGGCCGAAACCAACAAGTGAACCTTCCACATGAAGTAAAAAAGTAGGGTTCTGATAGCGTTGACCACCAATTCCGTTTCTGCCCTCGCTGAGTCTTCGTCGTCCTCCTCTGCACGGAGTCCACGCTCGACAAGGTGCAAAAAGGTGTTGAACGGCGCCTCTGCAAAGTCTTTACTCTTTCCCTTGGGCCGAGTGGACGGCATAGTTTCCAGAACGTGAGTGCAGTCGATGACGCTGGCCAGGTTGGAAATTCTGGTGACCGTGTTGATAAGTTCGTTGAGAGTGGCTGGAGCTATCGAGCCTCCCTCTGCGACCTCCTTTTTCCGAGATAATGTACCCAGAGTGTCAATCATGTTGTCCCACAGCTCTTGTACCTTGCCCTCCAGAGCCTCGCGCATGTCATCAGAACTCTTAGCATGCAAGAACGCGACGCTGGCTTCGGCAAGAACATCCCGATCCGAGTGCGTGAGGAACTGCTTGTTGATATCATTCAGCAGCGAGGTATAAGCTGTTGCATCTTTTTGGATATCTTCGATCTTGCCCAGATCGACCAGGTGCTCGAGTCTGAGAACAGCAGAGGCGGCTTCCGGTACCGAGCCGAACTTATTCAGAAGTTGTGGAATGATTTGTGCAAGACTGTGTGCGATTTCTTCCTGCAGTTCTGAAATCTTATCGGTCAACGCCTTGACCTTCCGTCCTCTCTTATCGATGTCAGACTTGGCGATATCAAGAACGCGCAGTTTCACGGCACAGCATAGGACTTCAAGGAGAATCACTTCCTGGCCTTCTTGCATCTTATAAGCTTGTCGGACCGAGGCCGCGGTGTCATCCTCCGCGGTATCGTCGGAGATTTGAGAATGGTCGTACAGAAGATATCCAGCTAAAGATTGCCAGTGAGATAGGTCAGCCAAGTGGGGATGAATGGCCTCTGTGGCGAGAACAAATCGAGTTTCCATGGAAGCTCCCAGAAGTGCGTCTCGCGACGGGATCGAGGGGTCTTCTGGGTGTTCTTCGCTCTCCATACTGTCGTAAGCCTGCAGTATATCGACCAGACATTTATACTTAATCCAAGACCGTTTTGGCGATTCGAAGTCGTCTTCATCTTCGTCACCGAACAATTCATTAACTTCTTCGCCGAGTTCCTCCAAGGTAGAGTCGAACACGTCTTCAACATTGGCAACGAAGAAACGGCCAGCTGCCTTGCGCACCCGCGCCTCGTTATCGAAAACGAGTTTACCAACCGTGTCTATATCGGCAGGCTCAATCAATCCGGTCTCACGGACGATGTCGAGCAGCTCAATGACTGAGGCGCGTACTGTGATGTCTGCGTCGTGAGCGGCCATTTCAACCAACCGTTGCCGCCAGCGTTCGGTGAATGCTCGTAGTCCAGCCACATTGTCTCTGTTCCCATAAAGATCGCGCAACTGGTTCACAACGACGAGGCGTGCCTGAGGAGCAGAGTCCGCAAGGATATAACCGAAATAGCGAAGAAATTGTCCTTCGAAGAAATATTCTCGATACGTGCGCATCCACCGTCCCAAAGACATCATGCATTCTGTTCGAATGTGGGGGTCAATGTCTCGGTAGCGATGCACGAAGACAACGTCAACGCCGTCTTTCAGAGCGTCATCGATCACTTCGATCTTCTGTTCATTGTCTTCTATAGCTGACGCAATTGCATCCGCTCTTCCTTTGTTCACGTTTTTCTTCTTCCTTTCACTTTCGAGCTGCTTGCGAGATGTGGATACCAGAGTGGTGATTTCTCGAGCGAGATCACAGAAAGCGTTCATGATTGTCATGGTAATGACGACCGCCGTATGTCTGAAAGGTCGGCACCTGCTCGTGGAGAACCCGGCCATCCAGACTAGCAGATTTTCAAACAAGTTGGGATCGGTATACAGGACAGAGGAGTGGTGCAGAGTCTGGATCAGGGCCATGAAGAAGCTTTCGAGGACGGGTTGGAAGGACCTCAGTTTCCGGGATTTCGATATGAGGGGATACTCAGTGATTCCAACCGCATCGTACTCCGTCGCCAAGTCTGCCACACGAGTTGGGACGTTGTCTACATCCTCAATATCGTGCGTATCGACATCAAGATCGGTTCCGGAGCACCTGAGCATCATATTGACCAGTTCAGTCACGGCCGCCGACTGATCCTCCTGGTACGCAGTAAGCCATTCCGCGGCAACCGTTTCCACATTGCGACCCTTCCCAAAGATCTCCGCTATACCACACTGTCAGCAATCGCACAACCATGCACAAATCGAGACGTGAAACCGCTTACCGTAAAGCCCGCCTTGTCGAGCAGCCATGGTCAACCGCGCCTTCATCTGCTTGGGCCGCGACCGCTTCCCGTTGGTTGCGGGTCGCAGGGCCAATTGACGGCCGACGCCATTGCCGGCAGTCGCAGCGACCTTGGGTTTCTTGGCCGATCGGGACGACTGAGACTTGTTCGACTTTGATTTGGACGACCCGGGGGTCTGCTTCTTCGATTTCGATGATGCCTTGCGCGCGGCGCGCTTCTTCTCTCGTAGTTCTTCCTCGTCGGGCTCTTCATCGGCGGATTCGATGTCGTCGGATTCCGACGCGTGGTCCTCACTCTGTTCGCTGTCCTCGCCTTCATCGTTGCTGTCGCCTGTCGCGGCACGCTTACGTTTCGCACCGCTGGGAGTCGCGCCGTTGCTGGCGCTGTAGCTTTGTGAGTAGAGTTCGGGTCTGCGCGTCACGCGGCCAGATTTTCTCCGATCGGTCGAAGGGGAGGCGTCGCCCTGGGTGGCCGGCCCAGGCTGAGGCGTTGAGAGGGGCGACTCGGTCTCCATTCTGGTCAGACTCGAGGATTAATTCACTGTAATGTGAATAAGCATGGTCAGTCAGATTGAAAGAGATGAATACGCCGAGGTTGAGCAGCTGGCGCAAGATAGTAGAGCGTACTGGATTGTTGACTGGATAGACGCTAGATCGGCACGGAATCGGGGAACGCGATGTTGGGCTTCTGCACCGGATTGCGCGCGCGTGTGTTTGGTTGGCACTGCGGGTAGGCGGACAAGGCGGAAACCGAATAAGCAGCAGGGGAAATTGGCAGAGAGACACGGGGAGAATCAATTGGAGGGCGTGTGCGTTTCGTGAGTGGGACTGACTAGCGGAGAATCAGAGTTGAAGAAGGGGGGGGGGGAGGGGGGAGGAATGGTAGTTGAATTCAGTAAGTGAGTGAGTGAGTGAGTGAGGGGGATGGAAAGCAAGCTATGCTGCTGCTGTCGCTGTCGCTGTCGCTGAGTCCCTCCGTTGACGGAACAGGCGACAGACAGACACAGAGACGCGCTGGGGAAGTTTGGGTGCCTGAGCATCTAGTGCCTGAGGCATACAGGGTCACTGTTTCGTGCAAGTCACGGGATCACGTGCTCTGGCGGAAATGGAAGGCAGAATTGCCGACCGGATCACCTGATCGGCCAACATGGCTCAAATAGGAAAGTGCGGAGATGGTGATATTTATGCCGTAATGAAAACATGGGCTGTGCCTCACTCGGTCTTTTGTTGCTCCAGTCAACGCCATTCAACGCCATTCAGCGCCTTTCAACTCCTTTCAAACTCCATCCACTCTCCTTTCATTCACTGGCTTCCGGAGAGCCAAGAGGGACCAGACTGTGAATCATTGATTCCGCGTTCACGGGGTCAATCCAACCCCGCTTCTGCCTGAGGATTCGCAGTTATTCACGCCCATCAAACTTCAGTAAAACTGGGGACTCCTGCGTCGATAGTGCGATCTGCCGGATCTCTTTCGTCAACAAAGGCCACAAGCTCCATCTTTGGTTGCAAAATCAATGCAGGGCCAAGGGATTTAGAGCGTTTGACCACCAACTCATCAATTTCATGACGCCATCCCCCTGGTCGTGTGGAATTGCTTTTTGAGATTGATCCAAAAATAAAAAGAGCATTGCTGGGGAAGCGAAGAGAGACCATGTTGTTAAAAGCCGACAGATCGACGACCCTCTCTTTTCTTTCTGCTCGAGTATTTCTTCCTCAATCCTCGTTCTTCTAGCCTCTTCCCGCTTGTCCACCCCGGGAGCTTTCCCCGCAATAAAAAAAAAAACGTCAAGAAAACACATTCTTCTCTGAAACATCCTGTCCCCCCGCTGCCGCTGCCGCTGCCGCACCCCCCACTACCACCAGCATGCCAATAAAATCCCCCTTTGAGTCGTGCATAGCGAAGCCAGGAGAGGGCAAAGTTGTCCTCTCCCTGCTGCCACCTTCGAATCCAACCTTGACGACCCTGACCTACAAATACCCCCTCAAACTCCTTACCCGTACCCCGGGTTTTGTCCCCAAGTCCTCGGCGCTCACCTGTCCCTCGCAACCCGTGCACCTCTACCTTCTGACCTACGGCGGCGGACTTCTGCCCGGTGACAAGATCAATGTCTCGATTACGCTCGATCCGCGGACGCGAATGGTGGTGACCACCCCGCAAGGCAGCACCAAGATTTTCAAAACCGAGCCCAACGCCAGCGTCAAGGGCCAACGCGGCACTCCCAAACACATTTTTTCCGACAAGAGCAGTCAACATCTCACCGTTCACGTTGGCCAAGAGGCCGCCCTCTGTTACCTCCCCGACCCCGCCGTGCCCTACAAGGACAGCCGCTACGAGCAGGTGCAAACCTTCACCATCGATGGCCCCACCTCCAGCAAAGACCCTCACCGCAGCAGCCTGTGTATATTGGACTGGGTGACGCAGGGCCGTGCCTCGCGCGGCGAGAACTGGGATTTTCACCTTTGGCGCGGCAAGAACGAGGTCTGGACGACTGATGAGTCGGGCAAGAAGAAGCTTCTCCTTCGCGACTCGCTCATCCTGGATCGCGAACTCGACGAGGATCAGCTCGCTCAAGACCCCGAGCTCCTGGCGCAGTCGAATCTGATCCGGGAACGAACGTATCCGCACGGGGTCGTTGGGACATTGATCCTCTACGGTCCCGTATTCGAGGGCCTGGCCAGCTTCTTCATGAGCCGCTTCACCTCCCTGCCGCGCATTGGGGCCCGCAATTGGTCCTCCCCAACTGTGTGCAGTGGCTCGGCCGCGACAGAACCTGCCCCCAACTTCAACTCCCAGGTGACCTTCACAGCGGCCCGGGTCCGCGCCGGGTTCGTGCTAGTGAAGTTCGGTGCGCCGGACTTCGCCGCGGCCAAGGACTGGCTAGGTGCAATTCTGCGGGAGGAAGGGACGGTCTACACGGAGTTTGGCGAGGAGGCATTATTCTGCTTGTGAGCGTTTTGTGTTCCAGCCTCCAAAAAAAGCGTTTCTTCTTTTGTGTTATTTACCCCGTGACCCACAAGTTGGTCAAATGATACCCGAATTGTTACCTGTCACCCAGGTTTCTCCATAGCTAGCACAATTTCAAGCAAGGGATTTGCCGAAAGCTGAAAACTGATACCTCTAACATTCTTCGTTGTCTCTCTCTCTAGAAAAAAAAAAAGAAGCACGAACGCAACCTAGTCTAGAACGAAAACCCAACATCCTCCGCCCACGCATGAACAACCGCGTCGCCAATAAATCCAAGGAAATCGATACTGGTCTGATTCCTTTCTTTCATTTCAAGAAGCAATCCACATCAAGATCAGCGTAGCATCTCGTAATCATGAAACAAAGCGCGAAACGAAAGCAAAATCCAAATCGAACAACCAATGGGCCCATCGCCAAAAAGAAACAGGGTATCACCATAAGAAAAATTTCAACATAAGGAAAGCCACGCCAAGCCGCGAGAAAACGAACAAAACAACAAAACGCCTTCTATCGAAATCCATCTTCACATAGCTAAGACTCTTCCTTCCCTTCCCTTGCATCTCAAAGAACGTCAAGACAAAACTATCTAACTCCACAAATCGGACAACTTCGGCCGCCAATCCTGCCGGGTCGCGCTCTGCAGATCATCGACATTCAGGATATCGACGCCCTCCTGCAGCAGGACGGCCCAGAGGTGGTTGCGGAGGCTGCGCGGCCAGCTGGGCAGGCCCCAGTACCGGACTCGGAGGCCGCGGCGGTGAGCGGCGCGGATCTGCGCGCGGATGCGGTCGACCTGCTGGTCCGAGAGCCGGAAGGCGCGGGGGGCGCCGATGGATTTCTTGAAGGAGACCGAGGCGTAGTAGCTGTTGGTCCAGTCGAAGGATTCGGACTTCGGCGTGACGCCCGAGAGGCCCTGACCGACATTTTCCGCCGGCGGAAGGGCGGTTGCGTCATCACGGGCGGTGTTCACGGCTTGCGGGAGCTGGTCGTGCGGTGGTTCAGTTGGCGACGAGACTTGGGCGGCGTCCGCGGCTCCCTCCGCGGCTCCGTCTTCGGGGAGTAGGTTGAGCGGCGCATCGAAGAAGATGTCCCGGTAGGTGGTGTTGGCGGTGACGAGGCTGAAGGGGGTGTTGCCCGTGCCGACGACGGTGATCGGGCCAGGGATGAGGGCGGTGCCGTTGAAGGAGGTGAGGTAGCCGCGCTCCCGCAGCGGAGTCAGCTGGGCGGCGACTTGGTCCCAGGTGTCCTGGCCGTCGGTCTTGATGTCGATCAGCAGCACCAGGGTCTGGGCGGGGTCGGTGTCGAAGACGCCCTGGAGGGGCCGTTGGAGTTGGGGGTGGAACTCGGTGAGCGGGTTCTGCTGCTCGAGGACCCGGAGCAGCGGGTCGATGTACAGACTGCGCAGGGTGCGTTTCGGAGTCAGCGCGGAGGTGGTGTGGCCCACGTAGAGCTCCTCGTCGAACAGCCAGACATCGGCCTCGACGCCGATGCAGCCGGCCTGGATGGCGGAGAATAACGGCACGGGACGCCAATAGTCGTTGTGCGAGTGGCAGGCAACGGGGATGATGTCACGCGAGGCATCGGTGGGCCAGTGGGAGAGGTCGATAGCCTGGGTTGTGCTGTGCGATTGCCACCGCTCGGTTGCACGGTCGATTTCGCTGGGGAAGAATGCGATAACTATGCCGCAGGCGATGGCGATAAATTGCACAATGCCTCTGTTTGGCGGTGAATGAGTTCAGGTGTTCGTGCACATTGGAGTGGGGGTTGGCTTACAGCATGATCAAGAAACCGGCGATCGGGTAGAGCAGACAGCGAAGCAGCAGTCTGGGCTTTGGGAACTGTCGCACGGATGAATTGTGATAAAGAGTGACGGAGGAAGAAGAGGCGGAGGAGGAGAAAGAAGAAGAGCCAAGCAGCGGACGAGCTGCCTCGGCCCGTTTATCGCGAGGTGCAACAATCAAGCCGGCGATAAGACCCAGTCCCCGCATCCACAAAGACGGTGGATGATGGTTCTTGTGACGAAATCCCTGGGATCGCTCAGGGTCGGCTTCGGGATCGAATTCGCTGATTGCACTGCTGGGACTCTTGGTGTCCGTGTGGAAATTGCTCACCCAAGGATGGTGGTCCATCGGCTGGTAGCGCTCAATGGGGTCCAACATCGGTGGTGATGTGGAGGGCAGATCGGCCATGTAACAGTAGAGCTGTAGAGATAGAAGAGGAAGTCGCAAGAAAGTTATCTCTTGCTAGTCTGCCTCCCTGTCCCGTAGACAGGATGGTGATGGTGGTGAAGGTGGTGGTAGGAAAAGATATGTGGTGGGCAGGGAAGGAGGGAGAAGAAGAGTCAGTGGATGTTGGTGACTGCAAGTGAAGTGTGCAATGCAGTGAGTAAGAGCCAGTCAGTCACTTCGAGTCATTCACACCCCATCATACCCTTTTTAACACCCACATGCAGCAGAGATACAGCAGCAGTAGATCCTGAGCTGAGGGTTATCCTTTTCTCTTCCAAGTTCCAATTCAAAGAAAGGCGTTCTGCGTCTTCACGGCTAAATCGGACAGCCCATGTGCTGGGAGCGCCGCTGTCATTGGAGGAGGCGTTCAAACTCTGATTTACTCGATACTGGAGACTGCACGCTGCATATTATGGTAGACTGTAAGAAGAACTCCGCTAATCGGACCCAGACCCTGAAGGAGGTGGTCCGAAGGATTGGATCCAGCGTCTCAACTACCTGAGTGCATGGGTGAGTACTAGGTAGGTATCTTCATGTTGTGCCAGTTCTCTCCACTAGATCACAGCATGGTCTTTCTCGTCCTCGTGCAATTCTGCTGCCTACATTGATTCATAAAAAAATTCCAAAAAGAGAAAAAGAAAAAAGGTTGGACCCTGAGACACACGGCCCTGGCCTCTCTTTCTCTCCGCTGCACGACCTTCAACTCGTCAACGACCACCAACCACCAACCACCAACCACCAACCGTTCACGCTTACACTCTGACCCCTCGGGCAATAAAACCCAAAAATTCAAACGAGGGAAAGGGAAAAGCCCCCGAGCCAGAAGCAGTTGCATGCGCAACGAAAGACGCTAGGAAAAGAAGGGCCATCACATGAACACACTCAGGGACAGCCTTAAAGGGTCTGGACTGCCCGACTTTGCCTCGATCGGGGATTTAGGGCTACTGGACGGGGGACTTCAACTTGTGAGTCTCAGCCCGTCAGCGTTAGTGAATCGCAGTGCTTACATTAATAAGGACCTTTCTCGGTCCTATTCAGTTCAGTTTTCCTGCCAATCACTGCATGGGCCCTGAGGATGGCGACATTCGTATAGTACTAGTAGTATACTCTCAGCAAGTGCCCTCCCGCTAGAGTACCGTAGTTCAATGCCGTTTTTCTATACGTTTCTATACGGGGGTAGTTGCACCACCAGAGTCCCAGGGACGCAGTATACTACCCTCTTACTCCTTCCTCAGGAAGATTGTTGGGTGCTGCCTATTCACCTTCCACTTCATCAATTGTGGGGGCGCATTGAGGGGTTTGTGTCTACCAATAAGTTATCCCGGTCTTCCGACGGCATCGTGGAACTGGAAACCAAACGAGGATGGGAAAATGTCCGAGACTCGCCCCGATGGAGTTGGGAGTGTATCGCCCCTTGCATGACAATCCCAACCCAACCCTACCAGAAAAGCCACAAGCCTTTCTTTGCAAGGGTATCCATCCCGATGTCATTCATCTCGGGCAATCCGATTTGAGGATCAGCAGGCTAAGACTCAGCAGGGCTGGGGATTGTCCCCCGTCATAGGTTGCTAGTGTCGTCTTGTCGGAGCCAGAGGTTTCGTGAGATGCTCCACAGGAATACCCTTGTGGGTAGGGTAGGACTGCTTAGGCAACAGCATGAGCTTGAATTAAGGAGCCTGGGAGCGTTGCATGGAGACTGTCCGTGTAGATACTGATCAGATGAGGGAAGTCGAGCCGAAAGGAGGAGTTGGGAGGTAAAGATGAACCCTGATACCCTTTTTCATAGCTGGAACGAAGTTTGGACTTCATTGAGATGGACTGTAATAGAGAAGAAACAGAAAAGGTTAGTCTGGTCTGCAGGTGAAGTGTTTGTTTACCGTATTAGGCAAGCATGAGGCTATTTAGCACAGTACCAGAACACAGACTATACATCCACAGTTGTTGCTCTGGCCTGCCTCATATGCTCTAGGATGTAGCTCAATTTCTCAAACACAAGTCCATCAGGCAAATGATCTTCAACGGAAAATACACGATAATTCAGAGATGTAAAACTACATCCAGGCCGTAGGTATAGTGGTTGGTGATGTGATCTCTTATCACCACTCACGGCGATAAGATACGCCGCGCTCCTCCTCCGCTGTCCGCCCGCAAAGGTAAAAAAAGTTTCAAACCATCTCATTTCCCCGACCCGACTCCGATTCCTCTCTCCACCACCACCACAACCACCACCAGCACCACCAAACGAACCACTTGGATTGGAGAATACCACACCAAAATGCCTCACAAACACAAACGCAGACAAAAGGACGCCGAGTAAGCCCCCCTCTTCCATACCGGGGGACCACAACACCACATGAAAAGAAAAAGGAACCTCCCCCCCCCCCCCCAAAACTTCAAACTAACCACCAAAAAAGCACATACGACCTCCCGCCCACGCGAATCGCCAAATCCCTCCCCGTCCGCGACCCAACCGCCACCAAGACCCACAAAACCGGGGGACCCAAGAACCACAACCGCAAGAAACCCGGCGGTGTCGCTCGGAAAGAGCAGACCCAGACCAAGGCCGCCAAGGTATCTCCCAAGAACGCGGCGGCGGCGCTGGCGGCCACCTCCCGCGCAAAATCCGCCTTCGATGACGATGACACCCCGCGCGCGTTCCGGCGGTTAATGCAGCGCCAGCAATCACAGGCGCAGGCTGCGGCGCAAAAGAGACGCAAGAACAATGGGGATAGTGATGATGATGAGGAGGAGGAGGAGGAGGAGGAGGTTGTGACAACTAGCAAAAGTAATAAGAAGCGCAAGCGTGGCGAGGGGGATGGTGGTGCTCAGCAGCAGAAGAATAAGAAGATGGCTACGGCGCCAGAATCAGAAGCGAAGGATGCAACGACGACAGCGGCGGCGGTAGCAGCACCGAAGATTCTGCCGGGGGAGAAACTGTCGGATTTCGCGGCGCGTGTGAACAGGGAGATGCCGCTGTCGGCGATGAAGCGCTCCAACAAGCCCGCGGCGGCGGAGCTGGCCAATATCCGCGAGCACAAGGTCACGAAGCACGAGAAGCATCTGCTGCGGCTGCAGGCGATGTGGCGGAAGGACGAGGCGGAGATTGTGGAGAAGGAGCGGGCGCAGCGCGAGGAGCGCGAGGAGGAGATGGATGAGCAGCTGCAGCTGTGGAAGACGTGGGAGGCTGAGGCGGGCAAGCGCAAGGCCAAGAAGAAGGGGTCCGGGAATAAGAAGCGCAAGGATGGCACTGGGGAGGTTGTGGATGATGATCCGGATCCGTGGGCCAAGCTGAACAAGCGCGAGCGCGTGAACAAACAGCTCAATCCCCTGGATGTCGTGCAGGCGCCGCCGCAGCTGACCAAGCCGAGGGAGGTCTTCAAGATCCGCGGCGGGGCCCGGGTGGATGTCGCCAATGTGCCGGCGGCGGTGGGCAGTTTGAGGCGCCGTGAGGAGTTGGCGACGGAGAGACGCAATATTGTCGAGGAATATAGACGGTTGATGGCGGAGAAGAGGAAGGCAGCCTAGATAATGGCCTGCAATTTCATCTTTCTACTTGGGGGCGGAGTTGCTGTAGGCGTCGCGGTGTGTGAGGAATGTGAAAAGACAATATCCTTATTGCAAAAATGCTTTTTATGTATATACAAAAGAATTCCTTAATGTCCCGTAACCCTGGATAATACCCGCCTGACATGTACTGTACTTAGTACTTGCTTTACTCCTGCTGCTGCACCGCCTTGATGTACTCCGCGGCCTTGGCCTTGACATCGTCAACCATCTTGTCGTTGCCAAGCTTCTCCTCGAAAGCCAGCCACTTCTTGAAGAAGAAGCGCGCCTGCTTCGGGCGAACCTTCTTGCTAGCCTCGATGGCCGGGCCGCCCTTCTTGTTATCGCGGATGCCAAGCACCCGCTCGAACAAGCGGCGGACCTGCTCGGCGTCGCCGTTCTTCATCTCCAGATCCAGAAGGATGTTCCACAGGTCGACGCGCTTGGGAAACGAGGACAGAAGGCCCTCGAACACGGTCCGTCCGCGCTCGACGTCGCCGTTCTCGGACCGGAACTCGATCTGCGCGAACTTGGAGGTGGTCTCCACGTGCGTAGTGGAGGGCAGGGACTGCAGGGCGCGGGGAAGCAGAGCGCGACCACGCTCAGCATCAGCCATGGTGTCGAACAAGAAGCTGGCGTAGTTGACATAGAACTTCGAGGACGCGAAGACCTTCTTCTTGAGGGCAGTCTGGAAGAGCTCATCCGCTTTCTATAATCGGAAATCATTAACAAAACATGGCACCCAAAGATCATCTTCGAAGGATATACTAACCTCGTTCTTTCCGGACTGAATGTAGATGCTGATCAACCGCTCATAGACCTCCTGAGTGTCGTTGTATTGGCAGGCGCGTTTGAAGACCTCCTCCAAGGAGTCCTCCGTGCCGTAGGTGTTCTCCAAGTTCAGCATGGCGACCCAGATGTTCAACTTCTCGGCATCTTGTCCGATGGTGATGGTGCGGAGGGCACGCTCGGCGATCTCCTTCGCCTTCTCGACCTCTCCCAACTCCAATTGGAAGGCCATGTACTGCAGCCAGAGAACCGAAGAATCAGGCTCACCGAGGAGCAATCGCTCGTAGTCGGCCACAGACTGAGGTCCATTGGCATCCAAATCGCCGGTTCGGTCAACTTGGATCTCAGGCTTGCGGTTCTTCTTCTTCTTAGGGCGAGTCTCAGCATCTGAATCGGAATCGGACTCCGCCGCTTCCTCAGCGTCCTTGGAGTTACCGTTCCAGTCGAAGGCGTTTGCACCAAGTCCTCCTTGTTGAGCGGAAGGCGCTTCATCCATGGACTCGTCCTCACTCTCACTTCCACTGTCCTCATCGTCGTCCACATCAACTCCACCCATAGACACATCGCTGTCCTCATCACTGTCCTCGACATCGACTCCACCGAAGCCATCGAGGCTGACGCCCTCCGACTCGTCGCCGTCTTCTTCGCTGTCTTCATCTTCATCTTCATCTTCGTCATTGAAGTATGAAGCCTTAAGACTGAAAGAAACCTTTTCTTGCTTGCGGTCAATCTTCAAGATGACCGCCTTGACAGCATCACCCTCCTCGTAAAGAGTGCGTGCATCATCAACACGCTTATCGGCCATTTCACTGCGGTGGCAAAGACCACTGATGTTGGCGGAACCGTCAATGACGATAAAAGCACCGAAATCTTGCACCTTGCGGATCTTTCCGGTAATGACCTGGCCGGGCTTAAGGTCGTGGAGGGTGAGCGGAGCCTTGTAGTTGGGATCCAAGACCGACTCTTTCAAGCTCATCTGCAGCTTGCCTTGCTCGGCATCGGCCACAGTAACACGACCCTTGACCAGCTGATCATTCTGGAAGGAGTCCTTCCACTCCTTGAGATATGAGTCCGAGAGGTCAGAGACACGAACGTAGGCAGTGACACCATGGCCAACAGTCACGAAGAGACCGTTATCGGCGACTCTGCGGATGAAGCCACGGACCACATCGTTGACGGCGAGATCTTTGATGGAAGTAATCTCCTTGTCCTGCACAGGTAGACCCGAGCTCAGAACCTTCGATGGGCGTGTGGAAAGGGAAATCTTCTTCTTGTCCTTATCGACGCTCACAACATAGGCACGGAGAACCTCGTTCTTCTGATACACGGTAGGGTTGGCCTTCGTGTAGTCATCTGCCATGTCAATCAAATCAACTGCACCAACGATCGTGTCGCTGAGTTGCAGGATGACCTGTCTCTCGGTCACCTTGGTAACTCTACCGGGCAGGATCATGCCAGCCGAGATGTCATCAAACGAGAGCTTATCAGAACGTTGTCTAGCAGACAGGTCAAGACGGCCCTTCTCAGCGTCGACTGCCGTGACATGAACCTTGACGGCAGAGCCAATAGGATAATGCTTGTCAACATCAGCCAGAAGGGAGAGATCATCTGAAGCATCCATGAGGCGCAATCTTCCGCGGACATTGGGAGACAAGTTGATCCAAAGGCAGTTGTCCGCAACATTGTTGACAAAGCCCACCCAAGACGAGCCATTCTGGACCTGCTCCAAGTTGAGCGGGGTGGGGTTGCTGGCCTTCAAAAAGCTTGGCTTGACGGAAAGTTCGAAGACGGGGAACTTTCCGGTACGGTGGCTGATGGGAAGGAATTTGTGATTGCGAGCATCGTGGACTCCCAAGATCCTGGCCTCAATCTCCTGCTTGGGTCGGAAGGAGCGAAGAGGTTGTTTGCGGTCGTTGATATCCTCCCACTTGTCGAATACTTCAGAAACATCAATCCGACCCTGAATGTTATCGGCGAGCTGAACGTTGACTTGAGTTGCGCGAACGGAAACGACCTTGCACTTGACGATTCTTCCGAAGGTGAAGTCAGACATCGAGGTGATGCTCTCGTCAATAGCATTGGTAACTGCATCGTTAGTGGGAGCGGGCTTGGCGGCGGGCTTCTTAGCGCCAGTGCGGGTGGCCTCAGAGGGCTTCATGCTCAAGATGAACCGTTTGAAATCAGCGTCGAGCGAGTGGACCGTCGCAGTGACAACTTGTGACCTAACCATGTCGTAGCTGGGCTTGTTCACATTCTCGTCGGCGATGAGACGCTTGGGAACGAGGCCAATCAGTCCACCCATGAATTCGATGAACAAACCAGTCTGAGCGATGTTGCGGATAAATCCAGTGACCTCAGTACCCTCCTTAAGATCTTCAAAGGAAGCAGGCATGGAACCTTGCTTGACAGCCTTCTTGAGGGATTGTCTGCCGGTAACCTTGATGAGCCTATGGGCCCGTTGGATGTCGAGAACAAGGAGTTCGTTAAGCTTTTGACCAACGCGGATTTTCGAAAGAGTCGAAGCCTGCTTCGAGGGAGAACCGTCGATAACATGTTCAAGGTTGAGTCGAGCCACAAGGCCGTACTCGTCCAGTTTGAGGAGCATATCATCACTGGATTTCTCGAACACGGTACCGGAAACAAGCAAGCCAGGATGAATCTTCTCAAAAGCCTCCTTGTAGGTTGCGGTGAAAGTCGAAGGATCTTTGCAAGAAACCACGAGTTTCTCAAGCGAGGCATCCACACTGAGTGCATGCACATTGACAACCTGACCTTGTCTGAAGTGCTGCAAGGGATCTCTGATGTAAGCCTCACTCATCTCCGAGACAGGAAGGAAACCGCGGATCGTGCCATAGAACTGAACCACTGCACCATGAGACTTGATGCTGACAAGCGTACCCGGAGACTGCGATCCAGGGGTAATATCTTTGTAGTCCTTCCAGATAGCGGACTCGCTGTTCAAGAGACTCTTCTTAAGAGTCAAACGAATCTGGCGCTTCTCCAAGTTGACCGAGAGAATCCTGGCTGAGACCGTCATACCCTCACGAAACTTCTTCTCAGGGAATTGAAGAAGGGTATCGGCAAAGTGCATGGAAGGCACAAGACCGGTGATTCCGTCAGCCAGGACGACAATAAGACCATCGAGGCCATTTGCTCCAATCAAAAGCTTCTCAATTGTTCCTTTGACAACCGCGCCCACTGTCACATCTTCAAGGCGGAGGAATGGCTGGTCGATAACCTTCCTCTCGAAAGACAGCAGATAAAGGTTGTCGATGTGGCTATAGCCGACGACTCTGGCTTCGTGTACGGTGTTCAAGCTGAAGGGGCCATGCTCAGCCGAGATGTTTTCCACTTGACCATCGGCTAATCTCGAGACGTGGACGAAACCAATGTGCTTGGTAGATCCGATTTGGACGTAGACACCCATTCCAGGGTCGACTTGAATGACTTTAGCCTCGGGCAGAATGGCAGAGATAGCGGGTGCATCGTCAGAGGAGCCCGGTCCATGGCTGTCGGACGCGAATTTGGCAACATGGTCGAGCAATGTGAATCCGACCTTGAAAGGCTCAGAGGCGGGAAAAGTACAGACCAAGCGAGCCTTGATCTTCGCACCCGTCTGATACTTCTTGACCAGATCCTCCTTTCCTGTGTTGGCCCCAGATTGAACGAAGTCCACGGTGGCATCCAACATGCCCATGATCTTTCCAACCATTCCAGTCGATGTCACCTCCGTCAATAGGATCTCCGCTGCGGTACCGGGGAGGAAAGAGCTGATCGTAGGGGCATTGCTGAGATAGTGCGACTTCTTGATGGACCCAGCGGACTGAAGGTTTGCCGACAGTTTGATGACACTGCCGTTGGCATTCTGACCAGTCACCATACACAGAAATACGGAACCTTCCTTGATGGTCGAAGAGTCCGTCTTGGGGTCGATTTCCTTCGAGGACATGAAACCCTTGACATCAGCGCCTTCGATACCCAGGTCCATGACCAAACCGTGGTCTTCCACGCTGACAACTGAAGCTTGAACTGCAGCATTCGTAATGAGGTCTGACTTTGAGAGGCCGGAATTTGCCTGTCGGGGGTCGACGGAAAGCTCAATGCGGCGCCGATTCTTGGGGTTGGCGTCGGCCGCATTACTTCCAACGGAGACAACGTTTGCCCGCAGATATTGTCCCAGGTAGAAGTATTTGTGGAGATCCAGGGAGTCCTCTTCCTCATCGTCGTCATCCTCGTTGTCGCTGCCGTCCTCCTTGAGGAGTTTCTCAATCTTCTCCTCTAGGAGTCGCGACACGGAGGTCAGGGGCACATAACCGGTAAGGTTGTTGGGCAAGGAGAGCCCGATGTTGTGAGCGCTGATACTAGAAACTTGGCCGAGGACCATGCTGCCGGGAACAAGTCGCTGAATTTTGTAAGCGCACAAATTTCATAGACTTGCGACCAGACTTGCTTACCTTGAAGTTGAGACCCTCGATCCGAATGCCCTTCTCTTGCGCATCCTTCTCCGCTTGCTTCTTTCCCTTAGCCTTCTTCTTGCGGGAAGCCTGACCAGCCGTCGCAGCGGTCTCGCCAGCATCTTCCATATCCGTATCCTCCTCGAATTCTCCACCCTCAAACTTGCTGGAAGAGGGCTTAGCACCTTTTTGTTCGAAAAGGACGTCTTTCGTGGCTTGAATTTGAATCTGCTTCCGTTCGAGAGGCGTCAAAACGCTTCCACCACCACGAGGGAAAGACGGCTCATCGTCGCGCAGCACCGAAAGCTCGGAGGCTTTCGGCGCATCCGACTTGGGCTTGCTGTCGTCGGAGGCATTCTTCTGTTTCTTTTCTGACTTGCGATCGTCTGCGCCAACTCTTACGCGCTTCTGAGGTTGACGGGTCGATACCTCCTCTGCGGAATTACCCTTGCGCTTGATGGGAGCCATAGTGAATGAATTGAAAAAAAAAATGACTAGACGAGCTGCTCCAAAGCTCCCAGTCCAAGTAGTTTGACCGGCGGACTTCAAGACGAAAAATTAAAAAATTTAGACGGAAAAGCCGATGGTCGGGGAGACCGCCTGCCACATCGGGACTGTTCTCCCACTTTAATGGAGAAACTCACCGCCTGCGGCTTTGGTAAATGCGCGTCACGAAAGAGGCACGTCGACACGAGACTTTTCCGCGCCGGGCAGAAAAAGGAACCAAACTAAACCAAAGTGGAATCATCATTGCTGGGCCTGCCTTCATTCTCGAGCCCTGCTCCACCTCTTCCCTCCTCCCACTGCTCTCTTCCTCTCATTCTCTCATTCTCTGCCACCTGGGTCACTAAGCACTTTCTTTCACTTGCGCATCGCATAGAATGTCCGTGTGCTTTGATCTGTCTACGGGACACAATGGACGGCTATCATGATCTCCCTGAAGTACCTCGATCGGAGCCTTATTTCCCTCCCTCATCACAGGATATTCCTTCCTCCCCACCCTCAATAGCCTCCGATGTTGGCTACCGACGCAAGCCCAGGAAGCCTCCTCCTGTCACTCCGCGCTCATTCAAGAGGTTCTTCACGCCTCGGTCTATGCTGAGTAGCGGCAATAACAACAATGCGAGCGCAGTCAGGACCAACCGTCAGGCACTGAAAACACTTAGCTCCCCCGCTGTCAATCGGCTGGGTCCAGCCTTTACGAAGACCTTGAAGGCTATCGAACACAGATCCGAGTCCCCCGAACTCGTACGGACCCCCAGCAAGAGACGGAAGCTCTCCTTTTCATCCATTGGCTCGCCTCTCCAGTCCTCACCTCTTAAAGAAGTCCATGTCAGGGAGTCAGTCAAATATGATCAAGAGCAAGCCGCCCCAGTCCGGAAATTCGAGTTGAATGTGAGCAGCATACCGGAGCATGAAGTCAAGCTCACCACCTTCGCCTCCAAACCTCCTCGACAAGTTCCTCCGGTTCGTCGCTCGCAGGCTTTACAATCATCGGGGGCGCTATACATGCGCAGTATTTTGGGGAATCGCGCAAATAGAGTTACCATGCGAGCAAACTCTGGAGCTGGTACGGTATCCCGCTATCATATACTGGGCGCTTAGTCTAACTGTCTCCAAGGCTGGCAGGATTTGACCTCAAATTTCTACTCCCGCTCAAGTGACAGCCACAACTGCGCTAGTGTTGCCGGTGATCGCTATGTTCTTCCGTTCTGCACGGCGTCATGCAACAGTGAGGTGACCCGGGTGTACAGAAGTATTGGGCATGTTTACTGACCGATTTTCAGCAAACAGTCTTGTTGCTGTGGGTGACGAGGAGGGTGGTATTAGATTGCTGGATTCTGCCAAGGGCGATAAGAACGGATTTTCGCAAGCATACCTTACCTTCCGTCCGCATATGAATTCGATAATGGACTTGGAGTTCTCATCCGATGATTTACTGCTCGCAACGGCTTCGGGCGACCAAACTGCGCTAGTCATCGACATGACCACCCAAACACCGATCTACTGTCTCTCGAACCACGTCTCTTCCGTCAAGCGAGTCCAATTTCAACCGGCGGCCAACAACAAGGTTCTGGCAACCTGCAGTAGAGATGGCAATGTTAACATCTGGGATCTTCGATGCAAAGGGTTTGACAGGCCCTGTTTACAAGTACAGTGCTCGCTTGAATCCGAGTCAGAGCCAACCACTTCACCCATCTCCTCCAAAACCACGTTTCCTCAGGTCATGAACACTATCCATGGCGCGCATGCATGGATGCCACAAACCGCTGCGGTCCCCGGCTTGGAACCCCAAGTTCGCCGCTCCGACATCACCGTGACTTCGCTAGCCTTCCTCCCTGCAGGCCGCGAAAACCTGTTTGTCACTGCTTCTGAGGCCAACGCCTGCGTACGACTGTGGGATCTCCGCACGACACATCACAACCGTCGTAACCGACCTGTTCTCCCTCTGTCTACAACCCGGGAACCCGAAAGTCACGCCAAGTACAGACGCTTTGGTCTTACCTCGATCACACTAGGCGGGGACGGCTCCCGACTTTATACACTATGCCGCGACGGCACCGTCTATACATATTCCACATCCCACCTAATCCTCGGCAATGCCCCCGAGCTATCCCTCAACAACAACCGCCCACGCCGCTCAGGCGGCTCCGACAAGGAAGGTCTCGGCCCTTTGTACGGCTTCCGCCACCCTCGTCTGCAGGTATCCTCGTTTTACGTCAAAGTTGGAGTCCGTAAAGCTGCCGGCGACAAACCCGAAATGCTAGCCGTTGGAAGCAGTGATCGCTGCGCCGTTCTCTTCCCCACAGACGAGAGATTCCTCTCGAATGCACCCGCAAGCTCCACCCCGCCAGAATCGGACTCACTCCCCGCCACTCCATTCTCCACTCGTTCCGGCCTCCTTCGCCGCACCAACTCAGGGGTCGGCCTATCTGGCCGACTGGAGGACACTGTTCCTATCTACCAATCCGGCACTCCTCTAATTGAAGGCCACGCCAAAGAAGTCTCTGCCGTATCTTGGACCGTCGACGGCGAACTCGTCACGGTCAGCGATGATTACAGCGCCCGATGCTGGCGGGAGGGGCCTGAGGCTCGCGATCTACGCACAAGCGGCGAGACGGAAGGCAAACGCTGGCGCTGCGGGTGGGCGCAAACGCAGGACTCGTATGACGACGAAGATGAATGATTCCTCTCCTAGTTCTTCTGCTAAATTCTTTCAGCGCTGTTCTTACTTTCCGAATTTGCCCTCGGCTCTCGGTTTGTGCATCCTGTGGCGTTTCGGCCTATATCCATGTCTATGTTCTTTTTAGCGGGTGTTTTGTTTATGTTTTGTATATTCTCTTCTTGTCCTTAGAGAGCTTGTTTTCATGGTTGTGTTCATGGAAGCCTATTGTTGCAAAGTAGGGAGCAGGGAGTTCTGCTCGGATAGTCGAGGGGAAGGTACAATCTACCGGCGATAGGGAAGCTATCGAATATCAAAGCCAAACTAATAGATCCCATAAGCCTTCTGCTCATTACCATGGAGGAGGTAATAACAAGAGTAACTCGTTTTGAGACTGCGCCACTCCACTCTCCCGTACTTGTGGAGTTTGAAACAATTAAAGTCCCCAGAGCAGGTAGTTATTATATGCAACAATATTTCAGGTGATACAATAATATACTTCATATCTTGATTATACTTTTCCTCTTCCTTCATCCTAAATATCTAAGAACTCCACGTGAAGAAACAGGGAAAAGATGGGATTGGGGTAGAGGGGTGGACTAAAGCAAGCAAGACACCAACAGGCTTGATTTAGTGACCGTGACCATCATCCTCCTTCCTCTCCGGGTCCAACTTGATCATGGTATCGATACGCATGATGGCAATGCAAGCCTCAACGGCACTCTTCAGCTGCTTGATCTTGCCCATGCTAGGCTCGAGGACACCGGCCTTGAGGGTGTCGTGAACACGACCCTTGGTCAGATCGAGACCATAGTTGCGGTAGGTCTTCTTCTTGGCGATGGCCTTCTCCTCCTCATTGGCATCACCGTCCTGCACACGCTGCGAAAGAGCATGTCGGACACGGAGCTGGGCGACAAGCTCGGACGAGTCCTTGGCGGCGTTGACGGCCAAGGTCTTGGGAACGGTCAGGAGGGACTGGGCGAATTCACCGATGGCGAGTTGCTCGCGAGAGCCCTGGAGAGGATATGATTAGTTTTTGAAGGCACATATAAGTGTGAAATATGGTGGACAACATACAACTGTGACAGCGAACTCTTCGAGGTAAATGTGAAGAGCCGTCTCGACGGCACCACCACCGGGGACAATGCTGCCGCTCTCCAACGTCCGCTTCACGGCGCAAAGGGAGTCGTGCACTGAGCGCTCCATCTCATCCAGAGTGAAATCGTTGGGCCCCCGCAGGATGATCGACGCCGAGGTGTGTACCTTGGTGCCCTTGACAAGGATGCACTCATCATCGGATATCCGCTCCTGCACAACCTCCTCTGCGTGACCCAGGTTCGAGGCCTCGAACTTCTCGTCACCATTCAAGTCTGACAGGCTGCTCACCAAGGTGGCACCGGTGGCCTTGGCGATCCGGCGAAGATCCTCCTTCTTGCAACGGCGGACGGCCATGGCACCTCTCTCGACGAAAAGCTTAAGCACCATGTCGTCGATACCCTTGGTGGTGAGGACGACATTAGCTCCAGACTTGAGGATCATCTCGACACGCTCAAGGACGATGCCGGCTTCTCTCTCGCGGATCTTCTCCAGCTGATCGGGATCATCGACTGTGATCTGAACACCAAGCTTCATTCTCTCCTTCTGCAAGTTCATGTCCAAGCAGGCAATCTTCGCATCGGTTATCCGAGTCTTCATGGCCTGGGAGGCAACAGTGCAGTTGAGGGCGTAGCCGTTGACGAGGACGGACTCCTTGCTGCTCTTTCCGTGTGCCTTCAGCAGGTTGACTGCCTTGACGGGGTACTTGACCTCGTTTCTCTGGTTGATAGTCTTCACAGCCAGCATGGCGTCAACGACCATGTTGGCAAAGAAATCGCCGTCGGCACCGATGATCTTGCTGGACATGGAAGTCCTGGCGATGTTGACCAGGCTGTCCTTGCCAAGGGTCTCAACCTTCGTAGTGATGTTCTCATTCATATATTTGACGGCTTCTCTCAGGGCGAGTCTGTAACCGTTGATAATGGTCGTGGGGTGTATGCGGTTCTTCATCAATTCGTTGCCTCTTCGCAGGAGCTCTGCAGCAATCAAAACGACCGACGTGGTACCATCACCAACCTAGACAGGTGTCAGCGTGAATGGTTCCCCTCTCTGGAACGAGAAGCAGGCAAACGGCACGACCGACCTCTTTATCCTGTTGTTGAGCCAAGTCGACGAGGATTTTTCCGGCGGGGTGCTCGATATCGAGAAGACTGAGAATAGTCGCACCGTCGTTCGTCACCGTGACATCCTAGCTACGCGTCAGGAAGCTGTTGTTGGGTAGACGGGGCTGTGAGGCCAGACATACACCGATGTCATCCACCATCATCTTGTCCAAGCCGGAGGGGCCAAAGGAGCTCTTGACGACATTTGCGATCGCCTGCGTGGCAAGGACTGCGAGATTTGATCAACATTCATCCTGAAGCATTGGGCTTTCTTCCAAGCACATACCGTTCTGCTCCCGTACATCAGCACCGGTGATTTTCTGCCCACCCAAGACTGTGCGAAGCTCGTAGTCAGTTTCAAGCGGTCCAGGGGAACGTGGAGTCCGAGGAAATCTGAAAAATAAACTCACAAAGGGTGTCCGCATTCCGCGGAGCCTCGAAGATGCCTGCCATAATTGTGAAACAGACAAGGAGATATGGAGAAGGGTGCAAAAGAGAAGAAAAGCTCCGACAGCTAGCAGGACTGCTTTTGCTTTGCTTGTGGCTGCTGCGTTCGACTTGTTCGGGGAGAGGGCCTTTGCGCTAAAAGTTCTGCCGGGCCCCGAGCGGTGAGAGGGCGCAAAGAGACATCCCACTTTGACTCAAAAGAGGGGCTCTTCGGGCTCTTCCTTCGCCTTTTCCCCTTCTCCGCGCTACCGCTCGACCCCATCTTCTGTCTCTCTCGACTGCATTTTCGAGTTTGGTCCTTCTTTCTTCTTCTTCCACCCGAAGGTTCCTCGCTCAAACTCCAAAATGTCCAGCCAAGCCCCCGCTGACGCTGCGGTTCCCGCCGAATCGGCTGCCGCTCAAACCTTGCCTGACCGCACGCAGGCCCCCGCCGATGCCGCTGCTGCTCCCCAGGGCGAGGTCTCTAAGAACGCTGCAAAGAAGGCCGCCAAGTTGGCCAAGTTGGCCCAGGATAAGGCCGACAAGAAGGCTGGAAACGCTGCCAACAAGGGAATCGGAAAGCAGGAGGCCAAGAAGCCCGCCTCCAAGGCCCCCAAGAAGAAGATTGACGGTGCCGCTTTGATCGGTATCGATGTCTCCAAGGAGGAGGACTTCCCCGGCTGGTACCAGCAGGTCCTGACAAAGGGTGACATGCTCGACTACTACGATGTTTCTGGATGCTTCATCCTCAAGGTGGGTGGTCTTTAGGTTATCTTATCTAGCTCGCACCCGTGCTGATCATGCGCCAGCCCGCTTCATACTCTATCTGGGAGGAGATCCAGAACTGGTTCAACGGATACATCAAGAAGATGGGTGTCAAGAACTGCTCCTTCCCTCTCTTTGTCTCTGAGGATGTCCTGCAGCGGGAGAAGGACCACATCGAGGGTTTCGCGGCCGAGGTCGCCTGGGTCACCCATGCGTATGCAACTCTCCTTATCTCTGGTTATCTTTGGTCGCGTGATGGCTAACTGTCTCGTCTCTATACCTCAGTGGTTCCACCCCCTTGGAGAAGAAGATCGCTATCCGTCCCACCTCTGAGACCGTCATGTACCCCTACTACGCCAAGTGGATCAGAAGTCACCGTGACCTTCCTCTCAAGCTGAACCAGTGGAACTCTGTCGTTCGTTGGGAGTTCAAGCACCCCCAGCCCTTCCTGAGAACCAGAGAGTTCCTGTGGCAGGAGGGTCACACTGCCCACCTGACCCAGGACGCGGCCCATGAGGAAGTCATGCAGATCCTCGACCTCTACGCTCGCATCTACGAGGAGCTCTTGGCCGTCCCCGTTGTCAAGGGTCAGAAGACCGAGAAGGAGAAGTTCGCCGGTGGTCTCTACACCACCACCGTCGAGGGCTACATTCCCGCCACTGGCCGTGGTATTCAGGGTGGTACCTCCCACGGTCTGGGCCAGAACTTCAGTAAGATGTTCGGCATCACCGTCGAGGACCCCTCCGCCAAGGGTGACGAGAAGAAGCCCCCCATCCACGTCTGGCAAAACTCCTGGGGTCTGTCGACCCGTACTCTGGGTGTCATGGTGATGATCCACAGTGACAACCGCGGTCTGGTCCTCCCTCCCCGCGTGGCTGAGAACCAGACTGTCATCGTCCCCGTCGGTATCACCGCCAAGACCTCGGACGAGGAGCGCAGCAAGCTCTACGCCGAGATCGACCGCCTGGTCTCTGTTCTCCAGGACGCCGGCGTTCGCGCCATCTCCGACCTCCGCGAGGGCTACTCCCCCGGCTGGAAGTTCAACGAGTGGGAGCTGCGCGGTGTGCCCCTGCGCATCGAGTTCGGTCCCGGTGAGATGGCCGGCGGCTTCGTCACCGCCGCTCGCCGTGACATCCCCGGCAAGGAAGGCAAGGCGCCTATCCAGATCGCCGAGCTCGCGACCGCCGTCCCCGCTCTCCTCGAGACCATCCAGAAGGACCTGTACAACCGGGCCGACAACGAGTACCGCTCCCACCGTAAGCTCATCACCAACTGGGACGACTTCACCCCCGCCCTCAACGACAAGAACGTCTGCATCATCCCCCACTGCTTGACCGAGGAGTGCGAGGACCAGATCAAGGACATGAGCGCCCGCAAGGCCGAGGAGGACTCCGGCGAGGCCCAGGACGCCCGCGCCCCCAGCATGGGCGCCAAGTCCCTCTGTATCCCCTTCGACCAGCCCGAGGGTATCGTCGCCGGCGAGACCAAGTGCTGCAACCCCAAGTGTACCCGCCCTGCCGAGAAGTGGTGCATGTTCGGCCGTAAGTTTTTATCGTTGTCACCATCTCTGAACCATTTCGCTAACCCACATTTCCTTTCCAGGCTCGTACTAAGCGCTTTCCGTCGTCATACTATTCAATATCACATCACTTGCAACTAACTTCTTATCTTACCACTACTTTGTTTCAAATCTTTTTTCCATTCTATGTGCATATCCTCATCTTCTTATCTTCGTACTATGACTGTTATGACTTTGCTTTCCTGCCATTACAGTTTTTCTTTTGTGTTGTGTGTCTGAAAAAACCTGGGGTTGGTGGGGTTTGTTTGGGAGAGAAGGAAAAGAAAGCGTGTGATGAGGAGTTTTTCTCTTTTGAAAGAAAGAATTAAGAGTTTTCTAGAAATGTCGTGCTTTTGCTTGCATCAGATACCTTTTCAATGGGCAGTGTGCTGTTATCTGACTTTTTGAGTAGTAGAGTAGAAAAGGCCTTTCTCGTGGTCAATTGTCGGCGTGAGAAGTAGAATGGCAGAGAACTTTTGGGCACGGAGTGATTATGGTTACTTATCAACTATCATTGACTAATCTACATGGCTTTTGGCTGATGAGCCAGTCCGTGTTTTAACTGTACATGAGAAGGCCAGGAAGGAGAGACATTGGCAAGCAGTGACGGTTGCGCTAATATGCAGAAAACCAAATGACAATGAATAGGAGGTGATGCATCTGTGCAATGAATGTGGATAGCAGAGTACCGGTAGGTTTCTCTGCAGTAGCAAGGAGAGATGGTCCAGCAGGAGCACGTAACAGGAGGTCGGCTTTTGAGCAGTAAAAAGGATCGTATTCAGCACTCGTTCGTGAGAAAGACATCATCGTGTTTGTCTTTCAGCAATGATTGGAGTCGGATAGAAACCGTGCAAGGAGGGGAAGATTGATTTCAGTGGACATGCATATAGATGGGTATCATGAAACGGCCTCATTCGAGAAGGACTGCCCACCAAGCGAATGGATGGAGTACAGCCGGCCAGACAGCTTAAGTCGTCGGATCTCGAGAGTCTGAAAGAGACACGCTCGGAGAGTAGAAAGAGAAGAAAGTTAGTTCACATTCAAGATGCTGTTGGTGGGTTTGCGCGGCCAGCTCATGATCCGGTAAGGGCTTTTGATAGTTGTGCTCTGCGCAGCGGGGACCGCCGCCGCATGCTCGTAGTCGACGCCGTGGATAATCACTTCCGGAGGCTCGAGGCTGGGCAGTTCAATGATCTCTTCGTCGCTCTCGTCGTCGGAAAAGCTGGATCGGGAGCCCTGGATGGAATCGGAGCCGTGGGCGCGCATGCAGAGAACAGATGGCGACGGCCGGGAGCGATCCGCCTTCTCGCACGGGAGGGAGTGCGTGGACGTGGACTGGGTCGTGTTTCCCGATAAGCGACAAGCCTTTTTCGAGGCGATGTCAGCTGCAGCTTCCTCGGACCGCAGCAGTAGATCCATGTAGGTCATGGGCATCATCTCAGTCTCCTCGAGGTTTTCTGCACTTGCGACTACTGTGCTCAAGACTTGGTCTGATGGTAACGGGGCATCGGTGTGTCGCCGTCGAATGGCCCCTTCTGGTTGTTGAGGGGTGACTGTCGTAGGCACACTTGTTGAGATGCTCCTGCGTTGTTCCGAGTTTCGTTTATGCTTCCTGAAGGAGCTCTTTCGGATCAACTTGAGGAGTTGGCCTTCTTTCGCGTTCGGGCCTCTTTCAGATCCCGTATTAGGGTGTAGCGGCACGCTGAGACCCTTGTCGAACGACTCCTGCGAAGGAGAGGGGGTAAAAGAGCCTTCCGGTTCAGGAAATGTCAACCGTTTGAAGGCGTCATGGGAGTTGATTTCACGGATGATAGCATCTTGCAGAGTTTCGAAGGTTGCGTGAGGTGTCATGGCCGGCGAGGACGTGTAGGCCTGTCGGAACATGTCCATGATCTCCGCAACCTTCTCAGTTGCGGGAAGTAAAGGAGAGACTGTCGTGGGTGAAACCACTGGCAAGGGGCTGTTCATGACCTCTGCAATGCTCAGGTGTTGTGCTGACTCAGTGGTATTGGGAGTCGGTGGCTGGGTGGCACGGTGCGTCGCTTTTGAGGTGGGATTTCTTCGAGCTGCCAGCTCTGTATTGATGGAAAGATCTCGAACATTCTTCTTGGAACTAGCTCGAGAAGAGGCGGCTTGAGAATGATTCTTGGGGGTCTGGGTGACGCCGGTTGTGTCGTTGATTGACTCATCCTCGCTCACACTCTGGTCATGGCTTATTGACAATGGTATAGTGGGACTATCTGGGAGGGGGGTAGTGCTCCATCTGCGGCCTTGCTTGTACGCCGGAGGCACACCAAGGTAGCCATTGCTGGGTGTCGGGGGCTCTGTATCAGAGGTCGTGGGCCGTTCGGCCACTAGATTAGGTGCTGATCTCTGCGAGCGCAAAGAGCTTTTTTGGGAACTCATTTCCATCGACGACTCCGGATCTCCATCATGCGCGCAAGGCGCGGGACGGGCGCATGACCTGTAGGTCGCAGAAGCTGCTACACGGCCTTCCCTCGCCCGCAAGCGAGGCCGTTCTTTTGTGGAGGTTTCTCCACTTGGATGGGTAGGCCGGAGAGGCAACCCCTGTGCTGATTTCGGTCGTGTGATCGTACTGCGTGGGAGATTTGCGACATCTCCTTGTAACGAGGTGGGCCGGGGATATACCACCTTGGGAAGAAACGTTCCTTTGAGGAAATAAGCCATGTTCCTTTCTGCGATGTCCTCATTGTATGGAGTGATTGGCGATAGAGAAGTCGGGCACTGGATATGATATCGATGCGAAGTGAACAGTGCATCGAGCAAGTCAACATGTCGAGGGGCTTTGTCTGGCCTTGGGCTCGAAGGGAGTGAGGACGGTGGTTGAGAATAAGATGTCGTAGGGCGTGCACGCATGTTGTGAGTTGGTTCAGAGGGTCTGGTCTGGGAACCGCCGGACTGTGAGGTTATCCTCGTATCACCCCCCGACGAGTTGGTCCGATTGTCTCGACCATCTTGGGACGTTCCCGACGCCTTCTCGGTGTGGAAGAACCGTTTGAGGGAAGCCATGATGGTGCAGAGCGATAACACTTAGACGGGTAGCCTGATCTTCAAGTCGACTATCGTGTTCCGGTATTCGTTTTATAATATACCTAACCCATGCTGAAGGGATAGGAACAGGCTCATCATGCTTTAGGGACGGAACCGGGGGTGCAATGACGGGAAGAGGAACAAGGAAAAGAAACAGAAGCAAATGAGGAGAGGACAGAAGAATAAAGGATTCCCCTTCTGGTGGCTGCCCCATTTGCAGATCTCATATTTGCTCCGTTTCTACGAGTACGTCAGGTCAGGGGCAGAAGTGGTCCAGGTCTCAGTGCTGGAACCCACAGCCGGGAGAGAGATCGGGTGGACACATTCATCCCGCCAGGAGGATTTGCATTCATCCTGATGTGCACATACATCTGCTCAGTAGAACCTGCATCAGTGACGCGATAGTCGAAGGACACCCGCCAAAGTCCCCTGAAGCCATACCTGTCAATTTCGCAGTGGTTCAGAAAACCGTTGGATCCATCCATTTCTCTCCGGCTGCGAGCCCTAAACTTCCCTACGGTCTGACCCGGAGGTCATTGAACTTGAGCTGAAATTCGATCTGCATCCTGCAGGCCTTACTGCCCGACTAGACTACAATTGAACTGGATCTCCCGTTCCCTTTCCGCTAAAGGCTCAACTTGGCGCCGCTTTTCGCTCACTGAGCGGCGCGGAGCGTGGAGGGAGCATAGAAGTGCGTGTCCTGTGCAATCCCGGAGCAAGAGCTTACCCGTGCTGGTCATATGACCCAGCTATACTGTGCACGACTAAAATCATGCATATTGTTGTGGGTATCTTTCTCTCCCTTGAGCACTATGTACAAAGGTTGAGATGATTGCAGGGCAGTCTGAATAAAGTAGCATCGTAAGTGCACGACAGCAATGCTAAATGACAATGACATAAGCATGGTAGACACCACCACCCCAACCACTAAAAGGAGCTGCGTCTGACCTTAGCAGTGGTAGTGCTGAGCTCATGGCTCGTAGGGCTTGACTTGCTACCGAAGCGGACCTGGCCAGACGGCATGTCAAACCAGCGCTTGAATCGAGCAACATTTGCCTTTGCCTCCTCCGCAGACATCTCCACCTCCTCTCCCTGAACCTTGATATCATCCATGCACTGTTGCACATGCTCATCTATCTCGTCCATACACTTTTGTACTTGTTCTTGTATGTCCTTCACACATTCATTGGCGGTAATGCGTACCTCGGAATTACATTCCTCCACCTGCTCGCGGAACTCGGTTTCGTGCATTTTACATGCATCGAAGACCTGATCCACCCCCTTGTCCATCATACTATCGAAGATCATCTTGAGGTTATCGGACTGGAAATGGTCCGCAATCGCCCGATCGATGTATTCTTGGACGCCGGGATCAATCTGCCCGCCCTTGGTAGAACTAAGTGCATCGGACTTGAATGATAGTTTGCTCTCTACAGGTTTAGGTCTAGTCTGCGGACATCGGCATCCCAGGCGAGTCAATAAGTGACGGATTAGATCATCGGAAGCCCCCTGGAGCAGATTCTCAATACGGGCAAGTGTATCGTGTTCCATGCGGCTGAGTGATGAAGCACGCGTAAAGTGGGTTGCTTGGATTGAGGCCGATAATGGGGATGGAGATGGAATACTTGGTGTATTAGGTTCGGTTGAATAACACGAAGGCTCTGGAGATGTAAGAACATGTCTTGTTCGTCTGTCATCCTCGGGTGGGATTGATGAGTGGTCTATATAGAATTAATAAACTACTGGGAAAGTGCAAGTACATGAGACAACGATATAATAGAATACCTCGGCGCCGTTTTCCACCCACGTGCACTCCTTTCGAGTGGTGTTTATATGAGGGTAGATCCGTTCCCTGCAACTGCTCGGGCTCGAATTCCTCAGAGTATGGGGGAGGATCAAGCATCTTCCCAAAGACATGGCCATCTCTCTCGATTCTGCCTTTGCGAGCATGGTTGAAAATCTTCGGCCGAAGTCCTTCTTTTAGTGTAAAGAAAAAGGTCTTGAGCCGATCGAGTTCACCGTTGTTGAATTGTCGCTGGGTAAAGTGTATATATAGAGAACTGGATTTGCAGATCTTTCTAAGCGCGGCGAGATTCGGATCTTCTTTATTAGGGGGCTGTATGAGAGGCGGACCAGCAACAGTACCCATTTCATGCAGCTGAAGTGCCAGTGTTACAACCGTCGAGATACAATGCGTCTGGGCTGGGAGTTCCGCCAAAAAGGATTCTGGGAAAAGTGTTTCAGTGGTGGGCTGTACAACTTTGTACCTTTCGACTGCGCTTGGTGGGATAATAAATGAAAATTGCTCTACTTTGCCTCTCGAGTTAGCCAAGTTTGCTTTGAAATTGAGTGATATGGTGCCTTGATTAGCTTCTCCATCGTAATTGATGTAAAACTTAGCCAAACAAGGACTATCTCCCTTGGGCAAAGAAACAAGGACTTGCTTCTTCAAGGCCCAGGAGGTCTTTGAGGATGCTGTAGTCATTTTGTTGATGTAAGATAAGCTAGATGTAAGAAAAACCCCTCGATAGATCGAGCAGCCCTCCCACCCGGGCTTTTGAGTAATGATAAGCAGCCCTGACTTGGGTCATATAAAGAATCAATAATGATGACAAGAGTAAAGTGGTGAAAGCTCTTGCGGCCTGGTCACGAGTACGTGCCCAATCCAAAGTCAACAAGTGAAATTGAAAAGTCCTATGAAAACACAGGAATGGCAGGACGGCGGCGAGGACAGCAAAGAGCAGACACTGCCCTTACGGGGGAGTGGAATCGCGATCAGAGAGTGAAGCCGGTGACGCGTAACGGCCAGCGAGAAAGGGGAAAGAGGAGAGAAGAGGAAGAGGAATAGGCTCGCGCGGGGGGCTGGAGCTTGGAGATCCCGGAAGCGGATTTACATTCCCCCGCGTCGAAATAAACTCTCGGCCCACGTGACCGTATTTGGCTGTTCTTCTGCAGAGCCTGGAGATTTGTACTGGTTTTACCGCATCCAGTATGAAAATAGGTTTGTCAAAAGCAAAGGGTGTTTTTCTTCAACAGGTGTACATATATCCTCTGTTTCGCATTGTGAATGGGTTGTAGAGTTTCCGTTCGACGACTTACTTGACATCTTGGTGATGCCTTAAATCTCATAGGTTTGTATCAGTACCGCAGATCTAGATGAGCGTTACGGAGTAAGAGCCTGTTCCAGTTACGTGAGCTGCCGCAGTGAGCGAGCCAGAGCAATCCGGGAACGACCGGAGTTCCCAGGTGCGTGCACCGTGAGCAATCCGTGAGTGTCCGTGCTGCCCTCGTAAAAGCGGCGGCACCTCAGTCGGGTAAGTAAACAACAATTACAGCAAAACAGTTCACTTCTACACTAGTAGGCCGAGAGTGCCATTCTTAGCATACTCCTACGACTTGCAGTCGAAGTTTACCTTATTTAGCGACAGCAATCAGCCTATCAGAGGCCGGGTGGATCCATTGCTGAGAGGAACCCGATTTCATGCTTTGATGGAGGCTGGACCGAAAGTTCTGTCGGCTAGATGTTGCCAGGTTCGGGCCAGTCAGAGGCCAATAAAAGGTGCGGGATGGAGCCGCGAACAGCCATCAAAGAAGCGGGTCTCGGCCGAAGGAACGTGCTATTGCCTATTGGACATATCGGGCAGTTGATCGTCAATAGACAACGAACGGCGCTGGCGCGGAGTGGGACTGAGTTTTCCAGCCGAGCACCAGAGTTCTTGGGATTGTCCCATTGCGATACTGATTGACAGGGGCAATGCCACTGACTGCCTGTAGGCCGCCGCCAACCAGGCTTGGGGTATTTGGAAGGAAGGAAGGAAGACTTCGATGGCAGCTGACAGGAACGGCGTGAAAATCTGACGTCTTCCTAGGAGTCTGACAGGTAAATTGAGTTGGCACATCACCTCAACCATGATGATTGATGGGAAAGTTTGCGGAGGTTCTCCGTATCTGTGAGTGTGGAGGGAACGCACTCTCCAGGCCCCTTTACTGGAGGCCACGATCCGGAGGCCCAACGATCTGAAACGCCGATCGTGATGGCACCAATCTTGATTACTCTTGATTGACGATCGAAAGAGTAAACTGTGATGCCCCAAGATTAGGCAGGGGGGTGGAAGTTGGTTGTCATTGGCAGTTCTTTGATAAGTGGTTGTGTTGTCGGTGTTGGTTGATACTCGAGCCTCATGGGTTGTAGGCGGCAGCCAGACGGGGTGACAAGTGTTGAGATTAGGTAAGATTATCAGAGTCCCTCAGTTTCAATTCAATAAACACAAACAGCACATTTGCCATATTCCTCTCAGTCGTTCAATCTTCCATTTTCGCTTGGGATTGTTCTCTTGTCTTCTTACGCATTTGCTCCGTTCTGATGCCATCACCATGAATTCTCTCGTGGAACCATGCCAGACCAGTAGTATCCTGCCCTGTGTCTCGATTGAACCCGTGGCTATAAGCATAAATGCTTAAAGATCCTGCATAAAATGTCGCCTGCGGCCAGGCCGATGCAAATGCCCCCTTGGGCTTGGCATTACCGGAAACGGAAATCATGAATCAGGAATGCTCCCAAGATATCCATGATCCATAATCCATGATGATGGCGACCCACGACCTGGCTGGCTCTTGTAAATTACAGAGAAGAAAAGACACAAGATTCCAGCATCTCGGTTATTGGTCAGCTGTTGTACATGCTCAGCGTCCTTGATATCTCGAAGGCGAACATGGTGATCTACGCTAAGACAAAAACTTCGATGCACATGATAGTTGTTCCACGAGTGGGATCCAATTCTCATGCGACACGACGATCCCTTGCCACATGGAAATCTATCGATAAGCAATGTTCTGTAATCCGTAGGCAGCAGCCAGTATCGTTTCCGGTTTCCCGCAGGGATATCGGCGCGGGAACAGTCAGCCCTAAGAACCCGGATTCCGATGATGCAGTTCTAAGATCAGCCCCCGCAAGGGGGCTCCGACTGGCCCGGCTGCGTCGTGCTATCGATAGCAGGACTTGTTGAGCTATGCGGCGTATCCGGATGCTCGTGCAGTTCGTTAGGATGAGCATTGGTTCTGAGCGCCACTTTTCCGAGACAATCGAGCTGGGCGTCCTGAAGGGCAGGCAGGGTCGCACCTACCAGAAACATCGCAGTAGCCACACGCTCATCTTGGGTAGTCCTTGGTGGGTGATTGCCTCTCTTGCGTTTTGCGGGGAGAGATGAAGGTAGCTTCACTGTGCAAGACGTTACATGTGGGAAACCGGCGGTTACTTAATGCTCGACGTCAACGAAACCCTTCCGGCGATTCCCTCCTGCACTCCGCCCTCCTACACTTCCGAATCAGGGCTCGATATTCCAATGCGTCCTACGGTCACAACGTGGAAGTGAGACATTTCTGAGACCTTCACACCTTGAATGAGCGATCAGGTGGTTTGGGATTTTGTCGTCCTTTAACGGTGCCTTTATCTCTCTCAAGTATTCTATCTCACGTTGTTTGACCGATCGTACAATGAGGCTTCAGACTCTACAATAGGCGGACAAGAAAACTGGGGTTCGGGGCAATCTTCAAGTCGATTTCTTCAGCATGGAGGATCCAAAACGTGTGCAACATGGTTTCGATCCGCCTGAGGATATTCCTCAACACACAGAGGATAAGGCTTGGGATGAAGACAAAATCTTGAAAGTCGCTAGCTCCGATCAGACCCCTCACAACAGCATCGGCGAGGGGAATGTCGACACAGCCACCGATAGCGAGAAACAGAAGATAGCCGAAGGGGCTGCGCACTTCCGAAGGTTGGGCTGGAAACGCCTAACTGTTGTGCTTGTCGTTGAGGCTATCGCTCTCGGGGTCCTTACGCTGCCCACCTCCTTTGCAATCCTAGGAATGGTGGCAGGTACGATCTGCTGTGTCGGAGTGGGCGTCGTCGCAATATATGCTAGCTACCTTGTCGGAGAAACGAAGATCGCGCTTCCAAACATTCACCACTACGGGGACGTCGGGACATTGATGCTGGGGAAGTTCGGCCGAGAGCTTTTCGGGATCATGTTTGTCCTGCAGCTCATCCTTGTGACAGCCTCCTACTGCTTGACCGGGACCATAGCCTTCGACGTTCTGACCAACAATGCCACATGCTCCATGGTTTTCGGGATTGTTTCGGCTGTGTTGCTGATGCTTCTAGCCATCATGCCGTCGTTCACCGATGCCGCTATCCTTGGCTACATCGACTTCGTCTCGATTATGGCCGCTATTATTATTGCCATTATCGCTACAGGGGTAGAGGCAGCGAACTCCCCTGGGGGTCTGGCGGGCGTCAATTGGTCTGCATGGCCCAGACCCGGCACGACCGTCGCAGACGGGTTCATCGCGGTGTCGAACATCGTGTTCGCATACAGTTTCTCGATGTACCAGTTTTCCTTCATGGACGAGATGCACACGCCCCAGGACTATATGAAGGCGATCTGGACCTTGGGCGGTATGGAAATCGTGATCTACACTCTCGTCGGCGCACTGATCTACGCTTTCGTTGGCGTAGACGTCCAGAGTCCCGCCCTGTTGTCGATGAGCAGCTTGATGGCCAAAATCGCATTCGGGGTCGCCTTGCCAGTGATCTATATCTCCGGCGCTCTCAATAACACGGTCACAGCGCGATATGTTCATCTGCGCATGTACGAAAACTCCGTGGTCCGGTTCATCAACACCCCCAAGGGCTGGATCACGTGGCTGCTCGTTCTACTCGCCATCACCGTCGCTGCGTGGGTCATCTCGGAAGTGATCCCGTTTTTCAACGACCTCCTCGCCCTCAGTTCGGCCTTGTTTGTTTCCGGGTTCGTCCTTTATATCCCAGCCGTCATGTGGTTCATGTTCCTGCGCAAACGCGAAGACAATGATCGGAAGCGACTGCTGCACGACTTGTCAGCTGCGTTCCTGTTCTGCGTAGGGATCATTGTGCTGGGTGGCGGAACTTATGCTAGTGTCGTTGATATCGTAAGTTATTCCTTTTTCAGCGGCCTTTCAGGTCGCCCTTGCTAATTATATGATCTAGAAACGGCAATTCGACATAGGAGCCGTGCGGGGTGTTTTCACATGTGCACCGATGGCTTGAGAATTCTCAAGCCATCTGACTCGGTGGAGCTTAATGATATCTTACGGCACAGACCCCAATGTACTGTATATAACTCTCATTCGTAAAAATGCAAAGCTAGCAATGCGCTTTTACCCCGTGGTTATACGATGTTACTATGTAGAAGGAAATCAAACATGATTTCATAGTGTCGCTGCTTCTAAGAGAATGCGAGCTAGGAACCTTTTAACGTATTCTAGCAAAGAAAAGACTGATTTGCATGCTATACCTCTCACTCTCTGCTAACTCTGTATACGTTGTAGAATAACCAACTATAGGTATACCAGGGGTGTCATCCTCATTTGATTGGAGGAAGTCTGTCCCGCAGCGCAGCCAATATGAATCCGATTCATCTTATGAAAGCCGCCACGGGCTGACGATTGGTGCCGGGCAATACCAGAGCTGTTTCTTTCGTACACTGACTGAGGCTGGCTGGGGCCTCGGGCCCCCTACGCACTGTACACCATGAGCACTGCCGACAGTGGCCGGGCGGGGAGAGCTCGAAGCCACCGAAAGATGACTTTGATGGCCACAATGGGCCGGGTGTTCTCGATCTCGTATCGGGTTTTGGAGAGAATACCTGAGGTTTTTTTTTTTTTTTTTTTTTCTTTCTTCCAGACAGGACGAGGTCAGTTTTCTCTCCGCTTCTGCCAAATCATTCTATTCTTAGGGTTATCACAATGACCCTTGGGAACCTGGCAGGGCCAAGGACGCCTAGAACTGCTCCAAGCAAAATCACAACTTCAACGGGGCGGTGTAGTAAGGACTTTTAGCGTTTTATCAAATAACGTCTGTGGGGAAAAACCTGGGGACCCAAGGTCTGGTGTGACCCAGGCTCGCGTGTTCACGCTTTCCCGTACTATGGCCATAAGCTTGAATGATTCCGGTGAGTATAGGCAGGTGGACTTGATCGAGTTCTGGGCAAGAAGTATCATGCATTACTATAAAGCTTTAAGTGTGCCGTTAGTCATGCGAGTCAATGGTAAGCTAAGTGTTGTGAACATTCTATCAAGTGGTATCATCGCTTGTTCCCCGAGATATCAAAAGCCCTTTCAGGCTCTAATCCAAACAACAAGCACTCGGAGTCTGGAGATGGTCATCGAATCGCATTTGAATTGATCTGGTCTGGGTGTTTCTCGGACTGTTTCGTATCAATATAGCGGACTTGATATCTAACCATGGGACTTCTTCTTTAATCAGTGGCGACGCCCGCTATGGACAGCATAGAGCAGATTTAACGATTGACAGTGCCGATTGATGGGTTTCTCTAGTTCCGCGCGCATATCGATGTCCTTGGTGGGCACGAAGTCGGCACGATGATGGCTGTTCTGAGGCTATGGAGAGCGTAGTATCAGTGATTTCTCTCCGGGCTTTATAGTCAACGTGCTTGTACAGTACTATCCCTCAGACTGCCCAGCTGCCCAATGACTATGTAGTTCTATTAGGCCTCTATCCAACCAAAAAGAAAATAGAAGTAATCCTGTTAGTAAGACTGTGCGATTTTCCACAAAAGACAGTTATTTTCTGGGGGTTAAGAAAACAATTCTCTTAAACTGCACACCATAACTCCAATGAGGGGTTTGTGATTGTATTGAGAAAAAACTATGATGGCTGAGATTTCCGCATCGGTTTACGAAAAACAAAGCATGGTATAAGCTATAGAGTGTTCACTAACAGATAGGTCATTTGGTAGGAATTATTCAAGTTATATACTATAACTGAGATGGTACTAATTAAGTCATTGAGCCTTGAACAAATTTCTACTACAATCGACTATGCCAAATCTGTGAAGGAGTGAGTTTTCACGAGGTCGCATCTGTAATTAGTATGTATGTACCATGGATTCTGACGAAGAAAAAGACAACAATGTTTCACTATCTTCCTAGAGATGATTGATGAGGCGGCAATTGGTCGGAAGGCTGCACTGTGGCGATTACCAGTGCGCTGGAAAATGTTCGTACTCCGTTCCGAGTACCGAAAATCAGCAACTTGAAGATTGAATAAGGCCATCCATTAATCCCAGGGCTGTGGTCGAGATTGCCAAGAGCGACAGGTCTTGGTACCCGGCATTTTAACTCCCGGAGCCAAGGTCCTTTGTGGATGACCGCAAGCATGGAAACGAGCTAGGAAACGAGCTATGATATGCCCAATGTTCATCTATCTAGACCGCCCCACTATGTCCAGAACCCATGCTCAACACTGACATGGGTCTGGGCTTCGTACAATCACCGAACCTGGTTTCACGAGTTCATGCATTCTGTTCTGTCGGAATGTCGTATTTTGTGATTTGAGGTGGATGCCATGACAAGGCTGCTGACCGTATACTATCCGCGGATTTATTGTTCTCATCGCCTTGGACTGAGATACGAGGCAAGACTGCATGGATAGAGAACAGGCACCTCAACGGAGCTCTAGGCCCCAACTCCATAGAACAGTCTGGAGCCCCAGCCTCTGGGTATAAGTATCGCCCAAGACTTGCGCTATCTCACTGCCACAGCATCCTATCTTCTACACACAAGAACTTCAGCAGTGCCATTGAAACCTGAGATTGCCAATCAATCAGAATGGTCCGATTCTGCTCAACCCTGTCTCTGATCAGCCTCTTGACCCCGATTGTTCTGGCAGGCGTCATTCCGGAGTCCAACGAAGTTGGTACTTTTGATCAATTTGACACCGTTCCGCAGGGAGAAGCCGTTCCTAACGATGAAGTATACACCGATGATGGCTCCGAACTCCACACCTGGCATGATGATGATGACGACGGCGGCGGCCCCGCTCTAGACACTCGGGGCTTCGATGAAGCCGGTGCTGATGATTTTTCATATGCCGAAGTCGACGAAGACCCGAGCTACGCGTCCGCCGCGGCCGGTGGGGATGTTGCCGCGCGAGCGCCTGCGAACTGCGATCAGATGGTTCGCACGAGTATAGATACTTGCAAGCGCGGGGTGCAAAGTCGCATCGACACCTGCAAGAGAAACATACAAGATAATATTGCCACTTGCAAGCAGAATCTCAGCAAAAGAATTGATGAGTGCAAGAAGAAGCACAAGTGGCCGTGGGAGAAGGCGCGGTGCGAAGCTATGCGCCTTGATGGTAACAGGCTGTGTGAGCAACGGAAAGCCAAAACCCCTCTATGTGAGAAGAGCCGTCCCCAGGTGCTGGTATGCTGCGAGGGTCTTCGGACCAGCGTGCGCGGTGTGTGTGCTATCAAGCCCGTGCCTGTCGCACGAGTTCAGCAGGCTCTGCAGAACGCACAGCAGGGTTGCATGAAGGGGCTCGTCTTTCCGCCCCTCTAAGCGGCTCTTACCAGCGATCTATCCGTGGCTACTTCCTTATACTTGTTTCGTTCCCCTCCCAAGTGCCATCTGACTTCGGTAACCCATTGATTCGAAAACACTAAACACAAGCAAAGATGGTTGGCAAAGGAATGTTGACTAAGGAGCTTCACGCATGTCTAGGCAGAGAGCTTGGTCTATGGTCAGATCATTTCATCATCCTATTCTTATGGAAGGACAAGGGAAGGAGTTATCTGTTTGAATAACTGTTCTTAGGTATAACCACAAATTGTCAGTGTTTGAAAATCTTCTCATAGTTCAAGCTTCAGCATCCAACGTATAGTCCTTACTAGTCTTTACTATCTTAGTCATGAGTCTCCAATTCAAAGACTCATGATATTGCTTTTTGGAGTTGGAAAGAGCCTTTATTTCTCTTCTCTTCTTTGCTGAGGAGTACTGATGGATTCGTCAAAATCTGACTTTCGGTGCGAGAAGGGGGCTTAGAAGCAGATAGCAAAATTAGTTTTACCTAGTAAGAAGTAATAGGATTAAGTATTCACTGGGGTCAGACTTTCAGAACCTGATACCTTCAGATGCGGTCAATCGCGCACTTGTCAAGGTACCCTACTTCTTCATTCACCTTGCAGACTTCTATATTGAGACTTTCAATGACTGGGGGGGGGGGCTTGTCGGGCGGCCCTTTGGTATTTTGTTAATAGGTGAAAAGGCCTTGTAGATCTTGAATCTTAGTAACTAGATTGAAACACAACAATGGGTTCAAGGTTTAGACCCCGGGTGGGACACCCCGCAGTTAAAGCAAGTATAACAAATTGTTCGATATTTTCCTAATATAAGGGACTTCCGGTTATACTGCATCTGTGGAGGTTTGGAATGGCTATGTATACCTGCATGTAAAATGAATAAAATCAAATGTATGACTAATACTCATGTATATAGCTGGAGAAAAGTTAGTATGTAAGGATACCTGGTATGCGGCCCATGGCTGCCAGAAGCCAAAAACATATCCCCCCCCAACTTCTCATACTTTCGTGCTTTCCTATGCTCCGGCCGCGCAGCGAGCAGATTGATTAGATTTCTGAGGGAATGTTGTTCAGTAGTATGATATAAGTACTCCGATCTTTAAAATAACATTCCACATCATTGAATCATTCATGCCCCCCAGTCTACCCTCAAATCAAATATCAAACGCCATAAGGTATTATTCTAAAGACGCGCTCTGACTTCCTGAGGCGCCGACACCGCCTCGCCCTCACCCGAGAAAACCTCTAATTCATCCACAAGATTGTTCCAGAGCCTGTCAGACGTCATCGGTGCTGTGCAATACGGTTCGACGCCGGTTTCCTCCACCAATCGCTCCAACTCGGGAAGCACTGCATCGGCCGCCTGTGCTTCCATCTCGCGCTGCTTTTGGCGCGTCAGACCGCCCTTCTCGGCATACCAGGCGGAATCCTCCTTGATGATTCCAGCTTCATACAGGTCCCGCAGCTTAGGATCAATGCCAACCTCAATGGCGGCTTCGATGGCCATTCTAGCGCCAATAGCTTGAACCAACGGAAGGGCTAGAGGAAGAATAGCTCGGTTGAACGCCTCGCTCCGATGCTTGCCGCCGAAAGACTTGATCAGTTCCCTCGCCTCTGCAATCAAGCCCGCTTCGTGCCTGGCTAGGATACCGTTGGGGTCCTTTGGAGGCGGGACCTGATAGCGGCCAATCAGAAGTTCACTCGCAAGGCCTGTTTGAGTAAGAAAGAGTTAGCGGGTGTGAACTGCTTTAACCCGGCTGCAGGTGACCTGATTGCAGGGGACTAGACTTACGGATGGCTAAGACTCTGACGTCGCCTTCAGCGGTTGCCACTGCGCGGAACTCCAGCTGGAAGCAGTTAGCATACATGATATCTTCTAGAGGTGGGAAATAGCTCACATCAGCCTGGATTATTTGGTTAAAATCATAGTATCCTTGCCAGCCGCAGCCCTCATTGATGAGTTTGAGGCTGGTCTGGAAGTGATGGATTGTAAGTGCCTTAAAAGTTGTAGCAAAGGCATGACGGACTCGTGGATCAGTATTCTTCGGGTCGCAATATTCCATTCCAGCGTAGATGAAGAACGCTTGGAGAACATGCGCTCTTGCAATGGCGTGAAGAATAGGAAGATGCTGGGTACGGAAGTTGATGACAGGCATCGGCTGCCCATCGTGACCAAGGATATGTCGCCGGAAACTGAATTTGCTGGCATTGTAAACAGCCATTTTAATCAATGGGATACAACCACCAGCCAGGAAAAGTGTTCCGGGGGGCATGCGGTGAATGGTCGCCAAAAAGTTGTCACGTTCGTTACGTGATGTCTGCAGGGCGCCTTGCTTACCACCAAGGAGAGCGGAGAATGGTAGCTGCACGCGGTTGAAGTAGGTCAAGGCATGATCAATCGGATTCGCACCCGGACGAGGTGGGAAGACCCTGAGTAATCACCACGCTTGTTAGTCTCGGTATACGCTTGTAGGTGGGTTCTGGAACAGTGCGACTGCATACTTCGAGGTGATACCCGTACACATCTTGATCCCATCCGACATTTGGACAACAAACGGTCGGACTCCTCGATCCTCTCCTTCGACGATAAGTCGGGCTATTACAACTGCAAAAACAGGCAAACCACTGCGGAGAGAGTTCGGTGGCATGCATCTGCCATTGTTAGCCTCATGCTAAAGCGATGTAATCAAGAGGTGCTTACTTAGCAGCAGCCGGAGACGGGGTGTGTAATTCAAAACTGCCATTGGGCAAAAGAGTTGCAGTTGTTTCGAGATTGCGTGCATCTAGGCCATGCCCGAGCTCGGTGAGCATGAATTGTGCCCTAATTGAGGTCAGTTAGATGCTTTAGACTAAAGGCGTGGAGAACGCACGAGATATCAAACTTCATCGCCTGGTGTATAACCCACGCCAATTCCGGCTGCGTGGCAGCGAAAGGAGCAACTGTGCCGACGAAAAGGTTATACTGGACGCTAACCAGGTTGATTGCACCACCATCCATAGCGGTGAGCATGTCGATATGAAGCTTCCAGAATCTTGGAGTCGTGTTCACCACATCATCCAAGGTCAAGTCTGTTCCATCTCAATCAGTTACTTGTCCATGAAATGACAGCTGCAGCAGGGGTATTACTGTATGCATGTGCAAGGGCTCTTGCTCTTTGATATGTGAGTCGCGTCCGGTCCTCGAGGGTCCACGAAAGTGGTGCAGGTTTCATCAGGGTAGATTGCGCCAATTTCAGAGTCGGCCCAGGCGTGAGCCATATTTGCTCGTAGAGTGCACGAGACTTTGATGCCATTGTGGAAGTGGTATATTAGAAGATGTCGTCTGGATTTCTCGAGATGATGAGAATGATAATCCGCCCGGGACCCATCACCACAGCGAAGGACATCTTGTATCTATACTGCGCTCGATTTGCCTGGCGGGCCAGAATTTAGGGGCTGAGCTGAACAAAGTCCACACTGAGGACTGACTAGCCAAGTTGATAAGAGATGATAGGCGATTACCGAACGGTCGGGCGATACTAGCGACGCCACGCTTCTGGGTAACGAATAGAACGTTGCCATGCACTCCGCGAGCATCCTGACAGCTCAAAAAAGGGGAGAACGCACAACGGTCTCGTATCGGGCTGGATTTCATTGGGACCAACCTGGATCCGACCCGCCAGCCTGGGCCTGCCTGAACTGCTGCCAGATCTTGGGAGTTCGGCGTTGAGCGAGAAACTGGCGAATACGGGGCTCTGGACCAGCGTGGCTGGGCCGTACAAAGCTCCAGTCCAGAATGGAGGAGCTGAACAGGAGCTGAATCACTTTCAAATTCAGCTACAACAACATAAAGACAAAGACGAAGGATTCCTCGCAAACCACATCTTGCTCAGAACGTTGATAGGGAAGCTCAATGCTCAGGCAGTAGAGAAAACACTGTCAAAGTACAGTCGAGTGAGTCGAGTCAGTAGTGCGGTAGTACGTAATTTAGGCAGTAGACAGTGGGCTAGATCTCCCTTGGGACATCGACTAAGAACTTTCTCCGGATTAGTCTCATCCTTAGTCTCCCGGCGGTAAGCCCCGGAACGAACTCCTCGCTTGGAGAGAGAGGCAGGACTGTACTCCGTACATACATTCAGCCACCAGGAAATGGAAATAGTGAAGCGGGAACTTGTGTACAGTACTATGCGTATTTGTATATGTACAGTATAATTATCGCATGGTGTGGCGTCTACCTGTTTGCTTTCCCTCTTCTCAATAATGCCTGAATCCCACGTGTTTCTTTCGGTTCCCCACGTGTTCCCCTTCCCGAAAGATCGTTTGGGTATGGTGTAGTACTGTACAGTGTTTACTGTCCATCAATCTCGCTTCGCGCAATGTGGGAGTTCTAAGTATAGGTGACAAGGAAACAGCCTGATGACATCTGGAATAGGTACGCCGCGCACGAACCCTCTATGGCATGATTTCTTAGCCACTACTATGATGCACTGTACAGATATAAGATGAGCATCTCGGTTGATTAGATGTATACGTGCACCGATAAGACACATTCTTTCTCCTACACTTGATAACTTCTTTGTATTGCCAACCAGACAGCTGTAACCGATGTCTATCTTTCTGGTAACATATCAAGCACGTTTCTTGAGACCCTGTCTTGCGATTTACATATAGTGCGATCCAGGGCCCATCAGGCTACAGTCCTGACATACCTCTCGTTTGAGGTGACCTTGCCCCTATTTCCTAGGCTTGCGCATGAATAGCTTTCCCTCACCGGTCGATCGCGTAAACACATCTAGTTTTACTGGAGTGAGAGATGTCTTTCTCTACGGGACCCCTCAGAGCACGCACTTTTGTGCTCAACCCACACTCCGGGCCGCGCAAGTGAGCAGTAAGAAGCGGCGGTCTGACAAGTCGCACCCTAAAGCAGAAAAGGAACCCGATTCGATTTGCTGCAGAAACCAGGTTCCCAGGAATACTGCCGTAGTTAGTTGTCTACCTAGTACACCAATGAGCGATTTCCTCTAGATCAAGTAACTAATCTGAACATCAATAATCATGGAGAGATATAACCTCGACATCTCTCCGGATCAGCGAGGGTAAAACATTCAGTGCAGTAAGTGCTGAACAGCATCGCCACCAAATCCATTCAACCACTCTTATTAGAATGTCTGACTCGACCACAATCCTATTCGTTCCAGGCGCATGGCATAGTCCGGAATGTTTCGATCTAGTCATCCAGCAACTCGAGGCGGCCAACTACACCCCGCGAAAGATTCACCTACCGTCGGTCAACCCGCGACAGCATTACCTCAGTTTCGAAGCTGATGTCGCGCTGATTCGTGCTCAGATTGAAGATGCAATCGGGGACGGCCGTCAGGTGCTGCTGGTCGTGCATTCCTACGGGAGTCTGCCAGCGAACGAGGCGATTCGAGGGTTGGACAGCAAGACCCGCCACGAGAAAGGGCTGAGAGGAGGGGTCTCCCGTCTGTTCTTCTGCTGCTCGTTTGTCATCGCCGAGGGACATTCCCTGATCAGCGCTTTTGGCGGGGATGATCTCCCTTGGTTCATGGTGTCGAAGGACCGACTCGAGGTTCGGCCAGCCACTCCGGACGAAGTATTCTACAATGACTGTGATGAGCAACGGACTGCAAGCGCGGTGGCAGCTCTGAGACCCCACAGTTACCAGACTTTCCACAGTCCGTGCACCTATGCGGCGTGGAAGCATGTTCCCAGTACCTATCTATACTGTCTTCGAGATGCGGCTATCCCGATAGCGGTGCAGAGGATGATGGTCGAGGGGACGGCGAAAGGCTATGGGTTTGAGACAGAGACTCTTGATGCGTCTCATAGTCCGTTTTACAGTCAGCCTGAGGGCTTGAGCGCCGCGATTCGACGTGCTGCTGGTGAAGATCTTTGATCAGCACCTGTTCTTTATCCTTAGGTAAACCTAGCGATCCATTTACAGTCATGGCAATGTTCATATACTACTGGGGGTGATAGAGCTATCTAGCTGTCCATTTGCTCACTCGATGACGAACGCTCCTAGAGATTCGGTGTAAAAAATCACACAGCAGGACCGAATGCATATCAACTGCCAAGTATAAAGCGCATCTCACTCCATTCTCTCCTTCACCTCTTCAGTACCATCTCCCTGAGTAGCAGCACAATCCCCAGCCTTTCCTCCCTCCTGAACCTCCCCGTTACCCCTATCATCCTCGTCAGAGTAGAAAGCAAAATCCTCTCCCAACGAGCCATGAAACAATCTCGCCACCTTCACCAACGACGAATCCGACGACCAACACGACACCCTCTCTGCAGACGCCATCATCCTCAACTCCCGCCTCTTGCTCTCGAGAATCTCAACAAGATTGCCCGTGGTCTCTCCCAAGTCTTCCCCTCGATCCCCAGTATAAAACACAAAACTCTTCCTCCGACCACCACGGGTCCCATCAACCCACTCATCCTCATCAACGTCCCCATCAGACCCCGCAGAGGAAAAATCCGGAAACAGGACCGACTCCACATCTTGAACAATCTCCGAGGATTTCTTCTCCTTTCTCTCTTCATTCGACTGTAGCTGTAACTGTTCCTGTTCCTTTTGCTTTCCATCAGAGTGAGGTTCATCTTCTCCAGCAGCAGCAGCAGCACCGATAACCTTCATCGAGAATCCCTCTCCCTCTACATCCCTCCCATCACCACTCTGAGCCTCGGCAACCCGCATGTCCTTGTAATCAAGCCCACCCGCCTGGATCTTCAGATCGAGCTCCTGTTTAAGGCGGTACCATTTCAGCCGGGCGGCGGACTGCGTTATACCAGTTGCTTCGGCGACGGCGGGCCAGTTGATCTATGATTTGAGAGCATTTGTTAGCATTCCGTGAGAAATAGGCTTGGAGTTTTTGTGAGAGGGCGAAAGTGAGGCACTCAGAAAGGATGAGGGAATGTGAGGTTGGTCGCTTGATGGTGGGGTTTCTACTGCGCCGTAGCTTGGATAGAGAAACGCGTTGGCAGAAGAAAGATAGCAGGTTGAAATATGTTTCTTAATGTGAAGTGAGGTGAGGATAATACGGACGGTCTCAGAGTCTGCGTTCAAGAGTATCACGTAGAGGAGGAGGACGTCCGCCTCGTGGGTGCGTTTAAGATCGGGCATAGTCTTGTCTGACCGGGTCTTTTGAAGAGGATGCGGTGTATAATCCGGGTTGAGGGGATGTAGGAGAGGAGATTAGCTGTGCGTAGGTGGTTTTGAGATGGAGAGAGGTGCGGTTGGTTGCTGAGATGATGAGGCAGAGAAGTAGTTGTTTAGTAGGAGAGGACGGACGCGTTCAGGTTGATGGACATAAAGGCTTTTAAGAGAAGGGTGTGTGAAGGTGAAGGAAGGTGTGGGCTTCTCCAAATAAATTTGCTGTGTGTCTGTGTTGTGTTTATGCTGAGGCAGTAGGCTGTGAATCGAGAGGAAGTGATATTGTTGGCCCAGGCATCGAACGAACGGCAAGATGCATTTGGTCTACATAATGAATTATTTCGGTTGATACCCAATGGGAAGCAAACAGCGACTGAAAGCGTATGCATTTCATGCTAAGAGGGAAAACTAGGAAGGATATATTGTATCAAGGGCAGATAGCAAGGCATTACTTTTTCTTATATTTCATTAACGCTCCTGACTCTCATCATCATGAGTCGCTGGTCGACAATCCGGCGTACCGCTCAGCCGACTCCCTGACTGCGTCCACAAGCACCGTATGAGCGCCGCGCGCTGCGTTGACCGCACCGTCAATCAAAGCTTCGTGGCCCAAACTGCTGTCATCCACCCCCAAGGAAGCCTTGGAGTGATCGCCCTTGAGCCAGATCTCAGTGATCTCGTCCCGCGCAGGCATGTAAGCGACCACACACGCCGACAGGATGGACTTGTGCTCGGCCGGATCCGTATCCAGCATCAACTTAGGCGTCGATGAGTTCCCTTCTTCGGCGGCAGCCTCGTCGTCCGAGACGATAGCAGCCACGCCTCCAGCCACGAGGTCCAGGCAGTCGATTCGGGCGTCCGCAATGGCTGCGGATGCCGCGGTGATACACCCGGCCAGGACATTCATCATGCCCCACGGAGCGTCGTGCGAGTCGGGTGCATCTCCCCACCACCGGTCATCTTCGGCCTCGAGAATTGTAATCGTAATATCCAGGCCACTCTTCGGCCACCGTTCCGCGACAATCACGCCTCGGAGCGCAGTCTCGAGGTGAACGCCCAGGTCACGTTCGCTGGAATCCCGAATATGGCCCTTCCGTTGGCGGGCGGCGAATGGCGCATATTTGACGTGGGTAGTAAGAACGAGATTTGGCGAGAAGGTCGCCGACCGGGGAAGAGGCTTCGGGCCATGAACAGTGCACGCGAGCTTCAAGGCCGAGGAGGGAGGGATCAAGGATTGAGGAGAAGACCGAGCTGCAGCGAGTGAGGCAGATGGTTCGTATTCGAGGTATGCGGAGCCGGAAGCCGAAGGGATTAATCCCGTCTTAAGAACTAGTCGTAAGGTTAGTTCCTTGTTCGCGGGCTTGTGAGAAGATAGGAAGCTCTTACAGATCTTGCGCAACTCATTTGATTGTCTATGACGGCGAGGTCTTTCTGTGGCAGCGCCGGAGGCGGATTTGAGAGAGGAGGCGAAAACCGCAGGCCTCGTGCCGCTAGGCGGTCCATTAATTCTTCGTCTGTCAGTCATTACACATGTCTTTGCATCCCTGCGATCAATTACAACAAGTGATCGGAGGAAAAGCAGCGGAGGAAGGGGCAGATAATAATGGGGGGAGTTGATAAAGCGATCCGATAGCTGGCGGTCGAACTGCCCGCAAAGCTACATCCATTTTTGAGAAGGGTTTGCATGGTTTGCATGGGTGGGATCGCGGAAGCTCGGCGCCTTTTTTTTCCCCCTCGTGGGTTTTTCTTCGGCTTTTCGCTTCGCGCTTTCTTTCTCCTTCTCTTCCTTCTCTCTCCCCCACAACACAATGATTGTTGTGAATTTGACAGCTCAAGCTCTTCAAAAGCGAACAAAGCTTGATGCATCGTCTTTCGAACACGATACTTGAAACTAACGTGTAAATTGTGAGTATATCTTCATCCACAACCCAACCAAGCATCACTTGCATGATGAAAGCGATCCAAAAAATCGAAGTTCTGGCGACCTAAACATGGGCCTCGAACAAACATGCATCACCATCTGACCTCAATTTTCAATTCCTGCTTCATTCTCAGCCATCGTACTACAGTGGACAATTTGCTCATGTTCACCGAAGATAGGATCACACAAATTCAGTCATGACATGAGGAGTGTGAAATACTCAATGCCGTTGTAGATGAATTGGTATGTCAGCCTTCCCACCTCAATCTGTCCTTGCCCTCGCGGATCGAGTCCATAGCTCGGTCTCCCTTTTCATGATGAGAAAAATTTATTTTCAGTTCTGCTTCTGCAAAATTTTTGAAGATAACCAAATACCTTACCAAAAACTCCTGATGTCAATCATCGTTCCAAACATTGCTTCACTCATCGAAGACAAAATCAGCATGCTAACAGCTGCAAAGACTTATTAGGGACTGTAGCAATAACACCTGACACCACATTACCATACCACCTAAAGAAGGTAAGACCAATCATCTCTTTCAAACCCATACACACAACCCACAACACCATGTCTATGATGACAACAAGTCAATCCATTCAATGATCTCCCCTCGTGGAGAACCGCCCCTCGAGCCGCGCGAGATCTCTCCCTGATAACCCTCACAACACCCTGCATGGAGCAAATGTGCATCACAGGTGGACAAACTGATGCCACTTCTTCTCATCTCCCTTATACTGGACCTCGTGGGGGATCGATCTTCGGATCTTTCCCTCCATCAGGGAGGAAGGTTGTGGAGCTCTCGAGAGTGTGGATTCCCGTCATTTGTTTCTTACTTGGTACATTTCACCTCCTGTGGGCTTGTGGGATCCTTCGTGGGTGTGATTTCGCTACGCTTGACTTGTGTCAATGCCTTCCTTCTGGCTCGAAGTTCGTTTTGGACGGCGAGTTGGGGGGTCGGGGTTGGCAGGGGAAGGGATGAATTTACCCGGCTTGGCTGATTACTATTCTACTTCGTTCTTTTGTGATGTAGCCATCATCTGCTGGATATTTATGGCAGTTGTGCTGACAATGTCTGGTTGCAGACCGATCCTTAAAGCAAGTCTCGATACTCTTGTGGTGTGTGTCGGATAGTGCTAGGCGTAGATAGCATGGAATATGATCTGCTCTGTTGAACTCTTTGCATGATTTGCTCCCCCCCGTCTTCACCCTTCCGGTCAAATGCCTTGTTTTGCTGGAAGCCCATCTCCACGGGTTATGCTTCCTTTTCCCCTCCCTTCCATTACTCACCTGATCGTCGTCGTTCAGAAGATGTTTGCATATCTACGTATTTGCTACTTCAGAGCCTTCCCGGCCATGAGACAAAATTTCACCAATGCCTGATGGACATTCGACGATCTTCCCCTTTTTCTACTCTGCCCTTCGTGCCATTTCTTCTCTTGCCCTCGTCTTTTTACTATAAAAATGAACAGGAAACTTTAAGAAAACCATCATTCCATAATACTTATGTATAGCTTAAAAGCATATGTACATGTAGAATTAGTCGGCCGAGGATAAGCGTCATCTTGCAAGAAAAACTCGCTTCGATCATGACAGACTATAAGCTTTTTGAGTTTGGTTTGACAGTGCGCACTTGCCTGCCCTTACTCATTTTTCGTGTATTGTTTTGAAGCGGACCATGGAGGGGGTGTGAGTTGACATGTGCATTGGCAATAATTGACAATTGTCGTTCAGCAGACCACCGGCAGGTCGATTCCAAGAGATATATGAGCTACTGTGCGTTGAGATGGCATCATGCCACGATCTCTGCCTTCTCTAGTCTTTCACTAGGAGTAGAGGTGCCGTTGCTCGTCATGCTGTAGGGAGCCTACATTCAATCGCATGTCAGGCTCTCACCTCTGCTCTCCCAATAGGCTTGACTCGGTAGAAATACTTACCAACACTCGCTTTGCATTGCAGATCCTCCACGCAAGGTTGCGGACAGTCCCATCAGCTCGAACAACCTCGGGCGCAAATTCCACCCCGAACCTGGAAGAGCAGTGTTAGTGTGGCAACAATAAAGAATACCGGTGAGGTGCTCACATTTGGTGCACGGCGAATACAACTCTTTTGGCATACTTGCCGTTTCGTTCCACTTGGCTGCCAAATTGTTCTTCCCCTGTCTCGGGTGCAATTTCGGGATCCTGGTCCAAGCAGTTGCGGATCACAGGCAATAGCTTCAGCTCCACGGATGCCTGGAGATCGTCCTGACTACTCTCCACGAATTCCTCCTCGTCGAACCGTGCGGTACGAATCTCGAAAGGACGGGAGATCGCCATGACATTGTGCTTGCCGTTATGGTGATAGCGGAACTCAAAGGCTCCCTGAGTCCAGAAGAGCTTGTCGCCGGTAAAAACGACTTCCCCAGTAAATATATCGTCTATCTCTCCATCTGGACGCTGAGAGGCCGATACTTTCACATCACTCGTCACGATGCCTTTTTCACAGGTTTGGTTATCGTAGACGCCGGCATTTGTAGCGATCCATCTGCCTTGAGAAGAAACCCGCGTGATCTCTCTTGAGATATTGTCAGTGACGCGGTAGAGACCGATCCAATCTTTCTTGCTGTGGTTTAAAGGTGCCGTCCACCGGACCTTGATCGGTGCACCGTACTCAAAAACTGAATGTCTTGAATCTTCTCTGCCGTTACACAGATCAATCTTGTCAACTGAAGAAGATTCAATGCCCTCAATCACCAAGGAGTAGTCCCGTGAATCATAACCAGCAAGATCTTCATCAATGCGGGAGATGGTAACACGAGCAGGATATGTCTGGAACAGGGCAGTTGTGTCCTTCACAAACGTGTTGACACCGGCGGCAAGCTTAGGGCGCGCCGTATCGATTAGCTCTTCAATGAACTCAAATGATTCGTCCACAATCTTATCAACGCTACCATGCAGTTGGCGGAGCGAAGGGGGCAGGGATCGTTTGAGGCTCTTAACAAGCCCCGCATCTTGTCGCAAGCTCTGGCCATAGAGCTTCTGCATATGCGGACGCTCCACAAACTGGATGAAAGCCATGCTTAGAACGTGACTTATTAACGCAAGGAAGATGACTGCTCCGCTACTTGTGATCAGAACAGCACCCCAGACCCCTGCCAGACCCAGAACACGTTCGGGATTGTTCAGGAAGCGATAAATACCATTGTACGTCAATTTGTGAGACCCCTGGAAGAAGAAATCACCGTAGAACCAGCCGAACTCGCCCAGAGATTCGTAGATGCTGACCGATGTCCATGTCTGCAGGCAGATAAGCCCTACCCCCAGAACATGCCGGAGCAAGACGAGGCCATAGCCCCAGTCAGCAGGAAATGTGTACATCTTCCAAGCAGCAGCAATGAAGCTCGCGTAGCACATGATCATACTCAAATGGTACGTGCCCTTCCACTGATTCCAGGCTTCATGAGGGGTCTCGCCATACTTGACAAAGTGCCGAGTCCACGATTTACAGTTTGATTGACGAATGAGGAGGTATCCGATGCCGATAGAGAACCATAATCTCCATATTGCTGCATTGGCCACGAAAATGAATTGATAGCGAGGTGTAGAAGGCGTCAAGACAGTCAGGGCGAATACGAGGAATTGGACCAGCAAAGAAGAACTATCTGTTATCCGATGCAGGTCCAGGTTGTGGAACCCTAGTAAATTGTGGACCGATGGAGGAGGGTTGCTTGTTGGGTGGTTTGTCGCGTGGGGCAGTTGTTCATCAACCGGTGACGAAGGAGGCTCGCTGGCCTGAGAAGATGTGGATACAGAATCTTGCTCCGTCACACGCTTGCGCGGAGGAGGTGGATTGTACGTCTTGTCGATATGCGGGTTCTCGACGAAGACCAAGAACGCAAATTGTGCTGCATGGGCGAGAATGGAAATGAACAGCACTTTGTAGCTTGCTGCCATCAGCGAGATGCCGTAGTATCCGGCGTAGCCGACCGAGTACATCGGATGGGGAGCCATCTCAAAAACACCGTCGAACGTCAACTCTTGGTCAATGAGAAAGAAAAAGTCTCCCCAATACCATGCAAAGTCTTTCACCACGCGATGAGCATCGAGTTTAACCCACAGGTTGAACAGCACTAAAGCAACACCAGATGACCAGCGCAGAATAGTCATCAGCACGCCCTCATCAACGGGGTGATGGCTACATGCTATGGCAAACAGACAGTATGATGTAAAATCACACATGAGAATAAGATCGACGAGGCGACGAAAGACGAGCCAAGTGTTGTACTCAAGTGGAGCCTCATCAAAGGAATAATCGACAGGGACCTTGGTCTCCAGTTCGCGCTTGATTAGTATATACAGGTTAGGATGGGGGTTCTGGTTTGTGGATGGGTTCACAAAGATCTTGGTCTGCTCCGCCCAGCGAACAAGGGTGTTGTGGTGGGATTGATTGTGCAGAAGCCATCCAATCCCAATGTTGTATGCCGCCCGCCAAAAGAGATAGACGGCAGCAAACACTGGGACTTTTGCACCTTGGGGGAGTTGCCATAATAAGAGAATATGGGCACCCAAAATAATTAGAACAATAATATCGGAAAGGTTTTTAGGTTCAGATGGAGACAGGAGTTGAGAGACCATGTCATGTGTTTGAGGCACCGTGAATACTGTTACATTGTCGAATGAGGTCAGTCCTCTGCTAGTGGGATGCAGATAATCAAGAGATTTCAAGCTAGACTGGGGGTAGGAGGTAGGGGAAGTGCCACGAACCTGTACCACCGGGGGTGCGGCCGAAGGTCTTCTTGTCCTTCTGTGCATCATCCTTAGCCTCGACCTCGCCAGTAGCAGTGAGAGCCTCGGCGTTGGCAATTGAGTCGGGCTGAGAGGCCATTGTAATCCTCTCGCGAAGCCCAGTCTCGCCCAGGTTAGAGCCTGTTGAGAGGCCACGATCCATTGTTGAAATGAGTTTAGGAAAATTGTTGAGTTGTACCCGGTAGATGCAGTGGGAAAGACAAGAGAATGAATGGAAGAAGAAGGAAGAACAGAAGAAGCAGAAGCATGTGACAGTGGCCGTGACAGTGGGGGAAAATCAACTGGCGGGAAGGCAATGATTGGTCTGACCTCATCCGAGCCAGCAACCAGCCACTTCCAGCAATTTCGAATGTTAATTTCTGAAAACTGCAGTGATTGTCAGGGAAGGAAGTTAGAAGAAAAGAAAAAGTAGGTGGAACAAAGGTCAGTTCTGCCTATTTATGGTTAATCTAGAATCACAACGCCAAAAAATTGTTGGGAGTGAGACGAAGCACCTAGGGTCACTAGCCATGCCTCCTTCCCCGATTCCCCCATGGCCTGTCTTCGGTTATGGCTTGAGGTGGATCCCAAAGCACTGGGGAAAGGGAACCATCAATGGGACGGATGGGCTGGAATCGTTAGTCTAACACCAATCATGACCCTCATCAGGGTCTGGGTGGGATTCAAACAGCACGGGTCGGAATGAGAGAGAAAGCCTGGAATTGGATGCATAACAGAAGGGTCCAGTTGTTGACCTCCCTGAATAGTGGCATTGCATTAACCGGCATCACAAAGACTAATATATTAATTCTTGTGGGCGGTAACTGCGGTGTCCTCATCCTCGGTGCTTGAATGGACACTTCTCCTCTCGCTAAGCCTCGATAAAGGCTCTAGTGTCACCGTGAGAGATGAAGCTGCAGAAGGTATGTTTTACCTAATGTACCTAGTTATGCAAGCTTTACAGGATTTCTTTGCCCTTGATAGGGACCTGAGCACTCTCACGCTGAGATGAGAATCGGAGACGAGCTATGCCTGGGCTCTCTTGTGCTTCATAGGCTAGGTGCAAGAATAGGCTCCTTACTTGGACGCATTTGTTTTTAAATCAAGTCCATGCACTATGGAGTCGCCAGGTTTGTACCCAAGAATTGTGATATCATAATGGCCTCTTGGTCCCTGGGAGAGGGTTAGGGTTCTGACACGGCATTCCTGGTCGATACCCCAGTCGATATGCCCCTCAACTGATCCTAGTGATCTCAGGAACTGGGCCTATTTGAATTACATGTAGGAGGCTAGCTCGATAGAGCAAACATGCAATCCTTCAAGGATTTCAATCTTCGCAAAATCAAATGGCAGGCTTGAAACGATTTGTCGGGGCAACAAGCCCACTGGCCATACTCATTAGTAGATTCAAACCTGCATTCTAGGACGGCGATGAGCTGACCTCCCAAAAGATTTGTGAGACATTGTACGGAGTAGCATTAGGAGCCATAGCTCTATGCTACAGCCAGCGAAGATTTATCCCAACCACGTCTTGAATCATAGGACATGACCTACCACCAACTTCTACCACTAATAGATGCGTGCATAGAGATTTATGCACAGATAGACTCATTCAAGAACGTTGATGTGCCTTCTCGTATCAATCTTATCACTGCATCCAGTCCGACACCGCTGGGATCTGAAGGCGGCAGCAGCCCCGCACCAATCGCCACGGGAAGGTTTGTCATCCGTCCGATAAGTGCTGATTATCAAGCAACTTCCCGCAGTCATCGATCCCCGCCACTTTCCCTTCAGCAACACTTCTTGCTGTCAATCATTACACTGGTTGATTCTTCCTGATCACTTTTCGTTATTCAAAAGAAGAAGACGATAATTGGAGAGCAACCATCAGAATGGCACCTTCTCTCGAGGAGCCGACAACGGCTTACTTCGAAGCGCCTTCCAAGATGGCACCGAATCTTGTCGCTCCCGAGCCAGGTTGGTTCCTGTTTTGCGCCGAGTGTAACGTACATGACACTGATTATTCCTCGACTCGTAGAGCACTGCCCTGGTCCTGAATCCGAACAAGCTGGTCAAGGCGATGCTTGTGCTGGCTGTCCGAATCAACAGATCTGCGCCTCCGCTCCCAAGGGCCCCGATCCCGACATTCCCATCATCACCGAACGGCTATCGCAAATACGGCATAAGATTCTCGTATTGTCCGGTAAAGGTGGCGTGGGTAAATCAACATTCACCTCCCTACTCGCTCACGCGTTTGCTGCGAACCCCGATTCGACTGTCGGCGTCATGGACACAGACATTTGCGGGCCGTCCATCCCCAAAATGATGGGCGTCGAGGCGGAGACCATCCATGTGAGCAACGCAGGCTGGAGCCCCGTGTGGGTCACGGATAATCTGGCCGCAATGAGTGTACAGTTCATGCTGCCCAACCGGGACGATGCAGTAATCTGGAGAGGGCCTAAGAAGAATGGACTCATCAAGCAGTTCTTGAAAGATGTAGACTGGGGAGAGATGGACTACTTGATCATCGATACGCCTCCCGGAACATCAGATGAGCACTTGTCCGTCAACTCGTTGTTGAAAGACTCCGGTGTCGACGGTGCGGTGGTGGTCACTACCCCCCAGGAGGTATCTTTGTTGGACGTGCGGAAGGAAATCGACTTCTGTCGCAAGGCTGGAATCCGCATTCTGGGGTTGGTCGAGAACATGTCGGGCTTCGTTTGTGGAAACTGCAACACAAAATCGCAAATTTTCCGAGCTACCACCGGGGGCGGAAAACGTCTTGCCAAGAAGATGGGTATCCCTTTCCTGGGCGCTGTACCGCTCGACCCTCGAGTAGGCATGGCGTGCGACTACGGCGAGAGCTTCGTGGATAATTTCCCCGACAGCCCAGCTTCAAAGGCAATCAAGCAGGTTGTGCGTTCGGTCGCGCATTTTATTGGGGAGGAGCCGGACGATGTCCTGCCGGAGGACACGGTCGAATAAAAGTACTGTCTCTAATCTTTCATGTCTATCAGCGCGGTGCATTTGGGACAGCATGTAAGGGGATTCACACGATTTGTTATCATTCTTGGGCGTTTGGGCATAGATGCAGTTATTCTTGATACCAGATTATTTCGAAGGCACCTTGATCACTTGTTTACGAACAAAGTATGACTCCTCCTAATTTTATGCTCTCCAGGAGTTCGCCTTGGGGATTTGGGGGCCGATCTATAGCTCGGGGACAGAACGGTCGAAGTAGAATTAGTTTAAATGAGCTCGAAGGATACAATGTTCACACGAGCCATCATCCTCTTTAGTGCTCACTTCGCCCCCAGTCAACTTTGGGGTCTGAATTATGTTGATCATGTCAAAAACAACTGAGGATTTAAAATGTCCGTCAAGTCCCTTCTCTGCCCCGAGCCCCTTGGCACATTGGACCTGACACTTAGTTGACCACTTTTGACCCCTCGAATTTCGCCGTTGACTTGGCCTCGCTTGGCTCTGTTTGAGACTTGGGAATTATGAAGCAAATTGGTCCCGCTCCACCAACTGCCCGAGGTCGACACAGGGAATAACGTCCTTAAAATAGCCTTCATAACTCGGGCAATCCGGAGAGACCCTTGCTGAGGATCTCGATTCTGCCGAATCTTTGCCGAAAGATTGTCTAATCCATTGCCCGACCAACGACCGCGATGTCGTTGCTAAACGCCCGGTGGTATTCAGCCAAGCTCACCGTAGTTCCGGTGGTATCTCCTGAGTTGCGAGTCTATTTTCTTTACCCTTTTCTCTGTTTTTTTCCCCTTTTCCGGGCCGAATTTTGGGACTGCCTCGGTCATCCATGATGAATGATGGGCTAGGCTACTTGCGATCGCGGGAGGCGTCTGTCTACGCGGCCTGAGGTCGGATAGACCGGTCGATGAAAACGTGCCCTCCTGTCGAGTCTAGGCCGGAGTCTACCGATATATTAGCAATAGCAAAACAGATAGCAGCACTAGCTATAGTATCCAGTTTGTGCAGTATCCATCATCTGCCGGCTGGACTGTGCTAGTGACAATTTGACAGAAGGTCATTACGACTAGTCGACTATTTACTAGAGAGAATGTAGGCTGGTGTGTTGAGCCTTTAGAAATCTGTAACACTTCAATCGCTGGGCCTGCTTCAAAGTTCAAAGAGGGGCAAGATTGTTTCAGGATTGGCCACAGCTGATTGGACCCCAATTCGGGAGTCGAGCGGCTGGCGGTTTCAGTGCCTGGAGGAAGTGGCGGAAATGCCCTGCCCATGAGCTGACTATTCGCCAGTGCCCCTCCCAGGCGCCTGTCAAGCTGATCGGTCTTTCTCGGCTTCTGGCACCCATGGATGCGCTGATGCGCTGTTGCGTTGATATTCTTTTTGCTAACAGGGGCAAACCTCTCGGATTGGCCCAGATTTGGCTCCTCCTCGGTGGATTCGTCGTCCAACTCTTGCAATATTGGGTTAAGACCAGCCTACCTCACATTTAGTTGGAACAATGCCACGCTCCAGTGAACCCCATTTCCCTAAGCACCATGCGTCAGTTCTCGAATCTTGGGCTCTTGGGCTCTTGGAGTTTTCTGGGCGTGGGTAGTAGGGCTTGGAGATTTTCTCGAATGATATTCAAATCCTCGACTTTCTTCGTTCTGTTTTGCACCTCTTTTTTGCACTATTCTTATAGACTGCGTGTGTATCTTCGTTCTCTTCCTACTACAATTGACATTGTAGCTCGTTCATTCACTTCTCTTCTGCTATCTTTTCCTTTCGTGGTGGAAAGGTAGCCCTTCTTCTGGTTCATTCTTCGATTCTTCCTTCCGACATCTCTCGTCAGTTGGTAGAGGATCACTGGTGCTTACACTCCTCTTCCATCCTTCTTGTCCATATTGGTGGTGATTCTTGTTGTTTGTTGGCTCAGTCAGGACTCGGCCCCCATACTTTACCTTCCCCTATAAACTGCGCGCTGTTCCTTCAGGAAAGGAGTCTTACTTTCAATCAAAAGACTACTAATCATTGCGCTCTTTGTTTTTGTTTTGTGTTTCGTCTCTGGACCCTCCTTGACTTGGATGTTCACTCTCTAACAGCCTAATTCACATATTCCAACTGAGCTACAATCATGCAGCTCCTCCAGTCTCTCTTTTTATTTTTGTTCTTCAGTTACAGCGTTGTTTCTTTGCCAACTTCGGGTCGCACTCAGCATAAGGGAAGATCTTACAAGGTCAGTCGGGTTCGTCGTGGAGAGGGCGAGTTGTATGGTCCCTCCGCGCTGCGAAAGGCATATCGCAAGTTTGGCATTGTTCCCAGCAACCTCAACATCGAGCTGGAGGACTTCGCCCCCGTCACCACTGTCAAGCACAACGTCGTCGCTGCCAGCGATGACAGTGCCGAGCCAGACCAGGTCGGTGCCGTCAGCGCAACCTCTGTCGAAAGCGATGCCGAATTTGTTTCGCCTGTTGAAATTGGTGGCCAGAAGATCGTCGTGACCTTCGACACAGGCTCAGCGGACTTGTAAGAAGCACCAGGTACAGAACTGAATTGATTGGGATACTGACAAGAGATCGGTAATAGCTGGGTCCTGGACACTCGTCTCAACAAGACCCTGGATGGCCATACCCAGTACAACCCCGCCAACTCGACCACGTTCAAGGATATGCCCGGCGCAACTTTCAATGTCTCCTACGGCGATAACTCGTTCGCCGCTGGTCCTGTAGGAACTGACACAGTCAACATCGGCGGCGCAATCGTCAAGAACCAAGCCATCGGGATCCCGACTGAAGTTTCCCAGTCCTTCACCGAAGACACCAACTCGAACGGTCTGGTTGGCCTTGGTTTCTCTTCCATCAACAGCATCGAACCCCAAGCGCAGAACACCTTCTTCGCCAATGCTGCGCCTAACCTCGACGAGCCTGTCTTTACTTCTGCCATCAAGAGTGATGGCGTGGGCGAGTATGGATTCGGTCTGATCGATTCGAGCAAATACCAGGGCACCATGGCCAACGTTAGCGTGGATAGCTCCAACGGGTACTGGCAGTTTGATACCGCCGAGTTTGCAGTGGGCAATGGCTCCATCCAGACGATCAACAACACGCAGACGGCGATTGCTGATACCGGCACTTCTCTTATGTTGATGGATCAGCAAGTTGTGGATGCTTACTACGCCGACGTGCCCAGCGCCGTGTATGTGAGCAGTGCTGGAGGTTACATTTTCCCCTGTAACACCACGCTCCCCAGCTTCTCGATTGCCATCGGCTCGGAGCACTTGGCCACGGTTCCTGGAAACCTGATTCAGTTCTCGAAGGTTGGCACCAACACCACTACTGGACAAGCTCGTGAGTAGATCCTACCTAAAGACATAAAAAAGTAATACTTGACTGACAACTCTTGTTAGTTTGCTATGGTGGCATCCAATCAAACTCGGGCGCCTCGCTCCAGATCTTGGGTGACGTCTTCTTGAAGGCCTTCTATGTTGTCTTCGACATGCGTGGTCCTTCCCTGGGTGTCGCGTCGCCCGTGTGATTGTCCGGTGAGCACAACGCCTGTTCATCTAACTTTACTTAATATTGTAAAGATTTAAAGCTGCAATAGCATGCTGTAGAAAATGGAATTGTACCATTAGACCCATGTCTAAAGTTGAACGAGCTGAGGTCGATGCACAAATCGTAGATGTATACGGTGACTAATCATGCGTGTAAACAAAATGCATAAAATTGTGATTGCAAAGAACAAGGGGAAAGAAAAAGGAGATTCTACCCGCGCACAGCAGAATTGACAGCACAACTTAATCGTTCCAAACAATTCCAATCTCCAATTCCCAAGATCCCCGTCTTCAGACTGGGATCGCTCTCGTGAGGCAAGTTGACTTCCATTAAAGCGGCCGTGAGCCTCCTGCGGGTCGCCAGAACAACCCCGCGGTTCGCTCCTCTTCCTTGGGCGACGGCAAGATTATTCGCTGCCCCTCCTCCTCTGCCTCCTCCTCTTCCACTTTCTCCAACACCCTCTTCACCTCTATTTTCTTCCCACCACCCTTTCGCCATCCGCTCCTTCGCAAACATGGCTATCAACTCCGCCCCCGAATCCTCCCTCCTCTCCCTCCTCTACCGGTCCTACCCGGCCGCCATCTCCCCGGACGCCACCGAGCCCGACCTCCAGACCGCGACCCCGAAAATCTTCCCGCACACCAAGTTTTCCGTCACCGAGGAGGCCGACGTCAAGCAATGGCTGGCCACGATCTCGGGCCTGCAGCACGCTCAGCGCAAGGACGACCAGACAGTGATCGCCAACATCCTGGGCCAGCTGAACACCCACCTGGCCACCCGCACCACGCTGCTGGGCGCTAAGCCCTCCGTCGCCGACATTGCCGTCTACGCTCTGCTCGCCCCGCTTGTCGAGAAGTGGTCCCCCGAGGAACGCACTGGCGAGCAGGGCTACCACCACATCGTCCGCCACGTCGACTTCGTCCAGAACAGCCCGCTGTTCGCCCTGCAGATCCCCGAGGAGGAGAAGGTCGCCATCGACGTGACCGACGTGCGCTTCGTGCCCAAGCCCGTCGACCCCAAGGCCGAGAAGGAGCGCAAGAAGAAGGAGAAGGCCGCTGCCGCGGCCGCTGCCGCTGGCGGCGCCGCGGAGGGCAAGCCCCTCGTCGTCGGCCAGGGTAAGCCTGCCGCCGAGAAGAAGCAGAAGGCCGACTCGGCTCCCGCTGCTGCTGCTGTTGAAGCTCCCGCCGCCGCCGCTGCCAAATCCGAAGGCGGCAAGCCCAAGAAGGAGAAGAAGGAGAAGCAGCCCAAGCAACCCAAGGCCGCACCGGCGCCGGCGGCGCCCCCGTCCCCGTCCATCATCGACCTGAGGGTCGGCCACATCCTGCGGGCAATCAACCACCCGAACGCGGACTCGCTGTTCGTGTCGACGATCGACTGCGGTGACGCGCCGGGCACCGAGAACACCTCCCTGGACGAGGCGACGGGCAAGACGGTGCGCACGGTGTGCTCCGGACTGAACGGGCTGATTCCGCTGGAGGAGATGCAAAACCGCAAGATCGTCGCCGTCTGCAACCTCAAGCCCGTGACCATGCGCGGCATCAAGTCCGTCGCCATGGTGCTGGCCGCCTCCCCCCGTGTCGCCGAGGGTGAGGACTCCCATGCCGGTCCCGTCGAGCTCGTCGCCCCGCCCGCCGACGCCCCCGCCGGTGAACGCATCACCTTCGAGGGCTGGTCCGAGGGCGAGCCCGAGAAGGTCCTCAACCCCAAGAAGAAGGTCTGGGAGACCTTCCAGCCCGGCTTCACCACCACCGACACCCTCGAGGTCGCCTTCGAGAGCGCCGCCGTCCCCGCCGTCCACGGCCAGGAGGGCAAGCCCGCCCTCGGCCTGCTGAAGACCGCCTCCGGCGGCATCTGCACCGTCAAGAGCTTGAAGGGTGCCACCGTTCGGTAAATGCCGTTATCCCAACGTTCACGATATGTCCAGTCCAGTCCATTTTGCGAAGGAAAGAAGTGAAAGAATATTTTCTATAACGTATACCTTGTGTCCTCCCCCCGCGCCTCAAGAGAGAGAGAGAGAAAGAACTTAGCGAGTCCCCTTTTCGAACCCAAAAGAAAAAATGTTATTTCATTTCACCATATCTTCCTAAGAAATTTGCATGACCCTACAAGAACGATGTTCTATACATTCGACGTAAATAGTACGAAGTACTTTGGGTAGCATCATGACGAACAAGGTATCATTTTTTTTTTTTCCTTCCATTCTCGAACTGCAATATCCCCTTGTTCTGGGTCTTCCCTTGCATAGCAAATGAACGGCTGGTGCATTGGGGCGATGGCTCTGCGTACTTTGTGTAACATGCACAAACACTATACTTCGCATTTCTTATAGGTACTCCGTACCGTACATAAGTTTATGTTAACGGGATTGACTGATCACCCGCCCATCTCAAGGTCGTACTGCTATTCCTTCCCCTCTTCTTCCATCTGCCTCCTCCTTCTTACCTTATCAATGCATCAGCACGAGCTTGGTTCCAGTCCCGAGTGACTGCCCTCTTCTCCTCTGACTCCTCTTTTCTCCTCTCCTACCCCGCATTTGCAACTTCCCTCCGAAGCACAATGCAGGACCATATATATGCAGGGAGCATAGTGTTGGGACAGTCCTGTCCGTTTTCTCTTTTTTTTTTTTTTGGAGTCCAGAGTTCTTCACACACTGCAGAGTTAATCTTCTGGTTGTTGGACTTATAACAGAGTGGTTTGTGCGCATTCAGAGCACAAGCAGTACAACTCTACATTCAAACCTTGAAGTATACCGTCCTTCACCATGAGAGCAGTCCGCTTTTACGGAGCTGGAGACATCCGAGTCGATCAGATCGAAGAGCCGGTTTGTGGAGAGGGGCAGGTCAAGGTGTGTATACCGTTATTTCTCATCTATGCTTCTTGTAGATATCACAGCCCTGACATGTTCATTGAGATCCGACCTGCGTTTGTAGGGATCTGCGGAAGTGGTAAGTAGTCAATTCTACTACTACTCAAAAGAGCACACTTGGCACAGCCAACAGCAAATTGGAGTGATCGTCGTTGACACAGGGCTTGTGTGTGATTTCATGTTTAGATTTGCATGAGTACACGTGCGGGCCGCACCTGGTACCCCTGACGCCACATGCGATCACCGGGGGACAACTACCAACAACCCTGGGCCACGAGTTTAGCGGCACAGTTGAGGAGGTGGGGACCGGAGTTGCTGGTGTCGTCGCGAACCTCAAGGTTGGAGATCGGGTTGCTGTTCGGCCCAACTTGAACGACGGGAATTGTCCTCCCTGTTTGCGCGGAACCCCGAATTGTTGTCGCAATTTGGGCTTTGTGGGGTATAGTAGTAGGTTCGATCTTTTCCCCAATGTTTGTTTCGGCTATCATCAGGCTGAGAAATTTCAAGGCAATGCAGGGGGGTTGTCGGATCATGTCGTAGTTGACGCAGAACTTGCCATTCCGCTACCGGACAACATCCCTTTGGATATCGGCGGTGAGGGGAGAATTCCATTACTTGTCGCTAGTCTGGTGCAGTTCGCTGACGCGATCTATACAAGCGCTTGTTGAACCGCTGTCTGTGGCGTGGCATGCAGCAAATCGCAGCCCTCTTGAGGGTGCTCGGACGGCTCTTGTCGTGGGAGGCGGTCCTATTGGTTTGGCCGTGGTTCAAGTGCTTTTAGCCCGAGGAGTAGAGTCTATCATCATCGCGGAAGTCTCCTCGCGACGACGAGAATTCGCGAAAATATTGGGCGCCACACATGTCCTTGATCCTCGGACAGAAGATGTCGTCTCTATGGTACGAGCAATGACCGGAAACGCGGGCGTAGATGTGGCCTTTGAATGCTCTGGCGTGCAAGCCGGCTTGGATACGGCTCTTCGGGGCATCCGGGTCCGAGGAACAGTCACAATTGTGTCGCTTTGGGAAGCAAAACCGAGCATAGACGCCAGCGCGATCGTGCTAGACGAGAAGCATGTAATCGGGGCGGCAATATTTGCCGATGGGATTTTTCCAGCTGTCATTGAAGCCATAAGCTCGGGTAAGCTTGAGTGGCGTGCTATCCCTGCCATCCCATTCACCCTCGCTGAGTGTTGATTCGTCCTTCCTTAGGCAAGCTCAACCCTCAAACCATGATCACCAGCAAGATTCGAATGGAAGACATTGTTGAAAAAGGATTCGAGGCCCTGATCAACGAGAAAGATAAACATGTCAAGATCTTAGTTGACATCTCGGCATGAATTCCAGGAGGGAGGGTCTAAGGTAAGACAAGACGCCCTGGTCAGATGCGGCTGTGAAGGTCGCACAGCTGTGCCTCAAAATGAGCGTTTGTGTTGTCAAGTCCTTTTCCGAAGCCATCCATAACGGCCCAAGGCATGTGTGATGGCACACTTGCTGTGTATTCTGACGCCAGCCACTCTCAGCCTAATGGGAGCTGAAGGTAAGAACTGAAGCCTGGCAGCAGTGCCAAGAGAATCCGGCCATGATAGACCTGGGCTAGATACATACATATTTACTAGTACGTCGTTCGTCTGCTTCTTCTTCTTCTTTTTCTTAGGTCTTACCTGAGCCCCCGGGGATGCCCGACGGCAAACTAGAATAAAGCCCTGAGTTCAGTTTGCGTAGTGTAAAATGTTTAACCTGATTTGGGTTCTCAAAGCGACGACATCTTAACCTCAGGAATCAACACGTGTGGATACGAGCGACGGGCGGGCGTTTTCTGGTTCTTGGCGAGGGTTGATGAGTGCAACCACGACAGCACGGCCGTCCATTCCACCGGAACTACTACTGACTGCGAAGGAGGTGTGATGATGCCAAGAAATACACGTCGAGAAAGGCAGAGCTGAGCGGGGTTATTCCTCGTTGTCTCGTATAACCAACCCCGAAGTCATGATGTCGTAGCACGTAACTTGAGACTCCTTTTGTAGTAGGAGTGGTTCCCCCATCCGATGATGCCTTAGGTACAGTGTTAGTATTGGACCGCACAGCTATACAAAAGAGTAACCCAGAGATTCGGGCTCCGGAGTGGCCATGTTCCAGTCCAGGGCTGTCTAGATGCGAAGCCGACAGACCACAATTTTGGATCTTCCATGATCTAGACGTTTGAAGGGTCAGACTAAACCGTTCACTGACAGCCAGACCGCTCGGACGAAAGGTCGAGTGCTACCAGGGCTAGTCATGTACAGTACATCCTGCCTCCTACTTTCGGATATCGGAACCTGATATGTCTTCTCCGACCGAGCTTGTCCGTCCTGTGAGGCTGTGAGCACACTGTGCTCCTCAACAGATGACAACCCCTCTCAGCGGTTCTTAGGACAATAGTCGCAATGCAACTGACGAAGAAAAAGCATCGTTGTCGACATGCTTCTTCCTCCCACCGAGCGAGTACCAGGTTGGACTGTATACCGAGATACCGTACTACGGTTACCCTGGTGGCTGCAGAAGAACATGCGTTCGATCGCGCAACATTCGACCCTATCCGAACGGGGCGGGTGAACGCCACTTTGTTTCTTGTTTGTTTTTTTTAAAGTGTCTTTCTTTTCTTTTTTCTTTCCTTTTTTCCTTTTTCTGTTCTTCTTGATGGGGATTGCGGATCTCCGGATCAATGCAAAGAGAAAACAAAGTTTCTTCCCTTAAATTCTCATGGACCTTCACTAATGGAACTTGGGGGGATCGTGACTCCATCCCCCGCTTGAGGAGGTGTCATCCACAGTCTCCCCCCCCTCTCTTTGTACTTGGGCCAAGCTTGCGGTTGTTGCGGGCTGGGAGTCATTGACTGTCGGTTGTTTTGGTTTGTTTTGTTTGAGGAGTGTGTGAGATATGGCGTTGGTTTGACGGCTCACTCACATATCCATGATTGTCGTCATCCGACCCCGAATTAGTCCGGGGTAAACGAAAGTATCGGAGAATAAACACACAACGAGAGAGGTCACTTGGGGAGTTTAATCGCTCGAAAATCATTGGGTCGCATTCGTTCTTTCTCGAGTTTTCTCCCCGGCCTCTTACCCTCCTTCCTACTACGTACAGCACATCCCCACTAGTCATGGTCGACTAAGATAATCGACATCCTTACGTTCAATATCCGACCATACATTCAGTCATACATAACGACGTACTCGCTTGACACTACTCAAGCAGGGATTGAATGGGTCCCAGACTCCCAGTGTACCAGGAACCTTAAAAGGAGGGGGTAAAGTAAATGGGATTATCATGGGGCACTCTGGAGCAATAGAAGGATTATTACAGTCCGTGGGTGCATTTCAACTGGATGGGGACAGCCAAATGGCCATGTCCGATGTACAGTGTATGTATGTCTCGCCTGCAGGACTCCCTTTTCCCCTCCCAATATGACCTGATTCGTGACCTGATCTGACCTGACTGGACCTGATCTGAGTGACCTACACTCACCTTCTACTTTTTTTATTATTCTTTTTTTATTTTTTCATGTTTTCATTTTTCGCTGTTCGCTATACTTAGAATAGAACTGGGAACTTTCCAGGCGGCTTCTGTACGCTTAGCATATTCGTCTGTACAGTACCCTGGATGGAAGTATGTACCGTATATCCATCCGGTCAAGTTACTGACCGTCCTCATCTTATCAAATATCGATCGATCGGTACTATTTATGATGGACAGTCCGTCCTTGAAATCGGCTGCTCAACACTGTCTGTTTCTACATTCACCGTTAAGTCTCCTTCAACACCATCTTCAACCCCATCTTCCATCTTCATCTCGGGGAATTGATCCATCTTAAAAGAAACCCACGCAGAGAGAGAGAGGTCCTACCAAGATCTCTACCATCTCATCTATTAATACACCATCGGGAATCGCGTGTGGCCCTTCCGAGGTGGAACCGTCCCCTCCCATCCCACCAAACGAAACCCCCCCACCCACTCACAGTCCCGGTGTTTCACTCTGGTTGGTGTCGCTGAACTCTTGGGGGATCTCACTATTTTTTTAGGGGCTCTTCGGGTCTTGGGGGGAGGTCCTTTGGGTTCAGTCTGGCACATCATCAATCATCCTTCCTTGCCGCAAGGCCGGTTTTTCGGTTGGGAGCACCTTTTTTTTTCCTTGGTTTGCAATCCCGATCGACTGGCTTCTAGTGGTTCTTCCAGGTAATATTATTCTTCTTCTTTTCCTCTTGTCCTGCCTCCTTTCATCCTTCCCTTCGTTTTTTTTTTGTTTATTGTTTTTTTTTTTTTCTGCCTGGAAAAAAAAATATTACACTCGTTTTCTGCCTTCACTTGTATTCTGATTTGTCTAAATTGGCATCATCATCTCGGGTTTTCTTTTCCTTTCGCCTGCCGCCCGGCCTGGCCTCTACACACTTTAGCCCCTAAAATCTTCTACTACTGTTACTACTTGACTAGTCGGTCCTTGTCGTCGGCTGGCTCCCTTGGAAGCGGACCGACCTTCTCGTTTGCATAGATTTATAACCGCGTTCTAACCTCCTTAGATCTTGCGTCGCCATTCACTGTTCTCTGTCTAGATTTGCCGACTTCAGGTTGAAGCATGTCGGACTGACCTTTCTAAAACGTTGCACAATCTGTCTGTACTGTATCCCTTACAGTAACCTTTTTCTACCACCTGCTCGATTCTTGTGTTTCGTCCTTACTATGGGAACTCCACTACATGGTACGGCCATTATTACCGGGGCCAGTGGCCTGCTGGGATCAGAGGTTGCCGTCTCCATCGCCAAAGCACAGCCCTTTGTCCACCTGCTGTTGGTGGCTCGGGATATCAGATCCGACACCGTGAAGGATGTATTAAGCCGCATCCGCTTGATTGGGCCGAGGTCCGTCGAGGTGGTCAAGTGTGATCTAGCCTGCTTCAATTCGGTGGCGAGCTTTGCACAATATACTGTGGAGCGAGTTCGCAGTAAAGAGATCCCTCCGGTCACCCTCTTGATCAATTCCGCGGCCAGCTCATCCTACGTCACCGATCAAGTCACACGAGATGGGTACGACCCCGTCTACCAAACCAACTGCATCGCCCCGTTCTTGTTGACCGTGAGCTTGCTCGAGGCCTTCCGAGCCGGCGACGGAACCCCAAACGGCGGTGCCCGAGTCATCAACGTCGGATGCGCCGCCATGTCCAAAGGGTCACTGGACTACTTCGATGAGCAGGACCCGGATAACGCCAGCCAGGCCCCGGGGACTCCGATCAGTGCAAAGGAAGCCACCGCCCGGTTTGGGAGTAGTAAGCTGTTGATGAGCGCTGCTATGTATGCCTTGCGCCGGAGTCTGGTACTCGTGAGTGTGCCTTTGTTTTTGCTTTATGTGTTCTAAGGCTGACTGTGTTATTGTAGGCGGGCAACATCTCGCTCAATGTATATACGATGGACCCCGGATTTATGACCGGGGAGAGCCATCTCACCGCCTCGGCACCTTTGTCGGTGCGAATGGCGCATCAGACCCGGTCTGGACTCCGGCCCCTCTTGCGGGTTTTCTCCAAGAGTGCAATCAACAAGGCTAGCGTTCCAGCCAAGGTCATTGCGAAAGTCGCATTCCAGAGGGAAACGGTGGAGAACTGGGGCAGAGAGCGCTATTATATCTTGGATAGTGAATATGAGGCCGGATCCGTCATTCCCGTGTTGCGAGACTTGCCGCGCATGGATGCGCTGCTGCAGAAGGTGATGCGACAGGTCGAAATTGGTGTCAAGGGCATGGGCTCGCCCCAGTCCAGGGTGTCCCGATTAAGTGCGCACTGATCAGGACTATTCGGACATCTTGGATTCTCATCTTGGTCATGGCGTTCTTATCTTGCATTCCTCATGCCGGTTTTGTCGTTTTGGGGGGGGTGCAGCAGGAGTTCAAAAATCCCGAGCATTCTTTGAGGCGTCTTATCGGTTTGCAACCTTGGAGTTTTTCCCTTTTCTTTTCTTTGGGGTACCTATATCATGATAGGGATGTTTTGTAAATAGAGGTTATATCTGTATACGTGCAGAATCAGTCCTATGAGGAAGAGTAACTGAGTCAATCCTTCATTCATTCATTCGTTCGTTCGTTCATTCTTCGGCTTGAGAAATGTGGGAAATGCAGTGATGGTCGGAGCTGCGCTACGGGATGAAGATGGCTGCAAACGGGCGGGCGGCGGGAAGAAGATTGGGTCTCGTACCGCATTCGGGTCTGGGTCCAGATTCGCCCGCGGATCCCACCTGGCGGCTTTTGGTCCAAAGGAACCGCCTGGAGCCTACGTAAGTTCTCTCGACGCAATCATTGCTACGGTCAAAGCCTCGGGGACTGTTCAGTTCCTTGCGCCCTTTGTCTTTTGTTCCGCATCTTCTCTCTTCATCACCGATCGCGGATTGGCGATATTCCCGCTGGTCATCATTTCAACCTCAATCCACCTCTTCATCATCCCCGTCGGCTGCGCTTTCGTTCGGTAGTCTGAGGAAGAGGTTTCTCCAACGGCAGAAGTCCGACAATTGGTTTGTGAAATCAAATCAATTTCTTAGCTGCATGTCATCTTAGGAGAGATGAACAGGCATCACGCCTTCGGCAATGGCTACGCTGCCTATCCCCGTGGCAAGAGCAACAACTCATTCTCCATCTCCCCTCACCGGTACGCGGTCCTTTCCTCGGGCGAATATCGCGCGCCATGATCCTGTATCCCGTCGGTGGGATACAGCGCCGTGTCGACGGAAAACTGAGTAAACCGTTCGCTAATCCTGGAATTTAGTAGTTTTCAACCCCGGGCACAACCTGCCTTGCGCCGCCGGAGGCAACTCTTCCAGCGCCTATGTCTTCTCTGCGGTGTCTCCCTGTTGCTCCTCGTCCTGATCTTCCCGTCGCTGCGCGCCTCACTCCTTCCGGTGGTATCGCTCGGCCTCCTCCACCCCTATGAAGACCTTCAGATCGAGACGATCCGATACTATGACCTCTCCAAAGTGCAAGGGACCGCCAGTGGCTGGGAGCGCGGGGAGCGGGTGCTCATGTGCACGCCCCTGCGCGATGCCTCCTCCCACCTGCCCATGTTCTTCTCGCACCTGCGGAACCTCACCTACCCGCACAACCTGATCGATCTGGCGTTTCTGGTATCGGATTCCGAGGACGACACGATGGGCATGTTGTCGCGCATGCTGGACGAACTCCAGCACGATGCGGATCCGAAGATGCCGTACGGCGAGATCTCCGTGATCCAGAAGGACTTTGGCCAGCTGGTCAACCAGGATGTGGAAAGTCGACACGGCTTTGCCGCGCAGGCCAGTCGCCGGAAGCTGATGGCCCAGGCTCGGAACTGGCTGCTGAGCGCCACGCTGCGCCCGACGCATAGTTGGGTCTATTGGCGCGACGCGGACGTCTTGACCGCGCCGCAGACGATTCTGGAGGATCTGATGCGGCATGACAAGGATGTCATTGTACCAAGTGAGTTTCTGGATCTTTTGTGGCTGCATCCCGCTCATTCTGACTCATGGTGACTAGATGTGTGGCGACCCCTTCCCGACTGGCTGGGCGGAGAGCAACCGTACGACCTGAACTCGTGGCAAGAATCCGAAACTGCATTGGCCCTGGCCGACACGTTGGATGAAGACGCGGTCATCGTGGAAGGGTATGCTGAATATGCTACCTGGCGTCCTCATCTTGCCTACCTGCGCGACCCGTACGGAGATCCGGACATGGAGATGGAACTTGACGGCGTAGGAGGCGTCAGTATCCTGGCGAAGGCGCGGGTTTTCCGCTCGGGGGTGCACTTCCCCGCTTTCAGCTTCGAGAAGCATGCCGAGACAGAAGCCTTTGGCAAGGTGCGTATCCGGCGGGATTTTGATGTTATAGTTGCGTGCATGATACTAACTCTCAGTAGATGGCCAAGCGCATGGGATTCTCAGTCATCGGCCTCCCACATTACACAATCTGGCATCTTTACGAGCCGAGCGTGGACGATTTGCGGCACATGGAGGAGATGGAGCAGGAACGGAAAGAGCGCGAGATGGAGGAGAAAGACCAGGCCGACCGTGCCGAGCGCGTTCAGACCCTGTTCAAGGATGCCAAGACGCAGTGGGATATCGACCATGCATTCGTCGAGGACGCGATCGCCGAGGATCAGAAGCAAGAGACCGCCGCTTCAGGTGGTTCCTCAAGCGAGACACTCAAGGGCTCGGAGGAAGGTCCTCTAGCGCAGCCAGTTGTGAAAGAGAGGGGTGGTACTGGACAGAGCGGCGAGGGTTCCGGTACTCAGATGGAAGAAGCTAAGCGTTAACTGAGCTTTCTTCTGCTGACAGGTACCGAGCTATCTTCTGTTCATGTTTACATGCCACTTCCTGTGCTGGTCATAGGCTTGACGTGCTTTCTCATGTTTCCAATGTACTGTACCCTGAAGGCGTTTTCGTTGTTCTCTGCGTCGTGATTTGTCGATAATCGCTTACTAGAATATTTTGCATGGTGTCGTCGGCCTGATCATGATGGGTCGATTTCCGATTATAGTATAAAGCATAGACTCAACCTTTTTTTAATCTATATCTATCTATCATAATCAGATTCATTAGAGGAATCATGGCGATTTTAACCTATAAGAAATCACTGATAGACAACGTGACCGAACTTCCAGGTCCAGTAAGAGACTGATAAGAGCACCGCCCATTAAGCGGTGGCCCGTGCGTCTATCAACGCCGCGGACTTCTCCCCATCCAGCACGCGTCCCGCGTCAGCTCTTCGAATTTCCACCTGCAGACGAAACCCAACTTTGCTCCTCTTTCCCCACTCCTTCAATTTCCTCTCTACCCTCAAACGGTCTTCACAATCACAAACCCCAAGTTGAGGCGGACAAGAAACAAAAATGTCCACCCAATCCACCCCAAGCATCCTCTTCACCCACACAGCCCCGCAACAAGGCTTCCGTTTACTCGAACTGCCCCCGGAGGTCGCGGACCTCCTCACCTCGGACAATCCTCCTACGTGCGTCAAGTTCCCTTTCCTTTCCTCCAGGAACTTCAAAAGGCTATACAGGAATGCTAATCCGAAGAAAAAAGATTATACCTCAAAACCCCCACCTCAACCACAGCACAGCCCACCACGAGCAGCAGTAAACCGACTGACCTCCGCGAATACGTCAACCTCTGCACTCCGACCCAAACCTACCGCATCCGGCAGGTCCAGTCGTCGAATTCCTTGCATATCTTGAGGCCTAGCGGTATGGGCGGAAGGGATACGGTCCTCCGGCGGGAGGATTTGGCTGCTGTGGATGTAAAGGCTGCTGCTGCTGTTGCTGCCGCATCACAGGGTTCGGATGGGGGGCGGGTTGCGTCAGGGGTCAAGGGGGAGGGGAACGGGGATGGGGATATGGACGTTGATGTGGACATTGATGTGGGTGTCAATCTGGCGGAGACGGTGACGACGATCGCTAAGTGCGGGTCGACGCTTGAGTTGCATGTGCCGGAGGGGGGGTTCAGGGCTGCGGAGTTCTTGGGGGGGTTGGTGGGGCGGTTTGCCCCGGTGACGAGTGGTGCTGCTGCGACTGGTAGTGCTAGGGAGGGGGAGGGAGATGCTGGGGCCGCGGAGGAGGACAAGGTGATGGAGACGGTGTTCGCTGATATCCCGGTTTCCCGGGCGGAGTGTGAGAGGGTTTGGGTGGAGGGGTGTGCGTTTGTGTGGCGGGGAAGGGCGTGGGTGCCGACGCCGGAGATCAAGATGGAGGTGTGGAAGCGGGTGGTCGATGGGGCGGTGGTACAGGGGATTGATCTCCGGACGCAGTTTCTGGTGGATGATCTGTGGAAGTCGGTGGTGGTGGAGGATGAGGATGAGGTGGAGGGACAGTTCCCCCGGGCTTTGTTTGAGGCGGTCGTGCGGAGGGTGGTTGAGGGGGAGGAGGGGAAGTCGTTGCTCGGTGAGAAGTTGAAGTGTGAGTTGATCTTCGCGATTCTGTGTGAAGGTGCCGTTGTCGTGGTTTGCTGACGTTTCGGGTTTACTGGTTTAGGGGCGAGTTTGGACAGGGAGGTTTGTGTACGTTGGGTTGGAGAGACGTATCTGGAGGCTATGGCGCCCATGGCGAGTGCGGCGGTTGGCCGCAGTGATTTCCTCAACGCTTGGAAGGATCGTCTACCAGAGGCTTGGAGGGAGGAGGTGGCTCTGGCTAAATTGACGGTAAGCTGGTATTTGTTCTGTGCATGCAAAAGACGGTCTCCATTGACCTTCGTATTAATTACAGGATGCCGTTTATCAACTGCCCGACCCGACGACCATCTCCTTTGTGACTGAATTCGAACGACAGCGGTCCAAGAAGAATCTGCCCACCGATGCTAGTGCTGCCACCGCAGCCAAGAAGTCCAGAAACTGGCACGAGCTCTTCAAGAACCAAAAGCGACAGAAGCGGTGACGCTCTAATGTATGCTTCCACCAAATGCACGGCTCCGAAAATGCAAATCATAAACACATCAGCACCAGGCATACTTCTCGTTCAGGCACCACTCCACTGTCTCGCCCAATCCATGCTCGGCGCCGCTCCATCTCAACGATGCGATACTGTCCTTTTGACGGTGAACTAACTCGGCATTGGGCGCGATCATGGCCACTGCCTGTTGCAAAAGGGGTGTCGGGTTCCAGAATTCCACCGTGCTCATATTCCACTTGTGTGCCTCAAGTTGCGCGCGTTTCAATATGGCAGCCATGGCCTTGATTGTGCGCTGTGTTTCTTCCGGCGACGTTGGCTCCTCATACACCCACCGCAGAATATACAGAGTATTTTCCTCCGGCTCTGAACCGAAATTCCTGTTCCATGCACAGTATACCCGCGCTGCTTCTTCGCCCGCGCCTTTCACTGCGGGGGCTTCTCTATCCGGGAAGAGAGACTTGACGAAGAACTCCTCTCTCGCCCAATGCCATTTGAGATGATCATAGTCCGGCGCAATTGCGATTCGAGGAGTGTGCGTCTTAAGGGATTCCACTCGGAGGAATTCGCGCTCTTTCTCTAAGATTTGCTCATTGCACACGCGGTCTCGGACATCTTTTGCAGTCAACGTTTTGACCTTGGGAAGAATATCTTCGGCCCCGGTCGAAGAACACTGCTCCTCAGCAATTGCTGGGAGCGCGAAATGACAAGACAAAAATGGCTTCCAGCCGAATTGAGCATAGAAGTTCTTCCCGATGTCGGAGAAGAGGATGCTGAAGATAGCCCTCTTCCTGCTTTCAGACTCCATGTTCCAGGTGTCGACCTTCTTGCTGAGTTCCTCCATCATCCTCTTCGCATATCCCTTGCCTCTGAACTCAGGCCGGCAGTAAACACTTCCTATGCCGTGCGTTGAGACATCTTCCACCCGGCCGTCGTGCGCCAGCCAAGCCTTCTTCTTGTATGTTTCGCATGAGCCTAGGATGGTTCTATCTCCTTCAGGCTCTCTGCTATCAACTAGAATCCAGCTGGTCAGGCCATGCTTGATCAATTGCTGCGCATGGAGATGACTCTCGCGCGCAATATACGTGTCGAGGTCCAGACGGCCTTTCCAGGCGATGCTGTTCAGCTTCAGAGCTTCGAGCTTCTCCGCGGGAGTCGCTGGGACCAGAACGAGGTCCGGGGAATCACCCTGCGGGAGAGCAACCCCGTTGGTGTAGGTGTTATCGGCAGCAGTCATGGTGTCTTCAGAATCACTAAGAAAGTGGATGTTTTCTGTCTTGGGCTGGAGAGGAACCGTGGAACGGATGGAGCTTGGTATATGTACGAAGGCGAATGACCCGGTGACGTGTTTCCACACTCAATTGTAAACGCGACGGCAAACCCCGTGGACTGTTACGTTTTTCACAAGTGAATGGGGAAAGGAAGAGCTGCAAGGGGGGAGGGGGTCTTTGGTAATATAAGAGATGAATGCTTTGGCTCGATGACGATACGGCAAGCTAACAACAATGGTACCAAAGGAAGTCAACTCCGGCGGGGACGGTTTCCTATTTGCGGAGGTGGCCGAGGACAAGCGACGACAAGCGCTGCCTTTTCCCAGTTGGGATGCGTACTGTACCAACTGTACCAAATATACTCTGAATGATGTAGGTCAGCTGCAATTGTTCACACTTGTTTGGATCGGTGCTGACCAATGCCAAGGGCCGAGTGCTGCTAGAATAGACGATGTTGTAAGGCGTGTGTTTTGACGATTCTTGTCAGTAGGTCAATTTGATAGTAACTAAAGTAACTAAAAACCACATACCCCGTCGCTAGCCTTTCAATCTTCGATAGACCGGAGCTCCGGCTTATCGGGGACCGACGGGGGGAGGTTGTCTTTCTCCGAATCAAGTAGGCGGTCAGCCAGGCAGCTACCACTTTTCCTTTCCCCAGAGCCGTCAGTCAACCACACTTCGTTTCCCCACTACGATATGCTAGTTTTCAATCCACTGCTCCAGCTCTGTTGATGCGTTTCCCCTTCCGCCACTAATCCCTCCTTCCCAGCATCAACTTTCACCCCACCCTCCGCTCAGGAAGCCTGGCAACTTCAAAGTCTTTCTTCACTGGGAGAGTGTTTATTCTCCCCAGTCTGCGAAGCCGTCATCGCTCATTCACATGTTCAAAGCATTTATCGGTGGGCAGTTTTTATTATCAGTGCCTAGCCTACCTAGCCTAGCCGCAATCTCCCGCCCGTGCTTGACCAAAGCTAGTGCAGATCACAAAGCCAACAACAACATCACAGCTCACAGCTTCTTTACTCATCGTACTCAGTATCTGTTTGTGAACACTAATTGTGCGCCTAGTTCAACGCCTCCTGTAGTACCTACCATTGTATTCACTTCGTCCTTACCCGGCATTTATCCTGCTCTACAACATGATTTACAAGACACTGTACCCGGTGCATGATCCCTTAATCTAGCCTTTCGGCCCATTTACCATACCAGAAGACCATCCATCACTACCAACTAGATCCGACGAGTCGCAAGAGAACCCTTCCCCGGGTCTCAGCACCGACCTTGATCAACTTCTCCGAATGCAACCATGGCATCTCGTCATCCTTACGCATCTAGCGTATCGCAAGTCCTCCGGGAACTAGAGGAGTTCCAGACCATGGACTATGAGAGCGCTTATTATGGCTTCAATGAAGACCTCCTGCTGGCTGACTTAGATCAGGCCGGTCGCTGGGGAACGTTTGCGAACAATCCTGAATTAAATCACGATACGTCCTCCACAGATCAAAGGCCTACAAAGAAACAAAGGACAGATCGGCTGGTGCATGGGGGCGATATCCCAGCAGTGCACATCCAGGACCGCTACACTGACCCAGACTCAAACGCCGTGCAACAACAGAGAGCTTCAAGGGGTCCTCCTGTGCTCATTGATCTTACGGAAGATGATCACCCGCTAACCGAGATCTTGGAGATCTTCCCAGACATTGATCCGGATCATTTAAAGGGTCTGATCGATCGCCATCTTGCGCTGGTGTCTCAAGCAAAGACAGAGATTCTGCTCACCGCCACTGATAAAGACTTAGCGAAAGGCGCTGCCATCGAAGAAATCCTTCAGAACCCTTCTTATCCCAGAAAGCAGAAGCGGCTTAAGAGAACAGTTGACGAGCGTGACTCGGTCCCCAAGAAGGAAGACGATATTCAGAAGTGGCTGAAGGCTATTCCTCAAAGAGGAAGTCCTCTGTACCTTGAAATCACGTAAGAGAGACCAGACCCCTACCGGTTGTCCCTCTTATACGAAGCAAGCTGAAGCTCACATTTATAGTGCTCGGTTGTTGGCGATTGAATTCCCTACTGTGCCCTGGACATATATCCAGAACCTCGCCCTGCACAAAAGAGAATTATACGCTGCGTATCTCAGTCTGTATGCCCTGGAAGACCCTTCTGCCAAGTCAACCAAGCCTTACAAGAACGAACGAAACCGCAATCCTCGCTCACATACAAGCCTGTACAAGTCGTACCCGGAAACCCTACCAATCATGGAAAACCTCAAACGCGAACTCAAGGCGGCTGCAAAAGCTGCAAAGAAGACCAAGGAGATGAATTCAGGTAAGTCATCTTCCCTGGATACGAAACTCCACTCTCTGACGCTTGATGGCAACGAAGCGGTCCTCCGTAACAACTTCGAAGATGTTGACGATAAGGAAGCCGAAGAGCGCAACATTCGAACGGGAAACCTAGTGGAGTGCCAGTGCTGTTTCGAAGAGGTCCCCGCGAACAAAGCATTGCCATGTGAAGGACTTGACGTTCATTTCTTCTGCTATACTTGCATGAAGTCTTCCGCAGAGACACAAATTGGGATGATGAGGTACAAGCTACAATGCTTTGACGGGAGTGGATGTCAGGCGAAGTTTGATCGATACGGGCTTGAGCGTGCCTTGGGAGCGAAGCTCATGCAAAAGCTCGATGCTCTTCAGCAGCAGGACGAGATTGGGCAAGCTGGGCTGGAAGGCCTTGAGTCCTGTCCCTTCTGCGACTTCCAGGCGATATGTGCTCCCGCCGATGAGGATCGAGAGTTTCGGTGCAGGAACCCTGACTGCGAAGTGGTTAGCTGTCGCTTGTGTAAGGAGAAAAGTCATCCACCGAGCAGCTGCGACGAGGCTAGGAAAGACAAGCAACTCCCATACCGGCATCGCGTAGAAGAGGCTCTGAGTGAGGCACTCATTCGGCCTTGTCCAACCTGCAAGGTGAAGATTGTCAAAACCGATGGCTGCAACAAGATGACCTGCTCGAAATGCGGGACTCAGATGTGCTATGTCTGCAACGTCAAACTCGGTGCCTCTTACGAACACTTCAATCGACCGCCAACCCATTGCCGCTTGTGGGATCAGAATGAAAGATATCCACTTGGAAGACAGGTTGACCAAGAGATTGAACAAGTCGAAGCAGATGCTATCGCCAAGATCCTGGCAGAGAACCCTGATGTCACCGAAGAAGAGATCCGAGTGAATCGTCCGGGACAGAAGCAGAATGCTAGACCTCCCCGGCCAGGTCGACCACAGAATCAGAATGCAAGACCTCCTCAGCCAGACCGCGCGCGCCAGCCTGTTCAAGCTCGGGCTCGCATCAATATTCAAGTTCCTGGGATTCCACAGCCAGATCAGCCGCGTCAACAACAAGTGCAACCGCGTCAACAACAAGTGCAACCGCGTCAACCTATGCAAGCTCCTCAGCACATACAAGCGCCTCGGGTCATACAGCAAGCTGATCCTGCCAATGTTTACTTCAGAGAGCCTTACGTTCACGTGCAAGCTCAGGCAAATCAAATGCCAATCGCCAGAAATTACTATGCCAACGGAATACAAGATATTTACGCCGGCAGACTTCCTTGGGAAGCTCCTAGCAACAATTACCCTCTTCCCAATGCACAAATAAACCAGCTAAACTCTGGCGAAGCTGGCTTTTTACCGCAGGGCCATCCTCCCAATAACCCAGCGGCGATGCCAATAGATCCTCCTCCTTACTACGCTTGGAACCATGGCCAGGCTTTATCTGTGGCACCACGTTTTCCTGCGCAGAACGTCGCAAATAACCCTGTGCCTAATCCAGTCGGACCGGGACAAACCAACCCATATCCTTCCTATCACATACCACCCATCGTTTCTCAGAACGCTCGACGAGCATCCGGCGGACTGGGTGGATATGCTCGCGACTAACTCCTATACTGGAAGCTTTGCGCGGGCGTAATTCCAACCACGCTAATTATCCCTTGAAATGCTACTTACTAACCATGTGAACCATGACAGCGTCCTAGCTTCCACGCATTTTGGTCATTTGAATACATTTGGGGCTTTATCTCTTGACTTGGTTATGGGTTGGTCTTGGAGAACCAGGGACAATGATATCATCTCATTTCGCTGGCTCCAGCTCCCTTCTTGCTTTTGCATCTTTCATTGGGACCATTCACAGTTGAGCAAGCGTCAAGGAGTTCAGGCGTCCCATTTTCGTCATCGTCATCGTCATCAGTTGTCTCACCCATCACTACTAATCGGTTCTTTCTTGTCTTGGCATAGCCTAGCATAGCTTGACTTCTTGCGCAACAACTTTGCTTGTGCGACTTTTTGAGTTCTATTTTTCAATGGCAAGAAGACAGGTAGGCAGGCAGGTAGGCAGACAGACAGATAGATGAATCATATCTTCTCGAGACATCGGGGACCTGGAATTCGAACTCCCCAGCCAGAGTCGGGAGAGATAGGAAAGCCTATACTTTGAATGCGGTCATTGTCTCACCGTATGGCTTCACAGGGCTCTGGATTAAGCTCTGGGCCATGTTCCTATGCTATGCACGTAGCCCACCACTGGATCAGTAGCGTAGGTTTCCAGCCAGCTACCACGGGACGAACTCGTAATTCCCACAAACAACGACTAGTGTACTGTACCTATCCCAAACAAAAGGCACAGTACTAGTACCAGTACTGACAGCGAACACAGGTCGAAAGCGCTTCCAGCTGAGGCATACCCTCCAGCCCATCCGTCTATCTCAGCCGAGACGTCGAAACCAAGCGAAGAGGAGCAAAGAAAAAGATAGGGCTGGTCTAATCTGCTCAGTTCTTCAATACTTCAGAACGATAATGTCGGCAGGTATGAATAGAGCGGCTGGCAATTCGCTCCCTTCCCTTACCTTCCCTACCTTCCCTCCTCAGCCCAGCTTCCTCCCACGGCATTCCCAGAAGTACCCCGTTCAGTAGCCCCCTCCCCCCCATTCCTACGGGATTTTCTGCTCTTGAATCTGTAAAGTACATAAACCATCCAGCAGCTTGAACTAATCCCCATGCCCCATCCTGCGCATTGAGTTTCCAGTGTTCCGTGGCTGGATTGAGGGGAAAGGAGGGGGAGAAAGTGCGGGGGAAAGTTTTTCTCATTTCATACGGTCCCATCTCATTGGCTATTATGTTGTCTCACATATGTATATGTCATGTGTATAAGGTATAGTAGTATGAAACTATATGCTATATGCGCCTTTTTTTTCAAGGTGGGATTCATGCTTTCGGAACTTGGAACTTTCTGGATAAAACACACAAAGACTCGAAGCAAACACGGGGTACAAACAGGGGAGAAAACCGGATTTTGATGAAGTGATCGGAGACGGGGAAGTTTAAATGCGACGAGCTGGGAGAGGAAAAGTCTGGCAGACGGGTGTGTGGCATCTCCCGTCAAACCACATGATTGATTACAAACAACTCACCCTCGGGTCACTCGGCTCAGGGCATAAAAGCATAAATCAGCCAAGACAAACAAGGCAGGCAACCTTTCCATTGCTGAAATTGGCCGGTAAATCTGAATTTGCTAGATCATATAGTTGAAGAGAGAACGAGCTCGACAAATGATAAGAGAGGGATACAGAAAGGAGATGGTATGGAAGATGGTGAGTCCCTTGAAGAGAGGATGTGAAACAAGTAGAGAGATATGAAAGTAGGGAGGAAAATGAAAAGGAAAGAAAAGAAAAAGAGTAATGAAAGAAGTGATAAAGAAATGACAATCGAAGTGATAAGAAAAGGAACGTGACAAAATGATGATCAGGAAACATTGAAAACGAAGAGCGAGCACAGAAAGACAAGAAAAGATATCAACCAAATCTATGATGATGCCATGCGAGTCCCAAAAATCGTCCGCTCCCCATTTTATATATTTGCGCCGCTCAATCGACGACAATTCCTAAAGTTCCTCATCCATCATGTATGTTCGATCATTGGCCACGCTAAATAGAATGAGATATATGAAAAGAAAAGAGAAAAGTAATGAGTAAAGGAGCAGAAACATGTCTGGTCCGAAAAGTCCCCATGGACTAGACAAAGAGGATACGGCGATCGCGATTAAACCGGAGTTCATGGCGGATGCTCCGAGTCCACGGGTTCGTTGAACTTTTGCCGCGCCTCCTCCACCCATAGTTCCAGTCGGAGTTCACCAGCTTCTACCCGGCGTACCGGGACTGTTTTAGCGCGTCCGTTTGACACTTTCGGGGGTGGCGGCTGCGGTTCGCCATTTCGCAACTTCGAGACCGAATACGGCGCAGTACACGATCTGAGGTGGACTTTGCCGGGTTCGGCGACAATCCATGTCTGTTCTTCGGTCGTAGATCCGGCAGGGGGGAGAGCGTCCTCGCGCACTTCGATACAGACGGTAAAACTGAACTCGTCATCTCGAGGCAATGGCGTCAGCCGTGCGCATGCAGATGCCAGGCGGGCGAGGCAGGCGCGGAACTGTGCTTCCAGGTCGACCGTGGGAGGAGCGGGAGCTCGGTCGGGCAAAGGAATACCTGCCTTGGAAGGATCCTCCTTGCGATCCTCAAAGGTGGTGTGGATCTCCCCAGCGGGCACGCGGGGGAAGCCCGACAGATCGAACGCATATCTTTCGAGGGGCTGGTTGGTGCGGAGAGAAGAAATGATGATGCTGACGGCGGTGATTGTGCCCTTCAAGATTTCGGTTCCCACCGCGATCGACGCATCGTTGATGTAGTCACACACCTTCGGGTGACGGGATTGCCGGACAGGATAATTGTACGCCCGGACAGGGAGGAACGTTGCTCGCGGGTAGACTGACCGGAGGAACAGGATCTGGTGTATCGAGACGGTGAGGAAGTTGGTGAAAGATGCCGCCAACGCAGACTGGTTGTTGGGCAGCGACTTCGGGGCGGTGACAGGAGTTGAGAATGTTGTCATGGTGGTTGTAACGGAAGGGATTGTGGTACTCTCACTGGCAATAGGCATTGCCGTCGAAGGCTCTAGTATCGTCGTTTCCACGGGAAAAATGGTATTGACGGGATCTCGGAGATTCTGAGTGCTGTTCCACCCTGAGGCTAATCATCGCTCTGTCTTTATCGAGTCACGCGAGTCAATAAACTGCTTTCTCTTCCAAGTATACAAGCTGTGTTGCGTTTTTCGGGGGAGTTTAGGCCATCCTAAAGATTGTATGTGATGTGACAAGGGAATTGAGGGGGTGGGAGGAAGTGGTGGGGATGGGGATGTTGAGGAGAGCGAGGAGGGAGGGGAAGGAGGGGTGAAGAGGGGAGTAACCACGAAATTCGTTAGTAGAGAAGTGGTTTGGATACAGAGGAGGGAAAGTTGCGAAAGATAAGCAACTTAAATCAGAAGGAAAAGAGATCGGGTGGTCGGAGGGAGAGGGGGCAGGAGATAGAGGGTACGACAAGGAAGCGGGCAGTGAAGGTGAAGTTGCGTTAAGGTAACTTAGTGGTAATGGTGGTGAAGGTGGTGAAGGTGGTGATGGTGGTGATGGTGGTTATGGTAGGTCAAGGAAGAGGCATGATGGGGAAAAAGAGAAACAACAGAAGAGGGGTGATTGTGATAATGATCGGGGGTGGTGATGGTGGTGAGACAAGGGGAGGAAGAGTCAGAAGGAGGAGGATTAGACATACGTTGGGTGGACTGGACAACGAGACAAACAAATCTCAGAGCATGGAGGACTTCGTTCGTTGCGATCGTGACAAACGGCGAGGAGAGAGGGGGGGGAGGGGGGGGGGAAGAGAGAACCGTAATCGGAGTATTAAAAAAAGAGAGGGGGGAGAGAGAGAGATAATGCGGTGATGATGTTGATGATGATGATGGAATTTCTCTTTTTCCCCTGCCCTGGTTGGATGTCCTTTCCCAATTAATTTTCTCTTTTTTTTTGCCCTTTTTTTTAAAAAAAAAAGAAAAGGTCCCTCTTTTCCTTACAAACTGCCTCCCTGAACAACAAACAACAACCACAACGGTAACCACCACCTTTTCCACTGAACCCTCTGCAAAAAGGAAACAAGCAGAAGGGTAAGAAAAAGGAAACAGAAGAAGAAGAGAACACGAACGGATTGGTTCGGCTTCGATTTCTCTGTCTTCTTTTCTTCTTTTCTTCTTTTCTTCTTTTCTTCTTTCCTTCTCTAAACTGTCTTGCGCCAACAGAGACAAGAAGCGGAGGGGAGCTGACAGATGGATATGGGACCGACCCTTGGATTGAAGAGGGGCGGGCGTGAAAGGGAGAGGTGGGCTACTGCTGGCTGCTTAAGTTGCTCTGAACTGTATCGGATTGGGATAAGCCAAGGTTTCCCAGGGGAGCCCGCTTAAGATCCCGGAGCTAGTGAGGGTAAGTCGATGAAGGTGCTATAGTGAATGTGAAAGAGTAAAGACACCCCGGGTTAATACAAGAAGCCAGAAGAAAAACACCAAACTAAATCACAAGAGAGAGAGAGGGAATGAGGCAGAAGAAGAGGAGGAGGGAGGGAGAGGGAGGGAGAGAGGGAGAGGAAAAGAGAAGGAAAGAGAAGTAAGAGCGAGAAAGAGGGAGAGTTTGCGGGCAACTCAACTACTCAAGTTTCTCGGAGGGGAAAGCTTGTCGGGCGACGACGAGTTGTTAGTTAAGAACAAGACGGCGCCCAAGTCATCCGCAATCCATTCTCATGGCTGTCTCTTTTTACACTAATCACTAATTCCGGAGTGAGTCTCAGTACGGAGTACTACGGACCATACAGGCTCATTCATGCTCACGGAGCTGCCCCCTCTCCCCATCACGTGGTTGCGTCATGGGTGTGGATGCGCTGCAGCATTCAGCTCAAGATCCATTCTTACCATTCGTTACCTTACCATCTTACGAACAGGCAGGATAGGCAGGATGTACAGTACTACCCCCCGAAAATGAGGATTGTCGTTCGACATCCCTCAAATCCAAT